ATAACCACATAAAACACATATAATCGTAACCAAAAGTTTGAGTACCCCTGGTTAAAGTACATGCTTGATGATAAATTTCCTTTAACTTTTTATTTGATAAATTTAACATAGTGGAAAATAGTAAAACATAAAATATGAAATGCGACATAACTTTTGCACATGCCACATTTTGCATTTCCTTTGTCCTCAATATATTAAATTAATCAAATAAACAGTAATTGTGCATTAAAATGTGCTGTAGTGTTCTCACTATGGAGGATTTGAACTTATTTTCAATTAGAAATTCAACAAAGCATGGAATTTCACCAGAGTTACCCAGACTTTTGCATTCAACCACAAATGTTACAAATAACATTTAATTATAATACACTGTGAACAAGAAATGTTACCTTAATATTGGCCAATATTGACCAATCGATATACTGAGTGGGCTTTAATAGATAGAAAGACAGACAGAATGATTGATTAATTGATGGATTAATTGATTGACTGTCTGTCTCTACAGACCTCAACCAATCAGAAGGCTCAGGAAGTGACTTGCTGGCTAGAGCAGGCCTATCAGGAGCTGCTGGAGGGGTGGGACTCCACCGAGGGTGAAAGCTACTCTGAGAGATACCATGTAAGATCTGTCAATCAAATTACACCATTTCAGAGCTGTGTTTGAAATCCTCTGCTTTCTGAGCCTCATCAAGCTGATCTAACTGACGTTACTGATATTCAGTTCTTCACTCACATAATTTCAGAGCCCTTCTCTAAAATTGCAAGCATACAGTGAAATTGTACTGTATGTTATAATTATTTATCAATTGCTTTTTAAAAGTATGGAGTCACTGTTGTTTAGTTTTATGAACACATGACAGTTTATGAGTTTCTCATGTATATTGGTTTTCTGCCTCTGCTCGCTGTAGGTGTTCCACACGTTCATCGTGTCCTTCAATGAGCAGCGCCGGCCGGTGATGCCACTGCTAACGGCGATGAAGCGGACGCCTCGCCTGAGTGAGGAGCAGAAAGCCCTCCGGCATGCCTGGGATTCCCTCGCAGAAAAGGTCAGAGGTCACATCAAGGTGTACACAGTTTTCCCCCTTACTCCAAATGTAATCGACCAGCCTTAACAGTTTTGCACTGGAGCTACGAGGCTAATTTGGCTGACAAGTAATTAGGGCTGCAACAAACGACTAATTTCATAGTCGAACAATCTATTGATTACTGAAACGAATAATCGATTATTCGGGTTATGAATCGCTGCATTACCAATTAACTTTTATGTAGTTTTTAGCTTTTAAATATAGCTTGAGGTTGTTTTAAACATTTGCTAACTAACAATGAAGACAATAAATATGAATAACATTGAAGAGTTCACTGTTTTAATGAATTTTCCTGCTAACACAAAAGATAAAAAAAATAAATAAATAAAACTTCAATATATTTTTTCTTTCAAAATTTGTAACCAAGGATGTGCAAAGTAGCAGCAATAATACATACATCATCTAAACCGCTTATCCTTCTGGGTCACGGTGGGGTGCTGGAGCCTATCCCAGCTGTCATTGGGCGGAAGGCAGGATACACCCTGGACAGGTCGCCAGTCCATCGCAGGGCAGACAGACATACATACACAATCACACAAACACTCACACCTAGGGGCAATTTAGCGTGTCCAATCGGGCTGACTGCATGTTTTTGGACCGTGGGAGGAAACCGGAGTACCCGGAGGAAACCCATGCAGACACGGGGAGAACAGGCAAACTCCGCACAGAAATGACCCTGGTCACCCGGCCGGGAATCGAACCCAGGCCATTCTTGCTGTCTGTGCTCTGCTGTCTGTCTACACTTCACTGCAACTAAACTCTACAATCACAGGTCTTTACTGAAACAGAGGAAAGTCAGTATCTCTCTGTGCTCCTGTGAGAGGCCTGATCTCCTCTGAAGGCAGATACTCCCCACTGCAGAGGAGACGCGCTCTGAGGGAGCGGATGGGAAAGTGGCGAATGTTTGTGACAAACTTCACCATTAACTGTTAAATATGAACAATTTTGTGTAAACACTTAATTTTAACAGTGACCCTTTGTCCAGCTGCCCTGTGTGTTCAGAACTACCTCCTTAAACTGTTACCGAGTGGAGCTGAACGTTTGTGGAGAACAGTAAACTGTTTGTAATCGCTTCACTGTGTTCGCCGAATCTGGACACACCGGTGGCCTCGACGTTAAGATGACGAGGAAGTGTTTAAAACTGTAAACGTAGCTAATTTGGAAAGTGAACAGGGTCGCTGTGAATAACAGTTACTTGCTCTTCTGTTCCAACTCTGTTAACGATTCCAGAGAACCTGCATTTTGACACAGAACGTGTTACAGCTCAGCTCACAACATGAAGTAGGACAGAATTTAACACTAACATTAGCACAACTATCACCGCGTCCCAAACCACACACTACTGTACTTCACACACTACACTAATGAGTGCACTTCTATTGGTATATGCACTATTTGTACACACTATTTAGTGAGCTAGTATGCGACTTGGGATGCGACGTATCTTACCGAGATGAATCTGCTTCACCCATAGCACAACTGACAACCTGTTTTCTGAGTTTAGCTCTCACACATTTGAGGATTGTGTTATTGAGGCAGCCCTCGTTCTTAAGTCACAGTGAGCGGTAATGTCAAAACGTTTCTAGTGAGCGTGAGAAAGACGCGTAATGACGTCCCCAACTAATAAACTACTAAATTAGTTGCCAACTAATTTGGTCGTCGATTTTAGTCGACTAAGTCGAATAATCGTTGCACCCCTACAAGTAATGGAAGATTATGCTGCACCTATTAGCATGATGCTAACTCCATGCTTAAAAGAGTTGTTAATAAGTCCTAAGTAGATTTGCTAATGTGGTTCCAGAAACAATATGACACACTGTTGTCTATAGAAGTGGAACAAAAGTACGAACCACACCTTGAAATGTTAGCAGTGTGTATGAGTGGACGCTAAAGGGCTGTATGTGTTGGCTGCAGCTGCGTGAGTATAAGACTGCACTGGACCTGAGTTTGCCTGCACCGCTGGACACTGTGGGCCGCTGGTTACTGAGGGTGGAAGAGGCTTTAGCAGACGGAGAGGACGATCCTCAGGACCACGGCCGCGCCGCCCAGGAGGCACGAGAGAAACAAGAGCTGCTCAAGGTGGGTTTAATTTAGTTATTAATAATAATTACTAATTATAATATTCAGATGAGGCTCAAAGGAAAGCATCCCTGCATCCCATCCCCTTTAGTTTATACTCTTTTTAATACTTAGGTCAATTTAATCCCATAAAATAATAATAATAATAATAAAACTAACTTTATTTATGTAGCATCATTCAATGGTCTTACTTTTAGCACATTCAGTGACCTTGCTTTGCAGAGCGAGTAAAACCAGAGCCCCTCCCCCAGGTCTAATATGATTGGCTTACAACTTACTATGTCTAATATGATTGGCCTACAACTTATGATGTCTGTTATGATTGGCTTACAACTTACACTGTCTGATATGATTTGCTTACAACTTACAATGTCTGATATGATTGGTTTACCACTTATGATGTCTGATATGCTTGGCTTACAACTTACGATGTCTGATATGATTGGTTTAAAACTTATGATTGGCTTACGAGTCTGATGTAAGTGGCTGAGCTGGGATTTTCACATTACATTATTAAATCTCTGGTAGCGCAGCAGAGGCAGCGCTGCATTAGAGCAGCAGCAGTGCCCCCCTCAGGTCATGCCTGCTATCACAGTGTATAATGACGTTAGAGATGTGATGGCAAGGTTAAACAAAAAAGAATGAATGAGAATAAACTACAGATTTGAACATTTGAGCTCATGATTTGATTTGCACATTTATTTGGGAATGAGGGACTAAGTAACATTTAGAGTGGGCTGAAGCTCTAAAACTGGCCTAGCAACCCATGGCAGAGCATAAACCTACAAAATATTTCCACCGTTACACTTTCAACCAATCAAAACACATGAAACAATGGATCTGATCTGATTGACGGGACAAATATGAAATAGAAACAGCAACAAATACAGATTTAATAGTTTTATATATTTATTGAATATACTGATGTGTTAACTGATCCCCAAATGAGATGATTACCTATATTAATTATTTTCTGCTCGGGTCTTCGTTGGGTGTTCCCGGATCTGTTAGGTCAAATATTTGTCAGTAAATTTAGAAGAATCATGATTAAATCAGCACATGTATGTATTTTTTAATGTATTTTGGTGCGTGCAGGTGTGTCTTGAGGAAATGCTCCACCACATGAAGACGTTCCAGAATTTCCAGAACATGGATGAATACGGAGAGATGCTGGTTCCTACAGATAAACTGGAGGAGATGAAGCGAAGGTCAGTAACTGACCTCTGGAAGCTGGAACTGATAGATTTGTTTTTCTGGAGATTTGTTTTCGGATTGCCATTGTGCACCCTCCTATTGCCAAGTTAACAGTAAAGAGTTGTCTATTGTTAAGTTTTTAGTTAACATTTGCCCTTTTTGCCTCACTGGTCTTTGTGTCTGTGTTTAAATATGTGTGTTAGGTTCACTAGTGTGCGTGTGAGCGCTAAGTACCACGGCATTAAGCTGGAGTATCAGGAGCACAGACACACGGTGTTAGACCTGCTGGCTCAGCTCAAAATCAAGCTACGTGCCTGGAAAAGAGCCTACATTTCCCAGGAGGCTGTGCGAGTTCTCATTCAGGACTGGAATGTGAGTTGCAATAGTGAAATTATGGGAATAAATTGTTAGTATGTGGTAAAAAGAATAGTGTTTCACAGTTCACACAGTTTCCCACTTATGCTGAATGTAGTCAATCAGCGAAGATATGCTCTGTGTCTGAAGTTTGCATCTTTAGTGTTATACTTGAGCTACAAGGCTGATGTAGCTAAAAAGTAACCTGAGCCATTAGCAGTATGTAAACTGCCTGTCTAAATTATGTGGCTCAAACCATGTCAAGTTGTTAGTTATTCTCAAATAGTTTGATTTCAGAAACTGAAAATAGATAAAAGTACATTCAACAAGCCCAGCATTCACTTTCAGAAAAAAAGTTTTGTACAGGTACATTTTTGTTCTCCAATGTACACACAATGTCAATGCACCCTCAAAGGTACAACAAGGTCTTTAAATTGTGTACTATAAATGAGTTTTGAAGGTACATTACATTCACCTTCCCAGGAGAAAGTTGCATATTTATATCTCTTCATAAAATATAGATATTATTTCTACTCTAAAACATCATGTTAGTTGATGAGTACCACCCAAATGACTGGAGAACTACCACCCCAGTGAGTGGAGTAGTACTACCTTAGTGATTTGAGATGTACCACACTGTGACTTAAGAGTACTGTCCCAGTCACTAAAGGGGTACCACCCCAGTGACTAGAGGAGTACCACTCCACTGGCTAGAGGGCTACAGAACCAGTGAATAGAGAATACTGCCCCAGTGACTAGAGGGGTACCACCCCAGTGACTAGAGGGCTACAGAACCAGTGAATAGAGAGTACTGCCCCAGTGACTAGAGAAGTACCACCCCAGTGACTAGAGGAGTACCACTCCAGTGACTAGAGGGCTACAGAACCAGTGAATAGAGAGTACTGCCCCAGTGACTAGAGGGGTACCACCCCACTGACTAAAGGAGTGCAACCCCACTGACTAGAGGGGTACCGCCCCAGTGGCTAGAGGGGTACCACCCCACTGACTAGAAGGGTACTACCCCAGTGACTAGAGGGGTACCTCCCCAGTGACTAGAGGGGTACCATCCAGTAATTAAAGGGGTACCACCCTAGTAACTAGAGGGGTACCACCCCAGTGACTAGAGGGGTACAGCACTATTGGCTATAGTACAGCACCAGTGGCTAGAAGGGTACAGCACCAGTGACAAGAGGGGTACAGCCCCAGTGACTAGAGAGTACTACCCCAGTGACTAGAGGAGTACCACTCCAGTGACTAGAGGGGTAAATGCCCAGTAACTAGAGAGTATTGCCCCAGTGACCAAAGGGGTACCACCCTAGTGACTAGAGATTACCGCCCCAGTAAATAGAGGGGTACCACTCCAATGACCTGAGAGTACTGCCTCAGTGACTATAGGTGTTCCACCCCTGGGACTTGAGGGTACCACCCCTGTGACCTGAGGGTACCACCCCAGTGTCATAAATCTACCACAAAACTAAAGAAGAAAACTTCAGACACCAAACATGTCTTGGCTGATTGACCACATTTGGCAAAGGAAAACGGTTTATCTATAAAAACATAGGAATTTGCTCTGTTGCCATATGTCTATTATGTGGGCTTAGATGTGCTCTGGATGGGTGTTTTTCATGATTGGTGTATATGTATGTGTTGTTGTAGGAGACTGTGAATAAGCAGGAGCTGCCTTCTATGCTGGAAGGAGCTCTCTATAAACTAAAGCACGTTGCCAGCAAATACACTAGCAAGTCCGCTCTGGGTAAGTAAACAAGAGGTTGCACAACTGTCCATTTTCACTAGTCATCATTACTACTATAGAGAAAAAGCCAAGAGTGTTTGGGGCATCAATGAAAAGTATTTTGGTAAAACTTTACTTGAACCCAGGAACATAACATTGACATAACATTAGCATGTCATGGCAGATATACACTGTCCTGAATTGTCATGATTGTCTGATAATATAACGGTGTCATGTTACCGTTTCCATATATTTTCATGACATATGTCGTAATGTTTGATGTCATTATAGCTAAAGCGAGTACACAGATGACACACTGATGAAGGGCCAGAGGATGGCTAACACGAACTGTATCTACACCTATAACTGCTTTGAATCACATGAAAAAATGCAGAACACTTTAGTGTGACTGCTAATTAATGATCTTTTCTCCCTGTTAGCGGGGGACTCTAGCCATGTGAGTAAAGAGGTGAAGACTTTGGAGACGGAGACTGCAGCGACACTCCAGGATGTGAAGATGGTGAAGGGTATTATGGGACGCGTGCTGGCGGCCTGGGACTCCTACTGCGACTCTTACAGTTCTCTACATGCCTGGCTGGAGCAGGGAACTCAAAGTAACCGACACGGACAGCGAGCTGAAGTAAACATAAACACACATGTTTGTTTTTATATCTAATCAGCACATGGGCTCAGGCATAGTTCCCAGATGTATTGAATATGTAACTATATGTAATAATAATAAGTGCTGAGCATGTGATCACTGATTTCTGACTAAGTGGTGTCTAACTTGTTAGGTAACGGCAGAGATGATGGCAGAGTGGAGCTCTCGCCAGGCTCATCTAAACGACATCGGGAACTACCTGACTGAGATCACTGATCCGCAAACGAGCCGTTCACTTTCCGACGAGCTCTGCAGGATTAACCTGCTCTGGGCCGACTTTGCTAGAAGAACGCAGTTTGTGAGTCTTTATCAATAATGCTCAGAATTTGTCACGTATGTTACTTTAACTCATAAACAGAATGCCAGAGGATTATTTCAGGTGTTTTAGTGTTATTATAAAACAGATATTTAGGCAAAAAGCTGCTGTAAAAAACTACACTGACGTGCCTAAAGTTATAGGATAGCAGTATGTAAATTGATTATGAAGTGGAGTTACCTCAGGGGACGTCTTGGGAATGCCCACACCCGTATAAGTTGTGAGGTGTTATCTTGTTAGTGAGGTTGAACACTGGCCAGTGTGCTCATGGCAAGGTGACGTGAATTATCGGAGTTCGAACAAGGCATGATAGTGGGTGCCAGACGGATGGGAAATTCCATTTCCAAAGTTTTTTGAACATTTAACATTCCTTGATCCACAGTGTCACGTGTGTACTGGAAATCTGTCGTTGAAGGTATTACCACCCCCAGTGGACAGTGTGGTGGCTATCCACTGGTGTTCAATAATCGTGACCGGCATTGTCTAGCTAGAATTGTCCGTGTGAATACACAAGCGATTTGGGGCAAAAATCACATCTATATTCAACGCAAGAGGCCCCACATGGTTCCATACATGGGTTCTTATGGCAAGGGTTGGGTCTACTGGTCCACCTAAACAAGTCAAGTCAAGTCAAAGTTTATTTATATAGCACTTTGTACAAGGTGTTGTCACAAAGAAGCTTTACAGAAAAAAAAATCCGGGTCCGAGCCCCCATGAGCAAGCCAATGGCAACAGTGGCAAAAGGAAGAAACCTTGAGAGGAACCAAGACTCAAAAGGGGAACCCATCCTCCTCTGGTCGACTGTGGATAGCAGACAATAACAGCAGAAAATGAGATTTGACCATTAATATAAGGTACGGAAAGAAAGGAAAAGCAGGAGTAGTAATGTCTATGATTAAAAAAATGCAGCAGCATCATCAGGAGGGTCAGTACATGCAGGTGAGGTTTGTACAGCGTTGTACAGGAGGGAACCTCCATGGTGGTCAGACTGGTCCGGGGAAAAGGCGAGCAGCCGGCACCCGATCAAGGCATATGAAGCAACAGCATCAGACCACACAGGATGGGCAGTTGTTCAGCTCGGCAGAGGAACACACAGGCAGTTGGTTCTGTTAAGACAGACTGATTACAGTATACAGTGTTAAGAGAGTGAAACAGAGACTCTGGCAGGCCAAGCTTGAACAGTGTTAGTATTACAGTGAAGGCGTGAGAGCTGCAGGACAACAGCACCAACACTCCCAGTCACCGTAGAACTCTGTCAATGAACCCCCCAAAATGGTACCCTTTAACTAAGAGGAAAAGCTAATTTCAAAAAGCTAGCCTAAACAGATTAAAAACTGAGGCTGTGTCTGAGTCCCGAACACTGACTGGAAGATTATTCCAAAGCTGGGGGGCTTTGTATGAAAAGGCTCTACCCCCTGATGTAACTTTATTAATTCTAGGCACTAAAAGTAAGCCAGCACCCTGTGATCTAACTAGGCATGACGGTTCATAATAAGAGAGAAGTTCACACAGGTACTGAGGGGCCTTTATGGGATGTGATTGAGAGGTCCATTTGCACCTGAGACCCTGCACCTACAAACAGTGCTGTGGGTGGCTATCCAGAGAGCATGGCTAAACATCGTTCCAGATGTCTTCCGTCCACTTGTGAAATCGATGCCATGTTCAACTGCTGCACTTCACCAGGCTGGAGGGGGTCCTACATGATACTAGTTCCTGTCCCATGACTTTTGGCATGTCAGTGTATATTGCTTACCAGAATTATTTTGGCAACTAAAAATTTATGAACATAGGTGTGTTGTATTTGCATTTGGAAGCTGTTTCATAAAAGAGTGTTACATTGATTTTACTCCACTTCATGCCTAAAAATCCTTAAAATGCAGGAGAAAATCACTCTAATACACCTCTTGTGGCTTATGGCTTTATTTGAGAACCTGATCTTTGTCTTAGGATCTTGTTGAGGAGTCCAGAGTTCGTCCTGCAAGTCCCCAGACTCTGCAGTGTTTGGTCAGAGAGGCTAACCAGCTACTGAAGGAGCCAGTGGAGGTCTTATCAGGGTCACTCCGCACTTACAGGAAGAGACTGCAGGTACATTTAACCAATTTTGTTTTCATTTGTCTTTTTCTCTTTGTATTGTACTCTGTTTCTCATTTTTGATTCATTATTATATGCACAAAAATAATACATTTGATGTTTTGATCAACTACAATTATAGACAATAGTAGTTGTATAGGGCAGAAGTTGATGAAGAAACATGACTGAAGGCTGTTTTTTGCACTTTTTTAGTTCATGATGAAGAAAATACAGGATGTTGACCTGGATTCCCTCACTCCTTCACCCGAGTGCTTGGCCGAAACTTTGAGCAAACTCAAACAGGCCGTTCCAGAGGTGATAATGGAAGTCAATCATCCTTTTTTCTTACTCTTTTTTGTATGTAAATCATTTGGGATGCAGCAAACCTTCTGTTCATCTGGAGTACAGTAAATATGTCATCAAATATAAGTTTGAAATATTGGTATCATTCTGATATCTTTGTGCATCTCTACAAGTCATCTGGATATGAATTCTTTGCATTTGCTTTTCTGACCATATTTTTGTTAATGTACGTGTTCTCAGGTGCTGCAGACACTCTGTGAGGCCATGCAGGTCTGTGAAGAGTTGCAGCAGAGTGTTTGTGGCCTGGATGGGCGTCTAGCTGAACTTTTGCATTGGGAGGCTGAAGCCAGAGAGTTTTATCAGCTCTTAAAGGAAAGAGCACACAAACATCAGAGAGGGCAGGATGCAAGGACCCGAGTAAATTTGCATCTTCTTAAATATACTTGTTTCTTTACCTCATTCTCTCAGGCAGAATGCATCATATGTGTGCCTGAAACCTGCCGCAGTCTGGCCCTAGATGATCTTTCATTCTTTTCCTTCCAAATAGTTGCTGATATCTCGAGGACTGCAGCTGGAAGGCCAGGTGGTGATGGAGGAACAGGATCTGCAAGTGATGGTGATGTCAGGGCAGAAGAACTCACCACTGCAGTACCTCATTGCTTCCACCATGCAGGACAGAGTCCGTGCTACTGTTGCACAGTCACAGGTCTTTCATTCACTCTATAAGTCTTGATAAATATGTGGTTCAAGAATAGACATACTCCTACAATGAAACTAATTTGGCTTCATCAGAAACATTCCTGATGAAGTGTGCCATTATTTGTATGTATAACAACAGTTCATGTACATTTCTTAACAGGAAGCTGTGGGGTTGCTAAGTTCCTTGGGAGCTCGTAGAGACAGAAGTCCTACAGGCCGTCAGCCTCCACAAAAGATCTTTGTGCAGGAGAGAGAGTGTGAGACTGAAAGCCACAAGCACCAAACAAGCAGCACAACCCAGTCTATCTCTGCATCTGAAGATGCAGACCAAACAGACTTTCAGCCACCGGTCAAGCATTCGTCTCTGCAACCATCCCAGCATAGTGCCCAAGTTGCTATACCTAAAACTCAACCTGAAGTTCAGCCTGTGCCTATGATCGTCGTTCAAGAGTACCAAGAGGAGAAGAAGAGTCCTCCTCTGCAAACATACCTGGAAGCCCAAGCAGTAACACAAACACAATTAAGGAAAGAGCCAAGGGAAGGACCCCAACATATTTTGACATCTAAGGGCCATGAACAGGCACAAGATTTTGCTAAAGTCAAGCCACAGGCAGTGACCAAAGAGCAGGCAAAAGCTGAGACACAAGATGAACTTAGGAAGCAAGAACAAGGTGACGCTACTGAAACTGTTAAGACTCATAAACTACATTTGAATTCAAACCAAAACACACAGCAAGCTCAGATTTCCAGCCAGCAGCAAATGCTTGCATGCCAACAGATACCAACACAGCCACAAGTGAATACACAACAACAGAATCAGCAGTCAATAACTGTCCTGAAACAACTGGACATTCACCAACAGACTCAAACTCAACAGCAGCAGATGCAAGTACAGCAACAGGACACCCAGCAACCAATTAAAGTAAGGAAGTCTCAGGCACGTTCAGAGCATAGACCTTGGCTTCAACAGAAGGGCCAAGCAGAGGTTTTGACAACTGCTCGACCAAAGGACAAAAGTAAAGCGAGTTCTGAAGTACATTTAAAGACCACAGTTGCTGTCACTGTGGCACCTACACCTGACCCAATTGAAGGTCAAGTCAAGAGGGTTACTCAAACACAAACTAAATTGAGCAAACAGCCTGAGACCCAACCCAAATTGAGTAAAATCGATCAACAGCATGCTGTGAAACAAGCCAAAGTGAGTCAAGTCCAGCAACAACAACCTGTGAGACAAAATGAACTGAGTCAGGTCCGGCAACAGCAATCTGTGACACAAGCCAAAGTGAGTGAAATCCAGCAGCAACAACCTGGGACACAAGCCAAAGTGAGTGAAGTCCAGCAACAGCAATCTGTGACACAAGCCAAAGTTGGCCAAGTGCAACAACAGCAACCTCTAGCCCAAATGCTACCAAAAGCACAACCGCAAGCTGTGACATCAACAGAGCCACTAAGGCAACCGCAAACTTTAATGTCAGGTCCAGCAGAAGTGATTACCCAACAGCATCCTCCACCACAGGCTACTGCGTTTATGACCCAAAGGAGATCAGAGATACAAACTATGAAGCAAGTACAACCACAAGCCATGTCACCGGTTCATCCTCAAGTCATGCCTCAAAGGCAACCACCAACAATGATTCAAGCACACCCCCAAGTTATGTCTCAGACTCAGCAACATCTAATGGAAATGGAAGAAGCACAACAAACTGAGAGACTTCCCCCAGTACCCATCCAGCCTCAAGTAATGTCCCAAAGTCAACCACATCCTGCTGTACATTATGCCCAGACACAAACTGCACAGCCAAGAGGGAGAGCCCCAATCCAACCACGAATCATCACCATGCCTCCAAGTCAGCCACAGATCCATGTTCCTCCGCAGTCCCAAATCATGGGCATGGATCAGACTCAAGCCAAAGTTCAGGTTAAGCCACAAAGTATAGTACAACCACAGGTGCAACCCCAAGTCCAGCACCCTGAGTGGCGTCCAATGGCAAATGAGGGCTATTATGAGGTCCAGAGCCAGGGACTAATGCAAGCCCAGATATACCCACAGAGCCATCCACAAACTCAAGGTGTCACACAAATGCAAGCACATTCTCAGCAATGGACATCACTGGGAAGAGGTTTAGCAACCCAGACTTTCTCCAGGGTCCAAGGTTCAGGTCAAGTGCAAGTCCAGCCTCATCCTCAATCTCACATTTACCCAATGCAAACTCAGCAGTGGGGTACTATGAGATCTGAACCAATGGCACCAACTTATGCACAAATGAGACCTCAGAGCCAAGTCCAACCAATGGCTCCACCACAACACTGGAGACCTATTAGACCTGAAGTGATCAGCCATAGTTTCCAAAGTGTTCAAACGCAAGACCCAAGATCCATATCTCCATACTCGCATGCTCAACCTCAGGCATATACAAGACCGCAAAGCCCTCCTCAGCACTGGAGGCCTATCCAAGAGCCACAATCCCAAGTCCGTTCTCAGAAAATGGTTCCAAAAGTCTCCCAACCAGTGGCTCACCAACAATCTGTCCAGCCACCATCTCAAGCCCCAGTAAGATCCCAAGGTCCATCTCCACAGCAGCTCCAAGCACAACAGCAACAGCTAGCACAAAACAGAGTTGAGGCTCCATCTGCTGTTCAAGTTCAAATTCAAGTTGAAAGCCAAACACCCCAGACACAGCCTCAAGTCCAGGTTTCACAGAAACCACAGTCTCCAGTGCAGGAGCAGGCCCAGCAACAGTCAACTCCTCGTGTCAAACCTCCAGCCCTGGCCCAGGCACCTCCTCAGGCCTATACAGAGGCTTACTCTAAAGCACAGGCTCTGGCTAGGAATAGGTTTGAGGAGGCGAAGCATTGCCTGCAAGAACATATTCTAGAAGCGATCAACATATTCAAGGAGAAGAGGATAACCGAGGAGCACAAATTGGTAAAAGAAGTATGTTTTGCAAACCTTTTCTTATTTAATTAAGTAGGGGCTCCCAAGTGGTGCAGCTATGTATGTACCGACTCTATCATTGGGATATTGTGAGTTCAATCTACAGCACTGCTGCAGCCGTCTGTGGCCTGGAGTCCTAGAGAGCATAACTGGCCTCGTTCTCCATGGGTGGCCCTCATCCTCTATGTCACTAAGTACAGTGCTAGCTAACATGGGCGCCTGTTGGCTGACATAACAGAATAGGCAGTTAGCATTCTCCTCCAAATGTGTTGCATGCAACGATGTTGCGTTAATGGCAGTTTAAAAAAATGCAGTGGTGGTTCACGTGTCAGAGAAAGCACATCCTAGACTTCACCCACCCAGCTTTGTAGCATTGCGTGATGGTGTGAGACCTATCTAACGGGTGAAGTTGGCCAGGGAAAAAAATGGGGGGAAAGGTAAAGAAGTGAACAAGACCCGTTCTGTTGTGTTTCAAGTGAACCTGTTTCCATTGACCCTGAACTCAGATATGGATCAGGTTTACAAAGATATTTGTGCAATTTTTCCAGGAAACTCTAAAGGTCCTGGACTCTGAGCTGCTGGAGGAGTTCCTGAGGGCTGCCGAAAGAATGGAAGCCTTCTGCACCCCGTCTCAGTTCCGAGACATGGAGTTCTTTGCCCAGTCGGTCAGGACACAGTGGGAGGTAGGTGTGCGCATGTGTATGTAAGGGTGAATTTTCTTTGTTTGTGCTTTTTACATGAAGCGTGTCATCTTGCCAGCTGTAACATGTACTGGTGCATTTTTCAAGCATGCATGCTATAAAAATGCAATTCAACTGTGTTTTTGTAATCTGATATTGATTATTTTAATATTATTATGTTCATATGATGATGCATGTCTGGTGTTAGTGTTTCTAATCTTAAAGTCTTAGATTGTCTGGTGTGCTTTTTGATGATTTGCACTATGTCTTACAACAATTTTTGAAGTGTAACAATTGTTATTTTGTAGAGAGATTGTTTTCAGTCTCCTTTTCCCTCAAAATAACACATACCGATCATTTTGCTGTGTTGCTTGTTGTTTGTTCCCTCTTTATTAAACATTTTCCAATGCAGACTGTTCGCAATGAAATCTCAGCATTTGTGGCACAGCTCAGATTTCAGACAAAGCGTCTGCACTTTAACCAGATTGTGCAGCAGTGTGAGATGCACTTTAACAACAAGAAAGTCAACTTCAAATCTGACTCCAGATCAGTGCAAACTAGAGAGGTAACATTACACTCTCGCTGTATGGCATGCTCTGGTGCAACTGTTGGAATTGTCCAGAGGTTTTTGTGGACATGCTTTATATTGTTCATCAGTCTTGAATGTTTAACCCTTAAAGGTTCAGAGTTATTACAGTGGATTTGCTATCCTGCTCAATTTGCTATATTGTAATTATACTATAACTATATATTTAATTACATTGTTACACTGTGAATTACATGTGATTTACAATCAGTATCATCAGATTCAAATCTCAGATTCTGTCATCTGATTTTTTTCTGTTTGTTCCAAAGACATAAAGGATAAAGGATGTCTGTGTGCACAACCAAAACTTTGCAATACATTCAGTCTCCTCTTCTGTTTATATACTCAAATGTGGTATTTATTGAACGTTTAGAATCTTTCATCTTGTTTCACTGAGCTACAAGTGACAAATAACTAACATATTATTCAACATCCTTTTTTGTCACTTTTAAGGGTTAAACTAATGTCATTTGTTGCATGTAATAACATTCTGAAACACTCCAGTGTTTCCCAGCTATCATGCTTCAAATTGGTACATTAAGCTCTAGTAAAGTACTAATGAAGCCTTTGAACCTCTTTATTAACCTCTCTATTCCCCCAAACCTCTAGGCCTGTTTTTCTACTGATGGCAGTTTAGTCCAGGCTGGGCAGCAGCTGGAGGCCCTGAAGGAGCTGTGTGACACTTTGAGCCCAGAGGATGCCCACAGGTTGGCACAGGCTCAGCTCCGCGAGTGTGAGAAAAGACTCGCTGCCATCCAGCGTCAGTTCAGTGGAGACCGTGACACTCCGCCACCAGACGCAGGGTGAGGAAGGGGACAAAAAATTAGCAGCAACAAGTGTAACAATACATTAGAATTTATTTGATTCATCTCTGAAGTAGAGCTTTGAATTATTGATCCAATCTTGAATACAGCCTGAGAACGTTTTGTGGCTGAGCCCAAGCAGACAAAGCACCTGGCAGATCAAGCACCAAGTTTATCCTGACACTAACCCAAGAAAATTCTGTCCAAACTCAGCTGTTGGGAAACCCATGTGTATCAAAAAAAAATATCCTGACAAAATTCTTTTGGACTCTGGACTCTTTTTGTCTGATTCCAACTCTAGCATATAAAAAATGTTTAAACCCAACTGTAGCCCAGCAAAATTCTGCTGGAACATGACTGTCAGCCAACAAAATTCTGTTTGAATCTGAATGTAGCCTGTCAAAGTTTTGTCTGATCCTGACTGAGGCATGACAAGATTCTGTCGGACCCCAAGAATTCTGTCCTAATTCACTGTAGCCCAACAACATTCTGTCTCAACCAGACTAAAGACAGGATTCTGTACTCATCTGACTTAAGCTTGACAAAAGCTTGTTGTTATTTTGATTGTTACTGAAGAAATAATTTTTTTAAGTTGTATTGATAAGGGATTTTTACATTAGAATTTGAGTATGTCAGTGCCTACCTGAGGTCAGTTTCTGTAATACGGTGCTTGGACCCCAATACTTGCCACTATAAAATCCTTCAAACTCCAGTGAACTTTCTATTGACAAGTTTTGTTTTCTGTGTGCTAGTGTGCCTGTAGAACAGACAAAGGAGTCATCACCACAGAGAATATTCACAGCCTCTGTGGAGAAAGCTGCAGAAATGACCACTCCAGAGGTTTGCACAAAAAGACAAAAATTGAATCTCGCTTTGCTTATGATTTGCTTATGTTGTAGTTCATATTACAGTTGTCTTTAGAATAAACAGTGTAGTCTGTAGTCCTGAGGTGTGTTTGGGCTTTGTATTTGAAGCTAACCAGTAGCTGACGTTACATTAACGCAAATACCTTTTGTTGTTCACTTATGTAAATCTTGCATTGCAGGTTACCCCAGTTACGGCACAGCGTCCAAAATTTGTGGACAAGAAAGAGATAATAAAGCAGACAAGCACTGAGGAGGACAGGTACACCAAAAAAAATTGAATTTAAATAACAATAAATTTGAATTGAATTGAATGGTTACAATATCTGTTGCAAAAGTGCCCAATAAAATTGGATTGAACTCAATTTGGTTTGAACTACTGGCAGCAATGAATGTGTGCTGTTTTTGTTTATCTGTTAATGTGCGTATGTGCATGTGGGGGATCATTTACAGGTATAGAAGTTCAAGGTTTGCCCTTCAAGCTCAGCTGAATAGAAATGAGCAGAGCATGCTGGGAGGTCGGCCTTCAGAATCAACCACAGACCTGAGAAAAAGGCTCAGAGAATTAAAGGTAGCGTTTTTTTAAGCTATAAACAGCTAAACGCAAGTCATTGAAACATATTTTTTAGATGCTTTATTCAGTATTACAAGTTTTTTGAGGGGGAATTTCCACTGATTTTTCAACATTTCTGCATAACTCAATCATTGAGATTCAGTCATTCAGAGTGGTTTGATAAGAAATGGTTTATTGTAGATAAACTTGCTGAATCTACAGTGGTTTTTCTTTACAGTAGTGGTGATAGGAACCAGGGGTCACACAAACATAGCCATTTTATTCACTATCCTAAACCACCAGTGAACCTATACGAGTCTCTTGAGTTTTATATGTAATGTTGATAATGGTAAAATAGTGGTAAATAAAAAAAAAAGTTTTCTTTGGGGACTATTTATTTATTTTTGGGGACGATTTATTTTATTATTTATTTATTATTTAAAAAAATACATTTTAGGCCAAAATCTTATTGCTAAACTGTTGTAAAACAATGTCTTTATGTAATAAATTTCTGTGAGGGAGCTTTTAAAGGCATTAAACCTTTTGGACGTCTGGTTCCTATCACCACCACTGTGAACAATTCTGACTCTGTAAGTTACTTTAGAACAGAGCGTTTCACACCAAACCACTCTGAATGAATTTGTTTACATTCTAACTATATAATTATGCAGATATATTGAAAAATCAGTGGAATTCCTCTTTGAATTGTAAATAATGTACTGTAATTATATATTAATAGTTATCTGCCTTGAGGTTTACTAAACTTTCAAAATCTGAGTAATTTTATTATAACTTCATTTTCAATGTTGTACATCTATCTGTAAGTCTAAACACCTCTAAACATATTAAAAGACCTTTTATGGCTTCCTACAAATTATTTGACACCTATGAGGCTGAAGAGTAGCAGAGTCATATTTGAATACATAAAAGTTTATAATTAAATACCTATAAATTATAAAGCTATAATGAATTTGAACTGTTTCAAGTGTGCAAAAGTCTTTTTATGTTGACTCATTGTGCTTCAGGCTCTGAGGGATGAGACAGAGTCTCTGTGGGCGGAGTATGAGGTGCAATGCTCCCAGTGTGTCCAGTTCAACGAGCGAGTGGTGGAGCAGGACAGAGCTGAGCTCACAGTCAAGTGGAGAGAACAGAGAGCACACCTGCAGAGCAGGTACACACTAAATCTGCTGTTAAACATCCAATATCATGAAAAAATTCATTTTCCTTGCTATTTTTGTGGTTAACTATGTAAACATTGTTAAAGGGCCCATATCTTGTATTTTATTTTTTCATTTGAATTTCCTTTATAACATTTGTGTGATTTTATGTGTATGTTTGTAATTCATTTTTACATGACCTGTTTTTTTTTTTACTGTTTTTAAACCTGATATATGTAAATGAGCTCTGTTCCAATGGGCTGCCTTATTGTGCCTTATTTAAAAAGCAGAGCTGAAACTCTACTCAGAGCTTCAGTATGAATGGATAAGGCTAAACTGCTGCAGACTGAATGAGTTGGTTCTCATGAAATCACAGATACAATGAATTCGAAACAGGCTGCTTTTGCAGCTTAGCTTCCGTAAATGCACTGTATTGACTGGAAGCTGAACGGTACATTGTGAAACGATGTTAACATATTACTTCAAACTCCATTATTTAAAAAAAAAAGTAAAGGAAATTTATTTTTTCATGAAATGGGCCCTTTAAAGTTCTGTACGGTTCACTTCAGGCTATACAATCCACATATTTCGGAAGTAATCTGCAAAAACAGCTGTTCTTGTATTGAAATATGAGGGAAAAGATGATTAAATGATGCTGTTCAGCATTAATTGCTTTTTGAATGAGCCACAATTCACACTGTAAAACTCACTGCACAAGTTAACACAACTTAAATACTACAGAAATGTGGAGTAACTTAATCTGAAAAATTCTAAATAACTCAAAAATGAATTGTTGAGACAGTAACTCAGTCATTTTAAGTAAGATTGTTTTTTTAGCATATTTTGAGTTAACGGGATCTTTGAGTTGAATAAACTCATTGCAGTTTAGTTTAGACTCTCAGCTTTACTTGATGTTTGCAACCTTCTTGAGTAAAACTCATATCATTCCTATTGGCCCTTAGTACCATTTATTTACATACTGGGTGTGTCTCTTCACCGCGTGTGTGTCGCCCTTGTGTTCACTAGGCTTTATAAACTGCTGTGACTCATGCCAATCAGTACTGATTAAAATTTAGTTATAAAGTTTCTTTCTGCTGAATGTGGTTCTGCTGTGGTTAAATGCTACGTAAACTATATCTGCACTAAGTTGGACAAGACATTGTTGCAAATGTCTATGATCATTTCTCTGCAATGCAAAAGAAGTTTGTTAAAAAGATAGCTGAGTTTAGTCTGGCAGTGAATTTAATTTACAATTACTTAATTGTATTGAGTTAGTACAGCTTAAACACACGTCTCAAATACTCAGTCATTTTAATATCAGCAAAACAAATGGAATTAGTACAATTTACTCAATTTGCTTAAGTGTACACAGCAATAAAAATATGTTTTATTTATACTCGGTTCAGTTAATTGTGTATGATCAGTTTCTTAAGATTAAGAGACCCTTATTAGTCCCACAGTGGGGGAATTTCACCTCTGCATTTAACCCATCCGTGCAGTAAAACACCACATACACACTAGTGAGCACACACACACTAGGGGACAGTGAGCACACTTGCCCGGAGCAGTGGGCAGCCGTATTCGCAGCTGTCGGTTCAGGGGACCAATCCGGCGACCTTCTGGTCACAGGGCTGGTTCCCTAACCTCCAGCCCACAACTGTTCCTCTTTTGAGTTGACTTAACTCATCAGGTTTTATAGTGCATGACAGCCCATCAGAACAGAGCTGATTTAAAAGCACAAGAACAAAAACAGCCTGTTTTAATTCGAAGGGGTTGTAAAATGGTCATGTCAAGATTAAATTATGACTGTTTTTGTAAAATTCGGGAAAAATGTTGATTAGAAGATCAATCCATCATTTCTTCTTGGGTTCACAACACTTTTTAGGGTTTTATTCATGTTTAATACACTATTCTGTTACACACAATGCCACACAAATCCTTTCAGGAACTCTTTTTTAAGAGTTTGTGTAGACGTTATTGAACATATTAAACATCCCTCATACTCAGTGTGCTGTTCTCACTTCAGCTCCAGAATCACAAGATCTGCTCTGACCACAGAGTCCTGCAGTGAGCGTCATGTGCCTCAGTGTGTTTACTGTCTGCGCTCTCTCTGTTTCAGGGTGGACTCTCTCGGTTCTGCTCTGCAGCTCATGGATTCAATCGAGCATCACATCGCTGAGATTTCAGAGCGACTGGACAAGTTCATCAAAGAGCCCAAAGACATTAAAGGATACACACTGGTCAACACCAGCGTCCTGAAAGATGTTAAGGTAGGAGATGCCACCGTCCAGTGCGGCCCAGAGGAGGATGGCTTCCCCTTTTGAGTCAGTGTTTCCTCTTCATGGTCTTATGAAGGTTGTTAACCTCGTCACCTACATTACTGGAAAGCTGCTTTGGCGCAGTGGCTGTTCAATGGCTGCTCTCCTTTGAGGGCATAACAGAAGCATGCTGTCATTTGATTAGGCTGACCTTATTAAAAAGAGGACACTGGGGTCAGGAGGGAAAACTATAGAAAGCAAATGTCAACATAAAAGCAAAGCCAAATCCTGGACATTAGGGCAAATTAGAAAACCTGGCTGGACACATTTTTATGTCCCAAAAAGAGGACATGTTCTGGAAATAGAAGATATACGGTCACCCTACATTTGATATGAATTATTACTCACTCATAACTTATTGATTCCAAGTCCTGTAAAAGCAGCCGATTTTAATTCATTTTCTTAATAAATCTCTATTCTTTTCATCAGAGCTCTTGTAGAAGAAAAATTCATTTAAGTGTATTTAAAAGGAAAAATGTACACTTTTGATATTTACAGATTAAATGTACTTTAATATATACTAAATGTATTATTTTGGAACAGCTTATGACAGCTTAAGTGCATTTGAATTGTAATTAAGCAGTGATTAAATATATGTGCTTTTTTTCAAACAACTTAAGTTCTACTTAAGTAGATGTATTAGATTTGAAACCGTTTTTACCCTTGGAATATATTATAAATATACTACTGGATGTACTGAGACACTTCAGTGCAACTTATTGCATTACCATGCAACTAAAATGCACTTAAATATATTTAACAAATAAAACATATATTTAACTGTACTTTTTAAAACATAACTAATTATACTCTTAAATATATTATTAGGAATAATGCAGCCCTGCTGGTGACATCTCGTATAAATAAAAATAATGCACGGCCATATAGTAAGTGGTAGTAAGTTCTGGGAACGAGATAATTAAGTTGTGGCCACAACTTAGTAAGGCATGGGAATGAGATCCTAATGCGTGGCCAAGACTTATTAAGGTGTGTTAATGAGACAATTGACCACAGCTCAACAAGGCATGATCTCTTTCCCACGCCGTACTAAGTCGTGTTCACCCATTAGGATCTTGTTCTCACGCATTAATTCAGAATGCCCACAAGTTATTTTTATTTATCTGGGATGTCACCAGCAGGGCCCCGTAAGGAATTACTACATAAGGCTTAAATTTTATTTAAGTAATGTTGAAATACATCTTATATGCCTACAAGTGCTTTTCGTCTGGAATAACCTGCTGCATGAAGTTAAACTTGTTAACTTGTCTTAGTAAACGTTAAGACGTTTTACTACAGTTGAATTATATATTTTACATATTTTACTCTTGAGTGGACAGATAGTCATGGTTCATTGCCAGTTAGTTTGAATTATATTGCAACAAAATGTACTAAAGCATACTTTAACAGTCCATGCTTTAAAATATACTAAACAATACACTTAAGCTGATGCCCATTAAGTATACTTTTGTTTAAATATGCTTCAGTATATTAAGAAAAACAGTAATCCAAGTGTATTTTCTCACAGCATAATATTGTATAGTTTAAAAATGTGTTACTTTAAGAATATAATTTTCAAAATTATGGTATATTTTAGTTTAATTTCCATAAAATACATGAAATTAAAAATGTACTTTTAGTATTCTATATATATCTATATATAAGTATAGTATTGCTGTATTTAAGTGTATTTTTTTTTGCGACGGAGACTGGAAGGTGAACTCCACCTGAGGTTACTTTTGCTCATCAACTACATGAGCCATCTGCAAGTAATAAAATAAAAGTACAGTACTTTTTGCATAAAAGCCCTCTAGTGTGTGATCAAACCTGAAGAGATGACAGTTCAGTGGCAGATCTTTTTGCTAGAAGTTGCATGGTTGCACTGTAGACCTGTTCTACTCTGAACATTTTATATATATATATATATATATATATGTACTGTCTCACTTCTTCCCTCCTAGGACTTAGATGAGAGCATCCAGGCCCAGATGGATCGTCTGTCCCGATTCGACTCAGAGCCCAGCAACCTGGACCTGCGGGACCGCTCCCCTCTGACCCAGGTGGTGATGACCCACCGCTCCAGCTTGGACCGACTCCGGCAGCAGGTCCGTAAAAGCGATGCTGCGGCCCGCGCCCTGGACCGCTTCCTCATGTCCCTGCGCACCGTCGACCAGGACGTTTCAGCTGTGCAGAGCACCCCCTGCAGCGATGCAGCAGTACTGCAGGACAGCAGGGCTAAGCTGGCGCTGATCCGGAAGGGTGTGGGGAGCTTGAAGGATAAAGCGCCACAGCTGGACCAGCTATTAGGTGGAGCCAGGCTGGAGGTGACCAGGGAAGGGCGACCAGTCTCCTGTCTGGACATGGTGGGAGCTCTGGTGCGGCGGGCAGAGGACGCGGACGACCGGCTCATGATCCGTCAGGAGGACCTGCGAAAGGAGCAGCAGAGCCAGGGGGTCAGGCTGAGGAGAAAGACTCTGCTGGCCGAGCTGAGGAAGGTACAGGGGGCGGCAGAGAAACAGGGGCTGAAGGAGCCCACCATGCCGGCTGTGCAGCACAGGTGGGTGGTCACTTCCAAAACAGATCAACTCATAGTTTGTTTATTGCACTTTATTCATCATTCTAATGAATTGGTTGAAAGTCAGAGCTCAAAACCCATTTCGGACTTATAAATGACTTCCAAATGCTTCAATAGTGACAATCTTAGCTAATTTTGAGCAGAACTCAAAAACGCTAGTCAGTACATGACCAGCAAACACAGCTTTGAACAGCTGTTCACACAAAAAATCATCATATTTTTTAATGGAAACACAAAAAAGTTACCTTAACTGCAGAAAATGTGGTTTGGTTGATTTTCTATGGAGCCCTGCTAGTGACATCGCATATCAATAAAAATAATGCATGGTTACGACTTAGTAAGGCATAGGAATGAGATCATGCCTTACCAAGTCATGGCCACGCATTAGGATCTTGTTCCCACGCCTTACTAAGTCATGGCCACAATTTAATTATCTCATTCCCACACCCTACTAAAGTGTGGCCATGATTTAATTATCTTGTTCTCATGCCTAAGTAAGTCATGGCCACGCATTAGTATCTCATTCTCATGCGTTACTAAGTCATGGCCACGCATTAGGATTTCATTCCCATGCCTTACTAAAGTGTGGCCATGACTTAATTAACTTGTTCCCACGCCTGAGTAAGTCATGGCCACGTATTAGTATCTCATTCTCATGCCTTACTAAGTTATGGCCACACATTAGGATCTCATTCCCATGCCTTACTAAGGTGTGGCCATGACTTAATTATCTTGTTACCATACATTACTATGACGTGGTCACGTGTTATTTTTATTTACTCCGTAAATTTGCTCCGTAATTTTCAGACTTTGGGACACATTTACTCCAAAACAATGAGATCTAAGTGTTCACCATTAGGTTATGAGGACAGGGATGCAGTCTCACTTCCTGCTCAAAAACAAAGGGGCGTGGCTAACATAAGGCCCCGCCTACGAACTAAGATGATGTCTTTCAGTAGTGACATAAAAAAGTGATCGTTTTTGGAATAAAGTTTTTTTAAGCTCATGATAAATTTAAATATTCACATTTATCAAAAATCTTTACAAAACAACACTGAAAAAAGAAATACGTAAAATAAGCACTGTTTATGTTTAAAATAGTTCAATTTAAAAATATTACATTTTTTATGCTATTTTCTATTTTGTAAGTGTAATTTTAGTGGTTAGGGTTTGGGACAGACACTCCAATAGAAAGTACCCTATAAACAATGATGTTGTACAATATATATTTTGCTTGATTATTACAATACTTGATTGTTTTTAATCCATTTAACAGTAAATTTTTAAATATTGTTCACTAAATTTTCTTTAGGGTCTGCTTTGCCTCGTAACACCCTGTATGTACCACTCCAGCAGGAACGGTGTATGTGTGGTGTATTTGTAACGCTTCATTTATTAATAATTTTGTGTAATAAAGCATTTAGAGGCATTTTTGTGTGTGGTTCCCACCAATGTAAACAATTCGGACTCCATTTAATTATGCAGAAATTTGGCCTGGCATAAAGTGTTTTATTAACACATCATTTTGAGAGGGTCTGTGTTAAGAGACTCTTCTTGTCAGTGTTTTTGGTCATTAGCTAGGGCACCAAAACAGGATGACCGGTTTCTCTGACATAGGCCAAAGGTTCATGTTAATGCTCTCCATTTGACCAGCCGCACTCAAACCCTACGTGTGTATGTTTGTCAGGATACGTGCCCTGTCAGATTTGGAGACTCAGATAAACTCCCTGTGTCCAGAGTACCAGAGCATCAGGGGAACCGTCACAAAACCCTCCCCGGATTCAGAGCAGCCTGGGCGGTCAGCGGACGAGCTGGACTCCCTCTGGGAGGAGACGGAGAGAGCTGTGGCTGAAAGGTGACACAGACAGTTATGCTGAATGTGAATGATGTTTACAGAGCATCATACATTTTGGTCATCATGGCATGTAGGAATGCTGAGGAATAATAGTCAGAACATCAGTTTATACGCCAAAAGTCTTCAAATCTGGACCTTGAATCCAGTTTTCAGTCCTGGATTTTGTAATTTGCAATCATGTTGTACTTCACTGAACTGTTGGTGTAACTGTTCGACCACCTAGTGTCAAACCTAGCAGGACCAGAAACTGGATTAATGGTCTGGATTTGGGTTGCTTTACATTTGCAATGATAATTTAATCAGTGTATATTTATCATAACAGTAAGGGTGTCTAGATGCATCACTGCATTGTAGTGGGCTGGTCTGAAGGCTCAATTATAGACGATATTACCATAATATAGCAGTTGAATTTACTGCATGTGTAAAACTCACTCCCAACAATATATATCATGAAAAATGATAAAAACTGAAATGAAAACATGAGGAGGAGCTTATTATATAAAGAATTAAAAGGAAACCATGGCACATAACCAAGTTAAAGTGAAGCATTTATTCTGATAAAAAGTAACACAGTTGCCACGGCCACTGTTAGTGCTTACTGGATTAATAAGCACTTTATATTCTTAATGTTTATATAGTATGATTTGTTTCCTCTGCTAAAAAAACACTATTTTTCATGACACAAAGTCAAAAGTGATTAGGTGTGTGTGACTGACCCCCATGGACCCTCACAGAGCAGGTACTATTTGGGTGGTGGATCATTCTCAGCACTGCAGTAACACTGACGTGGTGGTGGTGTGTTAGTGTGTGCTGTGCTGGTCTGAGTGGATCAGACACAGCAGTGCTGCTGGAGTTTTTAAACACTGTGTCCACTCACTGTCCACTCTATTAGACACTCCTACCTTGTCAGTCCACCTTGTAGATGTAAAGTCAGAGACGATAGCTCATCTGCTGCTGCACAGTTTGTGTTGGTCATCCTCTAGTCCTTCATCAGTGGTCACAGGACGCTGCTCACAGGACGCTGCTGGCTGGATATTTTTGGTTGGTGGACTATTCTCAGTCCAGCAGTGACACTGAGGTGGTTAAAAACTCCAGCAGCACTGCTGTGTCTGATCCACTCAGACCAGCACAACATACACTAACACACCACCACCACGTCAGTGTTACTGCAGTGCTGAGAATGATCCGCCACCCAAACAGTACCTGCTCTGTGAGGGTCCATGGGGGTCCTGACCATTGAAGAACAGGGTAAAAGGGGGCTAACAAAGTATGCAGAGAAACAGATGGACTACAGTCTGTAACTGTAGAACTACAAAGTGCACCTATATAGTAAGTGGAGCTGGTCAGAATGTTCTGCCTGATCGGTGTATATTAAGTGTGTAATCTTCTCCAGGCCGGTCCATTAGCTGAATTATAGTGAATCACAATTCCTCAAAGAATCATAATTGAGTTCAGTTGTTGTGAGGTCAAAAAGGTGCAAGTGTAACACATGTGAGATGAGCTCTTCACCACTCATACAATCAGAAGTGCTAAAGCTCTTGGTTAACTGGTTCTAAGAATTGTGAGGATGTGAGATAAACTGACACTTGCCACTTTTGATATGTGCAGACAAGAGCAGTGCCGCACGCTAATGGAGCTGCTGAAGAAGTTTCAGACCTGCCGTGGTTATCTGGGCAGCACCCTCCAGAGGGCAGAGCAGACTGTGAGTGAACAGGCCTCATACATGAGTAAAGACAGTCTGCAGCGCCTCCTGGCCAAGGTGGGTCATTGTTCACCTTCTACCTCCATTTTTGTCACTTTTTTACTTTTTTGCGCAGTTTGAAAACTCCAGTTGACCTTTGCATTGTATTAAAATGTAATGATGAACGGAACAACAGAAACGGTCCAAAATTACTTGGAAAAAACCTTGTTTCATTAACTTCCATTAGACTTTAATAAGGGTGATTTATATTCACTCTAAATAGGTTAGCGGGATAAAGGACGATTTGAGCGGCCTGGGTCCGAAGATGGAGGAGTTTCGGACTGTGTGCAGGCAGCTTCAGTCTCAGCTGAAGAAAATCCCAGACTGCTCAGAAACTCCGTTTGAAACAGAAGCGGATGCGCTGGTGGACTCCTGGCTGGACGTAAGAGCATTTAACCCCTTAAAATCCCAGATATATTAGACACTAAAGCTTATTATTCAGTTACTACATGGACTACAATGCAAACTGGCTGAGTTATTCTTATGTTATAGAAGTGTGTAGTAAATGTGGATCTGCTGATGGCCATTTATGGGGTTAAAGTGATGCAAAATGTTAAGAAATATTTAGACATTTTTTCTCTTACACCGATTGTAGTTGATCAGCTGAGATGTGTCTGAAATTTGCTTCTTTAGTTTTGCACTGGAGCTACTAGGTGAACGTAGATAGACAGATAGATAGATAGACAGATAGACAGACAGACAGACAGATAGATAGACAGATAGATAGACAGTTAGACAGATAGATAGACAGATAGACAGTTAGATAGATAGACAGTTAGACAGATAGATAGACAGATAGATAGATAGATAGATAGATAGATAGATAGAAAGATAGATAGATAGATAGACACATAGATAGATAGACAGTTAGATAGATATATAGATAGACAGACAGACAGACAGACAGACAGACAGATAGAGAGATAGATAGATAGACACAAATAGATAGACAGATAGACAGACAGAGATAGACAGATAGATAGACAGTTGGATAGATAGATAGATAGATAGATAGATAGATAGATAGATAGATAGACAGACAGACAGATAGACAGTTGGATAGATAGATAGATAGATAGATAGATAGATAGATAGATAGATAGGTGTAGCTATCAAGTAATAAAAGCTTTTGTGCACCAGTTAGCATTGTGCTCAAACAGACTTTCTTATGGTCATTCTATGCCAACTTGCCAAGGCCCTTCTCGGTCATGGGATGGATTCCATTTTTTTAATGTAATTGGCCTCTGATAATAGCCGACGTAGTCTTAGTGCTTTAAATGTGTGCACAAGTCTGCCAGATGTTTCATCGCTTTTCTGTGCAGGTTTCAGAGAAGACAGACTCCTACATGGATAACCTGCGTGTGGGTTTGGAGCTCTGGGAGAAGCAGCTGATGCTGGGTGGGGAGCTGGAGGGCTGGGCTGCTGCTAAACTCAACCTACTTGCTGAATCTCACCCATTCAGCACTGAGAGGGAGGTCTTCCTGATGAAGGTACAGAGAAAGCAGACCTGTCCAGCTCTGTAATCTGTTTGCAATGACTCTTTCCTCATTCCCTGTGTTTGTTCTACTGATGTGCGCGCTATACTTGCGTTAGGATGAGATCCAGACGCAGGAGGAGAATATCGAGCGTTTCCACAGGAAGTCCTTGGAGATTCAAAGCCTTTTACAGAGCAGAGAGGCTCCACTGGAGCTACAGGTCAGTTCTGCTGACCTGCGTTGACTCTTGTCTTGCTTTTGGAGTGGTTTAGTTTTTATAACCTAATCTCTGTCTGATACACTTGCATGCTGTCAATTACAGGGAGATAATAAAACATTTTTAAGTAATGAAAAGAACATATAGTAGCCAATGGGCATTGAAATATTGAGGAAATCAGTAAAGGAAAATGCGTCGAATTATTGTTCAAAGTAACTGACTATTTACTACAAGTGTGGTAGACAGAAATTAGAGAGAAAAGCACTGAAGTATTCCTTGAATCTCTGTCTCTCTCATTTTAGCCTCTCATTTTCTCTCATATGGTTCATTTGCTTAGTTTTTTCTTTTCTTTTAGTTTGCCTTTTACGGCAACAGCACGCTCAACAGTCTCTCTTACTCCCTCTGCCTCCTCAGGTGATGGAGACCGGTCTCAAGAAGAAGGTGGAGGAGGTGAAAGAAGTGTTTTCCGGCTGTACAGAAGTTTTCCAAGAGCTGCTGACTGTCCGAGATCACCTGCTTCAGAGGATTGACGCCTGTCGATCCGCCATCCAGAGAATACAGTCATCAGTGAGCGCGCTCAGTGCAGATGATGCAGCTCAGCTAGAACAGCATTTACAGGTACTACTCCAATCAGTTCATGTTCAACTAATCCAAGAGATTCTTACTAGTGGCCTAGCCCACTAGTGGCCATTCAACTGGTGGAGTGAAATAACTCTGTTATCAGATTGACCAGGCTACTGTTGTCTCTCTGTGTGTGAAATGTTGGGCTGAGCTGCAAGTAAACAATGAGGGTCCCTCAAAATATTCTATCGATGTTATTGATTGAAGAAAAAACATAGTTCAACTAAATCTTGACCCATCTAGACAAAATGTAAATAACTTGGGAGGAAAAAACAAAGAAAGCATGTAATTTAGGCTTTAATAAATTGTTAAAAGCTTCCTTGTCCAGTCCAAACTTCAGAAACTCAACATGTCTTGGCTGATCGAATATGTTTGGGGGAAACTTTGATTTTTTTGCCAAAATATTCCTTAAAACAATCCTTTACAAGCTCTTTCCATCCCTCTGTAGGATCTTTCTGAGCAGTTGTTGGATCAGGAGGACCAGGCTGACTCTCTGATGAAGGAAATCACTCTCATGTCCAGTGTGACCGGACCTCAAGCCATAGAGGAACTGACCAGTGACTGCAAGCGTCTAAAAGACAGCATCACCACAACGCAGGAGCTCATTGGTCAGAAAAAAGAGCAGGGAGAGAAAAGCATCCTTGTCCAGTCTATTAAAGGTACATGAGGCACAATGTGAGCAGAAACGCTTAGATGTTGAATAGTTAAATGTCCTATTTGACAGTGTTTTTTCATGCAAAGTATCTCATGAACCTAATTGACTGATTTACTGACTCACTGACTGCCTGAGTGACTGACTGACTCACTGACTGATTTACTGACTGGCGTATTCACTGAATTACTGTCTGCCTGACTGAGCGACTAACTGATTCACTGAATCATTGACTGACTGACTGATTCACTGAATTAGTGTCTGCTTGAGTGACCAACTGATTCACTGAATTGCTGTCTGACTCACTGACTGCCTGAGTGGCTGACTGAATCACTGACTGACTCACTGACTGACTGACTGATTCACTGACTCACTGATTGACTGATTCACTGACTCACTGACTGATCGACTGACTGACTTAATGACTGATTCACTGAATCACTGACCACATGAGTGACTGACTGATTCACTAACCCAATGACTGATTCACTGACTCACTGACTGATCGACTGACTGACTTAATGACTGATTCCCTGAATCACTGACTGCATGAGTGACTGACTGATTCACTAACCCACTGACTGATTGACTGATTCACTGACTCACTGACTGATCAACTGACTGACTTAATGACTGATTCCCTGAATCACTGACTTCATGAGTGACTGACTGATTCACTAACCCACTGACTGATTGACTGACTGACTGGCAGACTGAGTGACCGACTGATTCACTGCCTGCGTGACTCACTGACTGACTGACTGACAGGCTAACTGATACACTGACTCATTGACTACTTGAGTGACTTTCTGACTGCCTCACTGACTGACTGATTCACTGATTGACTGATTCTATTAGCACTCAAATAGCTGTTGTTCTTCACATTAATAAGACTCGGTCTGTGTTTAATCAACACTGTACTGTTTGGTTTCATTTTTTAGTTGTTTTATTGTGCGTGAGATAGTAAGCTAATGTTTTTCTGCATCACATATTCTTTAGACGAGTGCCAGCTGTTTGAGGACTGGCTCCAGGATGTGCAGCTCTCCGTGAACGAGTGTTTCGAGAACCCTGAGAGGAGGCAGGACGTGGAGGCCTCCATGCTGAGACTACAAGTGAGTGAATGCCCTTATTAGAAACAGTCGTATCACAGTTCCAGACAGCAGACCTGTTTTTTTAAATATAATATTGTTTGTAATATTATATTTAATTTTTTTGTTATATGGAACATATATTTTGAAAGTTTTTTCTCTATTTTAACACCATAACCACACAAACACCTAAAATTACTGTTTATTTCTTTTCACAATTTTTTCTCTTAATATGTTTCCACAAAATGTGTTGATGTTCTTCAGAGACGACGGAGGTTACTTTGCTAATCTTCTGTTTGGTGCAGGGTTTCCTGGCTTCTAAAGAAGGTGAGCAGCGTCTCCTCCAAGTGAAGGAGTCCGTGGAGAGGAGAGGGCAGATCCCTGTGGAGATTCAGGCTCAGCTGTGCGTTTGGCAGCAGGAGCAGGAGGGAGAGATGGCCACTCTCAGAGCTCACTGCCAGGGACGCCACAAACAACTGCAAGACATCCTGCTCAAACTCAACAGGTCCCTTTCTTATCCTTTCTGTTCAGTAGAGGTGGGCCATATGATGATAACTGACAATTGATAATTGATGATAATTATCTTGATCACCTGTCGTGATAAGGGTCAGTGAGTGTATTGTGGGTATTAAGAAACTGTAGCGTTGCACAGACTCTTATAAAGAGCTCCCAAGTGGCACTGCAGTCTAAGATTTAGTTCTCTTGTCACAATTGTCGAAATTTTGATTTGGATTATGATACTAAGGCCCAATCCCATTTCACCCCTCCCCCTACCACTTAGCCCTTACCCCTCTGTTTTGCATGTTCACGTCTAGGGGTAGGGTGTCCTGATTTTTGTTGAGACAGAGGGGTAGGGCGAAGTGTGAGGGCTACATGGCCCTCCAAACGGAGGTTTTTCAGAGACTCCAAACGGAGTTTTATGAGAAAAAAACGGAAAAACCAGCAAGATGGCTGAGCAAGAGACCAAAGAAACCCATAAATGTGAGAATTTTCTCCATTAAAAAATATAATAACCACTGTATTATCTTAGTTTAATGTCGTTTCAATGTATTATCATCTTAACAAGCATAAAAAATCACTAGTAGTATGCTGATGTCTCGGTAGCTGGCTAAATTTCCAGTTCCACCTTAAATAGTCCAGCAGTTCTGATGCCTGAAGTACCAGAATGTATCTGCTGCTCCATTTAAGGTGGAACAGGAAAGTTCGAACAAGAAGCTGGTGAATAGCTGACTTCATCTTTGTATCACCAGAGAATTAGGGGTGGGTGATCATAAGTAATTGCCCCCCCCCGCTTTGAAGGCATATGATGCCGTAAATGTAACTAAAGCCCAGCAGTGAGGAGCTGAACTTTACCCTCCTCTGCTGTCACTGCAGACTGGCAGGGTCGCCTACAGAGCGGCGCTAGTAGCTGTTAATGAAGTAATATTCTTTTTATTTGAGGGTCCCATTTCGTAGGGCAGGATTTCGACCACTACCCCATGTAACTCAGTTCCAGGGGGCAAAGAGATACTTGAAAACAAGAGGTAGGGGTAAAATAAGAAATGGGATTGAGCCTAAGTGTAACACTTATTAAACCTCAGAAATGTGTTAGATATGCTGAAAATGTTGCAATATTTCTGCCATATTTCCCACCCCTACTGTTCCGTCGTGAATTCTTCGTGTGGTATTTATCCATCAGCCCATCCATTGATTTAGAGGATGTTTCTCTTGTCGACGTTAGCTTGCAAGAGGAGCACGACCATCTCCAGGAATGGTTGGAGCAGAACGAGCAGATACCAGAGCAAAGAGAAAAGCTCAGACAAGCTCATGAGGACTTCCTCAAGGAAAGGTATGTCAGTTCCGCTCTCATAGTTCCTGTTAGATAGATTAGAGAACCATTTGATATAATTCACTGGACTGGAGTGCAGATTATAATTTCCAATCCTAACCACCTTTGTGTTTGTAAGTAGAGTTTATGAGGAGATATTTTATCATAATTTGAAAGAATAAAAAATACCTTTTTGCCATGTTGTTCTCATTTGTTTTACATTGAAACAAATAGAACAACATCAGAATTACAGAATCAAGAACCTGTCCAAACTTGTGATTCATGATTCATTATTCAGAATTCTAAATGATTCATTGCATAACTGTTGAGTTTATCATTATGTCATTGCATGAAAATAATTATACGTAAATCAGATTTGTGTAGGAAAATGATAATAATAACGCCAGACCTCTGAGAGTTCATCGTCAGTTTGACTCATAGTCACAAGGTCTTGTGTATAAACTTTTGTAAATGTTTTCCTCATTTTACTCCGTGTTTCTGTGCTGGACAGCGGTCGAGTCGAAGCCTTCAGTGATCTGCTGGCCTCTGTGAGGTTGCGGGGGCTGAGAGCTGACCCTTTGCTTAAAGACAGCGAGTCGCTGGTTGACCGATACCACAGTCTGGGGATTCGTCTGGAGAACCAGGCCCAGGTCCATGAAGCCTTGGAGAAGGAGGTAGAAAGCTTCCATGCTCAGGAGGACGACATTAGGAGCTGGATTAGAGAGTTAAAACAGGGTCTGGACTCATTAGACAAAGACGCTTCAGTAGAAGAGAAGCTCTACAAGGCTCAGGTAAGAAATAAGGTTTCTGCTATGCAGTAATATAGAAATGTTTTAATTCATGGTTGAGAATCTTGGAATGAATGTTTTTTTAACAATGTAATATCAATTTGGTTGCAAGTAAATGTAGAAATGTACAGTTACTGTAAGTTGATGATTACAGTACATTATATGGGCAATAAAGAATTGAGACACGTACACGTTACACCTACAGGAGCTTTTATGTCCATAGGCATTAATATGGACCTGGTTCCCCTTAGCAGCTGTAACAGCCTCCACTCTTCTGGAAAGCTTTCTACAAGATTTTGGAGTGACTGTGGGAATTTTTGCCCATTTATCCAGAAGAGCGTTTGTGAGGGTCAGACACTTGTTGGACAAGAGGGCCTGGCTCATTATCTCTGTTCTAGTTGAGGTCAGGGCTCTGTGCAGGCCACACCAAACTCACCCAGCCATGCCTTTATGGAGCTTGCTTTGTGCACTGGGGCTCAGTCATGCTGGAACAGAAAAGCACCTTTCCCAAACATTCCCAAAATGTCTTTGTCTGCTGAAGCATTAAGGTTTCCCTTTACTGGAACTAAGGGTTCTAGACCAACCCCTGAAAAACAGCCCCATATCATCATCCCTCCTCCACCAAACTTGGCACAGTGCGGTCAGGCAGGTAACGTTCTCCTGGCATTCACCAAACCCAGACTCGTCCATCAGACGGTCAGATAGAGAAGCGTGATTCATCACTCCACAGAATCCACTACTTCAGAGTCCAGTGGCGGCACTTTACACCACTCCATCCGACGCTCGGCTTTATAACCAGCTATTCTTTCACAAATGGTTGTAAAGGGAGACTGCATGGCTAGGTGTTTGATTTTATACACCTGAATTAATAACTTCAGAATTAATAAAATCTTTTCAAACATTTATGTTAATAATGTTATACTTCATTATTGATTTATTTCTATACATATTATGCTGTTTTTGCTCTTATACAATTTTAATTATCTCCTACTTTTCATGTCTTTGTTGTGTTTTTTTTTTGTGAACCAACTTTGAGTCTAAGGTAATCTCAATATTAAGATAGGCATTATTATTATTATTATTATTATTATTATTATTATTATTATTATATTACTGTTGCTGTAAATAAAATAACACCATATTATCATAGCTGGTCTTTTGAATAGTAGTGTAGTCACTGAGCCATTCTACTGATGGATGTGATTTGTTTCTTCAGGCTGTTTTGAACCGATGTGCTGAAGGAGACTCCAAGCTGGCAGCTCTGAACAAAGCGAGAGAGAATTTATATGCTCATGAAGAGCTGGAGGACATCAAGCAGCAGGAACTTCTGCAGAACCTCAGAAATGTAGAAGATGAATGGAGAAGACTTGTGGATTCTGCTCAGCAGCTGAAATCCCAGGCTGAGCTCCAAAACTCTCTCTTAAGGGAACTAGAAGCCCTCCAAGCGCAGGAGAGGAGTGTCCGATTCTGGGTGGAAGAGCAGAGGCAAAAGCTGGACTGCCTGGACAAAGACGTTCCACACCAGGATGCACACAACAAGGTTCAGGTGAGCTCAGAGACTTTTACAATCACAATCATTAGTAAACTGATTATTGTGATGGTAACGACAATTCTCACTCTATGGAGACAAGGTTGGCTAAGTCTTGGCAACCCAACTGAAAGTGCCATACAGTATACTTTTAATATATGTAAATGAAGTGAAACTGACTATTTCTGAGCTAAAATTCTCAAACAGTAATGATGCCAAATAAAAATACTAGACAGTCAAACAACTAAAAGAAGTTCAGTTAATTGCATTAGTTTGTATTATTACCTCACTGTACTTCATACAGTCGTGGGTTCTTGTTACAGTGGAGGATCTCAAAGGGGAACTGGAGCTTCACTTTGCTGCTGCTTTTGTTAGTTTGCTGCTCATTGATTTATCCACAGTTCCCTCGCGAGCGTCTGTCCAGTGCAATGAAGAAGCTGAAGGTTTCACTTTAAAAGCCATTTATAAGCTGTATTTGAATGACTGGGTTACAATCACAGATTCTGTCATAGAAACATGCAGTGCACTGCAGCTGGACTTCTGCCTGAACTGCTACAAATGGATTAATTGTCATACTACACATTTCAAAATGATAGTTCCTCAAAGGGTTCTTTAGTAATAAAAAATTGGCTCTATATAGAACTACAAACATTCAAAGAACCCTTTGCATGAATGAAGGAGTCTTCAGATTAATGGAGAATGTTTTGTATAAGGTTCTATGTAGAAGCTTTTTGAAAAGGGTTCTAGATACCACCAAAAGGGTTCTGCTATTGTAACAAGTCTGACATTGTAACAGTAGAAGAACCCAACACATTCTCCATCAATCTGGAGAATGCTTTCACCATGCAAAGGGTTCTTTGAATGTTCCTTGTTCTATATAGAACCACTTTCTTTACCAAAGAACCCTTAATTACATTTTTAAGTGTGTAGGATCATCAGTGGAATTTCTAATACATCACGTTAATGTGGTATTAACACATTATTAATGTTTCAACATTGATATCCCTTAAAATTACTTTTAGATCTTGAGTTGACTGAAAATGACATTTTTGACCACCAATATTTATCATGTTTTTTTCCATTTTTCACGCCTTATTTCAGTAATAGTAACTAAAATACTTGTGCAAAAAATTCACATTGTTTTCTAAAAGCAATGACAGCTGAATTGAGAAATTTTGTTAAAAAAATTACAGATTAACACAAATAACCTGTATGACACCATCTGTGTTTAGATTGTTGTGGTAAAATACAAAACAGAAGCGAATAAGTTAAGAATAGACCTTTTTTTATTACTTTATTGTGTTGTTATTAGATGACGACCATGCCACATTAATAAAATGTTGTATATGAAACAAAAAATAATAAATACCAAAGTTCTGGAATAAAACATTCTATCACAGCAACAGAAAAGTTTCCCTAATTTAGTAATCACCCTACAGAAATATGGAATTTAAGTTCTGAAATAATTCAAACTCTGTTTTCCACTCAGGATGTCTTGAACTTGCAACATGAAGGAAACTCCAAGCTGATGGCTCTGAGGAACAGAGGAGTGAGCATCGGCGTTCATAAGGAACTTGGCAGCGAGAAGAGATACAGCATTGAGCAGAACCAGAGACACCTGGAGGAGGAGTGGGAAAAGGTTCTACAGGCTGCACAGGAGCTGAAGAACCAGATTGAGCATAAAGATTTACTGTTCAGGGAGCTCCAAATCTTCCAAGACCAGAGAGAAGACACTCTGGCTTGGATTAGACAGCTAAAAGAAAACTTGGAGTCCCTGGATAATGCCTGTTCATTTCAAGAGCGATTAAACAGAGCTCAGGTATGAGAGGGCAATGAACACATACATATATGTATATATATGTATGTATGTGTGTGTGTGTGTGTGTGTGTGTGTGTGTGTGTGTGTGTATGTATGTATGTATGTATGTATGTATGTATGTAATCAAAAGTGTTAATTTAGATATTAGGAATATATATAAAAAGTTACAATTCTTTAGGAAGTTTTTTTTTCAAGAATTTGGTCAATGCATCAAATCGATTCCATGATTTACAATACAACAACCTTTTTTTTTACGTTTAAACAAAGAGAGTTTGATTTTGGCCAAAAAATGCATACTTTGCTGAATATTATTATAATCATTAATATTACAGTTATGCATCACAAATCTTAAAAAATCTTTGAGATATTCAGTAGTAAATTATGAAAGAGAACTGTGCCCACAACTGAACCCTGATGAACACCATGTTTAATTTACCACTTTACAAAGTTACAAAAAATAAAAAATTAAAGTAAAAAAATACTCAGAATACTTAAATGTAACTGGAGAAACTGTTTACACAGTAGTGTAATATAGGATTTTTTGCATTTGAAAGTAGCCCAAGAATTTCATTTGGGCCCAAAAAATTACATACTTTACTAAATGTTATTGTAAGAATTTATAATCATTATTATCTATTCTAATCTTCAATTCTTTTAAAATCAATGCAACTAAATCACCATATACATCAATGCATCATGAATCAGGGAATCATTTTTACATCCCTAGTAGATAGCCAATATTAAATTATGAAGGACAGCTGTACCCATAATTGAACTCTGATGCACACCACCTTCAAATGACCACTCTGCAAACTTACAAAAGGTCTTTTGCTTGTTTCGTACCCTAGGCTGTTTTAAACCAAGGACCCGAGGGAGACTCTAAGCTTGCTGCTCTGAGGGAGAAAGGTGAGAGTGTGTGCACTTGTGATGGGCTTGAAGAGGACATGAGGCAGTCAGTCCAGCAGACCCTGATAGGAATTCAGGAAGAGTGGACAGGAGTGCAGGAGTCTGCTCAAAAGCTGAAGAGCCAAGCCGAGCTCCAGGAGGCTCTTGCTAAAGAGCTTCAGGATTTTAACTCCCAAGCAGAAAGCGTTCGAACCTGGGTCATGGAGCAGCAGCAGAGGTTCGAATCGCTGGACAAAGACACTCCTGTAGAAGACAGACTTAATATCTCACAGGTAAGAGACATTTAAATACCATTAACCCTTTAATTCTGAGCCAAGAAAGTGGCTAAACCTGCTTTTAATTCTGCTCTTTCCCTTTAACAACATGATTTCTCAGTGCTGTTGTCACATAGACTTACATACATGATCCAACAAAATCAAAAATCAATAGATTTTTATCTTGTGAGAATCATAAAGTACCGTTCCTGTTTCCAATACATATACTGGAATATATACACAACGTATGAGGAGGGCACTTCTAACCACTTCTAACCACTTACACTACCAATCCCATCCTCCATGACACGATTACTCTAATGGACTCAACTACACACTAACAACAGCAACAGCATAAACAACAACAACGACAAAGGCCCACTTTGCATGGCCACACCCCCTAAGCTCCTCATGGCAGTACGGTTTGTGGCGGATGCCTCAATTGTTGCTGTCAGAATAAAAACTTGTATCTCTAAATTAGTCACTTTGTAAGACAAGGAAAAAATATGCTTCATTAATATTGAATGTAACACGAGCAAATGTAATGTAACAAGCAATTTTGGTCTATTTCTGTTGGTGCATTAATCATCAAGTTTTACCACAATGCAAAGAGTAACTGAAGTTTTCCAATTAAGCAAAAAAGTTAAAAACAGTAAAAAAATGAACCATGGAATTACTTATTCTGATTCCCACAAGGGGACCCCATTAACACTTTAGCATGTGAGGAAACCCACATCAGCGGTAATGCATGTATGGCTGGAGTTCAAAACAAGAAATGAAGTAGTTTCTTACATGAAAGTAGGACTCACTGTTATTTAAATGTGACTTATAAGAAAAGGCATAGAAAAGGCAGTAGGAACAGTGAGGGTTCCTTAGCTCCTGATTCCAGAGACGTCTGTCAGGAGGACAAATGTTTATCAGCAAGCAAACCGTAAAATTCCAAATCATTGCTGGCTTTAAATATGACATTATAAACAAAAATAAACAACTCACGGACATGTTGTGCACTTCAAGGTCCAAATAAAAGTGGATTTGTTCTTTGCTGTTGGTGTTACCTGATGGACTACAACTACCATAAACTACAGAACTTAATTAACCCACATCGCAGCTCGCAGAGATGAGCAGATGACTCAGGCAGTTGGGAAATGTTATTCGATATGGCACATGGCATGAAGTTAGAGTAGCTGTCAGACAGTTGACTATGAATAATTGGCTAGAACTTCCATGAGCACTAGGACTTGACAAAATGTAGATGTCTCGCATGCGTGCGCCTGTGATCTTTTATGTATTCACACAAGACTAATTTCTCCTAGCAATATTGTCACATTGTACAGCCCTGATAAAAGGCAGTTAGTGATAAAAAGTTCTTTGCCTGCAGATGAAGCTGAGGTTGAGGTTTTGCCAGTTTTTATGTTGACCGTGGCCCTAATGTTATGCTTATTTGAAACCTGCAGGCCATCCTGGACTTGCAGCCAGAGGGAGACTCCAAGCTCGCTGCTCTGAAGATGAAAGGAGAAAGTGTGGGTGTCCACAGCGAGCTGGAGGAGAGCAAGAAGCATTCAATCCAGCGGACTCTGGGAGACCTGCAGGAGAAATGGAGAATGGTGCTGGAAATCGCTGAAGAACTTCGAAAGCAGGCTGAGCTCCAGGGTTCTCTCTCAAGAGAGTTTCAAGCCTTCGAGTCCCAGGAACAGAACATGCAGTCCTGGGTCGAGAAGCTGAAGCAAGACCTAGACTCACTCGGCAAAGGCACACATGGCACCCAGGAACAGATTGAGGAGAGACTCAACAGAGCTCAAGTGAGAGAATTTAATATCCTAGAAATAATAGAAGACCACATGGTTTATTTCCACGTTTGATCAACTTAATGCTGGTAAATTTGCTGTGTTTGATCATAATCAGTAATATTTCCACCCTCAGGCTGTTTTAAGCCTTCGTCCTGAAGGAAACTGTAAGATGGCGTCCCTAAAGAGGAGAGCAGAGAGTCTGTGTTCTCGCGAAGATCTGGATGAAGATGTTAGAAGCACAGTTCTACGGAAGCTGAGGAGCTTAGAAGAAGAGTGGAAAGGAGTACTGCAGCATGGTCAAGAGCTACACAGGTCAGTAACTATGACATACACCGATCAGGCATAACATTATGACCACCTCCTTGTTTCTATGCTCATTGTCCATTTTATCAGCTCCACTTACTATATAGGTGGTGGGTCATTCTCAGCACTGCAGTAACACTGATGTGGTGGTGGTGTGTTAGTGTATGTTGTACTGGTACGAGTGGATCAGACACAGCAGTGCTGCTGGAGTTTTTAAACACTGTGTCCACTCACTGTCCACTCTATTAGACACTCCTACCTCGTCAGTCCACCTTGTAGATGTAAAGTCAGAGACGATAGCTCATCTGCTGCTGCACAGTTTGTGTTGGTCATCCTCTAGTCCTTCATCAGTGGTCACTTTTTTCACTTTATTTTTGGTTGGTGGACTATTCTCAGTCCAGCAGTGACACTGAGGTGTTTAAAAACTCCAGCAGCACTGCTGTGTCTGATCCACTCAGACCAGCGCAACACACATTAACACACCTCCACCACATCAGTGTTACTGCAGTGCTGAGAATGATCCACCACCCAAATAGTACCTGCTCTGTGAGGGTCCATGGGGGTCCTGACCACTGAAGAACAGGGTAAAAGGGGGCTAACAAAGTATCAGAGAAACAGATGGACTACAGTCTGTAACTGTAGAACTACAAAGTGCACCTATATAGTAAGTGGAGCTGATAAAATGGACAATGAGCGCAGAAACAAGGATAATCCATTGGAACAAAAGAGGAGTAGAATTACAGCATGTAGTTTATACAAATGAGCTGTCTAGTGATTTGGATTATGGCAATAATATATTAATGTAAATGTAATGTTTGGGAATCACTTGAGGTCCTACGATATGATATTATCATGATATTTAAGCCATAATGCAATTCAGGTTTTGCAATATGATGGATTATGATACATTGCGATTTATTACTCTTGAGTGAAAATGATTGGACTATTAGGTTGGTAGCATTGCGTGACGTGAGAGATCTTTCTAGCAGGTGTGAATTTGAAATGACCAATCAGGGGTAAAATTAAAAGGAAGAAAGAACAGTAAGAACATGTTGCCTTAAGCTATATTGATCAAGTCAAGCTACAAATAGAGGCTGAAATATTTAGATCTCAACAAAAACAATGAAAAGTCACACAAAGATGGAATAAAATTTCACCATATTGCATCGGCGACATGTAGTTCGATTATGCTGCAAATTACAGATGACCTTTCACATACAACAATAATATCATTTGAATTTAATAATGAAATTTGATAATGCCAACAGGAGCTATGAAAGGAAGCCTTTGTAGGCAGAGCATAGAGGTTATTTCCTTTGTATAGGCCTGAATTTAAAGTTGATGTCAGTGCTGACCCAAGCTCTGTCCTCTGCTTCAGTCTTTTGAGGAGTGTGGTGGAGCGTCTGGTTTCCTGCCAGTGCCAGAGGCAGCAGACTCAGTCTCGTCTGGAGCAGCTGAAGAAGCAGACAGAGGCGCTGCCCCGCTGCTTTCCCTGGCCTGGGTTAGGGGACCGGAGACACGTGGTGGAGCAGGCCAGGGCTCTGCTGGAAAAAACAAGGTCCCTGACCCCCACCCTGTCCGCCCTCAGGGCCCTGGGGCGGGAGATGAGCCAGCTCACACGTGACCCCAGCTGGTCTGACCCGTCCTGGGTAGCCATGGAGGAACACATCCCAGGGTTAATCAAAGAGCTGACGGTGAGACTGATTCAGCCCAAAATTTAAATTAGGCAGTTTTACCCTTGATTTAGGTGCCACATGTAGACCTGCTAAGACATGTTTGGTACCTGAAGTTTTCCTCTGTAGTTTTGCTCGTCTCTGCCTCAGTCATCACAAACGTGCCACAGATATATAAACATGGACTAAAGTATGGCTAAAATTCAGACTACAGAAGAAATGTAAGAGAGATGAATATAAACATTTTCAATGTTTGACCACAGCAGTGAGTACTGTGGCCAAAAATAAAAAAATTGTAGAATTGTAGAACTTTGTATTATTATACAAATATATATTATGTATGTATTATATTTACAATTAACAAACATGCATTAACAGGCAAGGCAAAGCAAGGCAAGTTTATTTATACAGCACTTTTCATACACTGCTGTCAGTTTATTAAGACAAAACATTCGATAGAGAAAATTATTGAATTAAAGACCAAATTAGAAATTAGATTATTAGATAATAATTAGATTAGATAATAAATCATCGCTGTACAAGATATATCTAATATATAAATATATATATATATATATATATCTAATATATAAATGATAAGATATATCATTTTTTCATCATTTCAGCACACCAGCTGTCCTTTACGTCATGTGAAATTTCATGATGAATGGACCAATAGAAATGCTCTAAAATCACTTGGAATAAAACCTCTTTGCATTAACTTACATTAAGTTAATTTTGCTTTCTCCTGTAAAGTTGCTATTTTGGAGAGCGATGAAATAGATAATACCAAAAACCTGTCAGGTATTGCTTTGGGAAAGGAGATATTGTTTAAAAACTTCACATTAATAAGAACATTGCTATCATGTTAGCTAATGCAACGGTTATGATTGGCGAATTCCAAAACAATCTGATTTGATGCCATTAATTCTGTGTCTGACCAAACAGTCTTTGGATCTAATGCACAGGAATGAGGAGTAATTGTTTATTTACTAATGAAGGATATCATGTACGCAATTCTTTTTGAGCTTACTTAACGAGGGGACGTCGTTTAAGGCAAAAATGCTTGATGATTTAGTCGTGCAGTGGACACATTAGTATAAGTTTTCATTTCTTGTTAACTACATTAGCTTTGTAGCTGCAGTGCAACACTAAAAAACTTTAGACACCAAACTTGTTTTGGCTGATTAACTTCATTTGGGTGCATTTTGTCCTTCTTGAACAACAGGATTACTGTAATAATAGTGTTTATGTTTGTGAAGTAAACGAGAGCTTGTGTTGTGTTTTGTTTGAATGTGTAGGAGTTATGTGAGAGTCTAGAGGAGGGCATCCACACGGAGAGAATCTGCGCTCAGCTGGTGGAGCAGCACAGCGCAGCTCAGGATTGGCTGAGAGAACAGGTCAAAGGTTTCGGAGCCCTGCCCACTGATCGCCATGGGTTACAGGGATCCATCAACACTTTAAAGGTTTGCTTGAATCCGCAAAAATAACCAAGGAAGTGGGACAAAATACATCAGAAGAATGAAAATGTAAAAAAAAACATTGCTAAATATGTACTTATGGGCCCAAATAGCTCACATTGCTGCAAAATGTGTTTTACTTTCATAAACATCCACTTAACCCCCTATTGAAAAAATGTTTTATTCACTTTTCTTGCATAAAGTTGGCCCGATTAAAATCAAAAACATAGAAAAATAATGTGGGCTAGGGTAGTTTTGGGGTTTGTTGCCTTGAGGCAACATTTTGCAACTATTAGGAAAGAGATTATGCAGAGAGTCAAATAATTTCATATGTACATTTGGAATGACATCTAGTAATGACAATTTGTTAATCTTTAAATACTAAAAATGCTTAAAAAACAGCCATTATAAAGGAACTATATTACCATGATGGAATATTGTGAAGTAATGTTCAGATTTTTTTTCACACCAACACTTAAATCCACAAACAACAGTCAGCACCATAGATAGATAGTTAGACAGACAGACATACAGACAGACAGACAGATAGACAGATAGACAGACAGACAGTTAGATAGATAGATAGATAGATAGATAGATAGATAGATAGTTTATTGATCCTGAAGTAAATTTAGCAGCCGCACAGCACAGTTATAGTAATAAAGGTGATACAATATAAAAAGAAGAATATATACAAAAAAACAGGTATCTACAGGTATTTATACAAACAGAAATATACAAATGTATACAATAAAATCTATCTTGAGATAAAAAGGCAGTGCAGTAATGAATGTACAAGGAGGCGCAGGTAACAGCATTAATGACAATACTGAATAAATATGTGCAGATATTTGCAAGATGTGCGATAATTGATGATTGGATTAGGCCTCTAGTCACTAATGTTGCATACAGTTTAACACTACAAAATAAAGTAGATTTCCTAAATAAACCAAAACACAAACATAATTAAAGATAAATAATAATTGTAAATGAAAAACTAAACGATAACTGCAATGTTTTCTAAAGTAGCTACGTCACTGGCTATACCCGTTCCTCTATTGCACAGTGTTGCTTCTAGGTACCATTATGTTTGAGTAGTTTCTCAAAATATTCAAATTGTTTAAATGATACTGAAAATCAACAAAAGAACTTTACACTCATATATTTACACACTAATTTATCTAATCAATATTTTCAATTGCTTGTCTGAGGGAATCTGTCCAGCGTAGAAAAGCTGCACTGTGGCAAAAAAAGTTAAAAAATTGCATAAAGATTAGATATTATGACAAGCACTTTATCACTTTATTCAAACTCATCCTTTCATTATTAACTATTTTATTGTCATCGAATATGGATCATGTTTTTGTAAAGAAAACAGGAAAATGCATTAAAGCTTTTGACTGTTACAGCTAAATATGTTTTTTGTTTCAACTTTTTATTTCATTGATATGCTAAACATAGTCAAAGACATTGTTTATGTTTTGCACATTATGCCAACTTTTCATTATAATCCACTTAATGTTTACACTATTTTACACTAGTTTACACTATACTACCATTATTCATTGTTACTGAATATAAGTGTCATCACTGAAAGTAGTTGACCAGATCATTTGTAAAATTGACCTAATTATCTACTTTTTTACAATCTACTAGTATAATATATTTCATAACCTCTCTGTCTCTGCGCCAGGCTCTTCTCCAGACTGCAGAGAGGGAGGAGAGGGAAATGAAAGAACTGGATGTGATCAAAGACTCGCTGATCAACCTTTGCACACCTGGGGGTCGTGATGCGTTGACCCTAGAGGTCAGCCAGCTCCATGACTTGTGTACCTCCTCTGAGAGGGAGATGAGGGAAAGGCTTGCTGTCTGTGAGTCAAGGTTAGCTGACGTTGATTTGACGCTAGCTGGCAGGGCCCAAGGCCTGAGAGCGCAGGCAGAGGGCCTCCTGGATGAGCTCCGTGCTCAGGACCACTGTCTGAAATTTGGAGAAGGAAACAGGACTATTAGCCAGCTGCAGGAAAACTGGCATAACTTCAAGGTACTAATTATTGTTAATATAAAGCCCAGTATTTCTCAATCCTGGTCCTGTACCTGCTTTTTTGTTTCCTCTGCTGTGGCTCACCAACTTCAGCTCAGAAAGGACTTAATTAGCTTATTATATCAACCAAGGTGCATTAGAGAAGGGCAAAAGGCCAGAACCAGGATTCGTATATTGATATGATACCATTGATATTAGCCAGATAAACACCATTAGTCATAACTTTAAAACCACTTGCTTGATTCTACACTAATTGTCCATTTTATCAGCTCCTCTGAACAAATAGGAGCACTTTGTAGTTTCTCTGTTTCTCTGCATACTTTGTTACCCTGTTCTTCAGTGGTCAGGACCCCCACAGGACCACCACAGTGCAGGTACTATTTGGGAGGTGGATCATTCTCAGCACTGCAGTAACACTGGCGTGGTGGTGGTGTGTTAGTGTGTGTTGTGCTGGTATGAGTGGATCAGACACAGCTTTTAAACACCTCAGTGTCGCTGCTGGACTGAGAATAGTCCACCAACCAAAAATATCCAGCCAACAGCGTCCTGTGGGCAGCGTCCTGTGACCACTGATGAAGGACTAAAACAAACTGTTCAGCAGCAGATGAGCTATCGTCTCTGACTTTACATCTACAAGGTGGACTAACAGGGTAGGAGTGTCTAATAGAGTGGACAGTGAGTGGACACCAGCAGCACTGTTGTGTCTGATCCACTCACACCAGCACAACACACACTAACACATCACCACCACATCAGTGTCACTGCAGTGCTGAGAATGATCCACCACCCAAATAGTACCTGCTCTGTGGGGGTCCTGTGGGGGTCCTGACCATTGAAGAACAGGCTAACAAAGTGTGCAGAGAAACAGATGGACTACAGTCTGTAACTGTAGAACTACAAAGTGCTCCTATGTGGTCAGTGGAGCTGATAAAATGGACAGTGAGTGTAGTGTAATGTTATGGCTAATTGGTGTATCTATACAGTATTTAAGTTTCTTTATCTAATAGTCTCATCTTCATGATTTTCATGTTGTCTCTGTTTCCCAGACCTGTGAGAAGGAACTGGAGGAGTTAGAGGGCAAAGTTCGTGACCTTGGACAGGTCCTCCGCATGGTGCCTTCTGATGAGGATCTCCCATCTGATGTCATTGTCCTCATAGACACAGTGACTCAGAAATACTGCAGGTACCATAATTATTCTTTCCATTAGATTTAATGCTGATTCTGTGAACTTCTTATTTCTGCATGCTTCATTCTACACTAAGATATGTTCTCAATTATTTTGACAGACTGGGTATTGTTCAAGTGGGCATTTCCACAGTTCATAATTACGACATAATTTAATCATTGAAATGTAACTAAAATGCAGGTCGTTCAGAGATGTGAAATGGTGCATTAGAGAGAAACTTAGCGATTCAGATTTCTTTATAATGGTGATAATAGGAACCAGGAGTCACAATGTCTACAGTGCACATGTAGTCTCTCTATTTGCCTTTAAAAACACTGGTGAACTTACATGTTTCTTCTGAATTTTTTTATGTAATATTGATAATAATAAAATAAGTTGCAACATGCAGAAAAGTAAAAAAAAACAGGGATACTATGACCAACTACAAGCACCTTATTTATTTTATTAATGCTTATCCATTCTGAGTTTTTATATCGCTGCTGTTGGAGCAAAACCTTGAATCTCCAAAATGATAACTTCACAGGAAAAGGAAAAAAACATACTTTACTTTTAATGTAAATCAATGGAACCAGAATTTTTTCCAAGTCATTTTGGGCCATTTTTTTTGTCCATTCATCATGAAATTTATATACAATATAAAGAACTACAGGCGTTTTCAAAAAACTGAAAAACGTCAAAAATGATATGAGGTTTTGTTCCCACAGCGGTGATATGTAATATTGATAATAGTAAACAGTGATAAATAGTGACTTTGTTTAAACCTTAACAATGTACTTATATAGAAATATTGAATAATCAGTGGAATTGTCCTTTAACTGCAGAGATACTGCTATTATTTCGAGAATTTGTTTGGCTTCTTTGCTAGTTTGCGGTCTAAGCTGTTGGAAAGGCAGAATGACTGTGCTGATAGTGTGGTACACTGCATGAGAGAGGCACTACATGCCCTTCATACCTGGAACCAATCAACACAACCTCCTTCAGACTCCGCCTCCACTATGCAGGTTTGTGGGTTTATCTGTTCCACAGTGTTATGTCATAACATAGCGTTGCCAACTTTGCCATTTTCTGTGAGGTTCCATAATAACATAGAAATCGACACATTCTGGGTCACTCTTTCTCAGGCCATGATAGAAGAAGGTGCAGGACTCCATAAGAGCCTACAGGTGGCAGTGTCTCATAAACAACTGCTCAGGGACTGTCTGGGTCCAGAGCTGGCTGGAAAGCTGGAGAGAGATAGTGCAGCTGCATTAAAGGATGCTGACACTCTCATTAACACGTTCAAGCAGGCACTGCAGGTGAGTTTGAAAGTGAATTGAGTTTATGTTGTTTAAAGTTAAACTAATTAATATGCCTATGTTTGTAAAGTCAAACAAACAAATAACAAAAACAAACTTCCTGTTAATGCAAGATAGAATAACATTAAGCTGTTGAAGTGGGTGCACTCAACTTGCCCATACAGAAAACAGAAATCGCTTTGCCTTGCATAAGGTATTTTCAAGATATATAATTTTGTTCTCCTTATAACTGGGCTATCACCAAAAAATGGTGTGGATTACAGTAGCCCTGTTTTGAGCTTAAGGATTAAGGAACAGTGTCAAATCCATGTTCACTTTGTCTTCTCAATGCCGAAAAAGAGATACAGTTGTTAATCACCAGGTATCCATATTACATTACCGTGAGGTTGATTCAAACAGGATTCCTATACCTGAAGGAGCCCCAGGTTTGGCTAATTATAGAAGGTCATTCTCTCCAGAATGGGAATCAGTCAAATGCCAGCACATCCCCAAGTGAAACTAATCCAGCTCGAATAAGTCTCATTATAAATATCATGTGACAAATTCCAACTTTGTTGACTTTTATTTTCCAGGATCTTGAAGAGAAGGTAAAACAGGAAGCTCTTAAATTATCACTGGAAACTCAAAAGCTTCAGCTGGATTCACAGGTAAAAAGAAAAAAGTGGTATTCCACAGTACAGTTCATGCTGTTTTGTTCCCATTTAAACTACCAAAATCAGGTTCAACAATAAATAGAGAGCAAACAAAATAATTAGATCTTCAAAACTTTTGTTTTCTTATATCTTTGGCTTGGCCATCTCCATCTCCTTAGTTCAGTTTTCCTAGCAGGCCTAGTGTGACTTGTTGTTTTCTTCTGAAATCAGGCTATAAATGTTTTTCCATCATGCCAGGTTTCTACTGAGAGGCACAGCCCCACAGATACTGCCACAAAAGCTGAGCTTGATTGGTCAAAGCAACAAGATATCACTTCTACTCTAACAACCTTGGACAGTCAAGACAGTAAAGAGAATGATAAAAGATCAGTTCAGTCTTCTGAACCTCTGTACCAAGAGGTTCCTTCAGTTATTGACGAGACATTAGGGAAGACAGCATCTCCTCCTGCAGAACAACAAGAAATAGTAGTGACGCGTGTTTACCAGGTTGAACTTTTAAATGATGATCTACCAAGTGTACCACTGCCTACTACACCTAAACAAGAAGGAGCCACTAAGACTGACATTTCTGTAAGCGCCCCTGCAACAGGTGAAGAAGACCATAAGTGGAGCACTGTGGAATTGGAGAAGAAGCAGGATGAAGGGGAAAAGATACAATCTGATTTGTCTGAAGAACTCCATGACTTTGAGACACCAGTAGATGAGGGACACAAAGAGTTCCCTGAACTCGAATGTCCAGAGACTGAGGAAAGTATGGTCTGTGATGCTCCTGGGTTAGAGGAAAGATCTGAAGAGTTGGAGCAAACTGCCATTTCTGAAACCCTGCACAAAGAGGTTCCCATATCAGTTACTGAAGAAGTTTTAAAGTCTCCCATGTCAGTTATTGAAGAAATTTTGGAACCTCCCACTTCAGGAGAGCCACAGGCAACAGGGATAGACTCTTACCAGAGTGAACCCAAAACTGCTGGTCTGCCAGACTCAACATCATCTGTGACATCAAATCTAGAAACAAAAGTCTGGGAATCTGTCATTTCTGTAAGTGAGTCTACAACAGATGAAAGAACAAATGAAAGGATTGAGAGGGAACAGAAGGGAATTGAAAAGATGCAACCTCCCCTGTGTGAAGAAATCCATGACTTTGAGACATTAGAAGAGAAATCAATGGAATTTTTGGAATCTGAAAGAACAAAAACAGAGGTTGATGAAGAAAGAGCAGCCAAAGAGAGAGTAGTCTCTGAGTGGACTGAGGTGGAAAAAACATCTGAAGAATTAGTGGAGTATCCACACTCATCAACTACCCCTACCTCTACAACCATGGGTCATCAAGACCAAGAAAACACTGAAATTCAGAGTCCTGAAATTCTTCATAGAGAAATAGGGTTTACTGAAGAAACTTCAGAAAAGATTGACTCTCCCATAGCAGAACAAGTACTGGTAGCATTAGAAATGGATACTCACCAAACCAAGTCTATGACACTTTTACCAACCACAGTCTTGCCTATGCCTTTTGAACTGCTAACAGAACTCAATGAATCTACCATTCCTGTTAGTGACACTACAACAAGTGAAGAAGAGAAATACAACCAGTTCCTTGAATCTGAAGGTCCAAAAACAGAGAGTGAGGACAGCATTCTTGGTTTAAGATCTGCCATGGAGGTAACAGTGTTGGAGAGGACTGAGATGGAATGCACAGCGGAAGATGAGCTTGGTAAATATCCATGTATTTCGGATGCCAAAGAACATGCAGAGAAAACGCCAATAAAGAAAGTTGCCACACTTGTTCTTGACACTGACACTGTACACATCCATACTACTGAGTCCCTGAGAGAATCTGACCCTGGTACAGCAATAATTGTTTCAGGTGCAACCACTGGCTATGATACCCCACTGTCAAATCCAGTAGAAAGCTTGGATACAGGAATTCAAGAAGGGGAGGAATCACAGGTAGCAAAAGAAGAAGTTTCAAAGGATAGTAGTATCTGTCTGGGTGAGCAAGAACAAGTAAGTGCTCTGAATGTGGTTGCAAGCACTGAGGAAATCAGTGATGGAACCTCAGTACCCTTCACAGAAATAACTGAGACCCAAGAGACTAGACCTCCTGCAAGAGTTGTAGGGATCTTGACTAGTGACAATGGACCAAATGCTGCTCGTCATGAAAGAGAGGGAAGCTGGACAACAGACAATGGCCCACAGGAAGCCCGTAGAGTGATGGAGCCACTTGGTTTGGAGGACTGGACTGATAACGGCCCTCGAGAGATTCAACAAAGATATATTATTCTGGACCAGCGAGAGGGTATACAGATACGCCGAGAACCAGCTGCAGAGGCAACCATGCCAGCCCTGGATGTTACTGCACAAGAGCCAGGTGAGGCACATAAAGAGGCATCTGAACTTGCAGTTCCAGTAAAAGTTGAAAGAGCATCTGGTGAAGAGTCATTTGAAATTGAAGTTAGTGAAATGATGGTACTCAAAGCTAAGGAACAAGCTGAGGAACTAGAAGCAACACCAACTCCACCAGCTAGAAGAGAACAAGATTCTGTCACAAGTGAGAAGTTGTCCTTCAGTACTGAGAACAGGCCAGTGGAGGAACTGCATAGAACTTGTGTAGAAGTTGACAAGACAAGGGGTTCATCACCAGGTGACAAACCCACAGCAGTGAAGCCTGAGCCAAAGCCTACCCCACCAACCAGGAGACGGAAGGAAAGTGACAGGTTGTCAGTCAGTTCAGAGGACCAATCAGAGTTTTCAAATGTTCTTCCTATCCAGGTTCCTCATCCAGAGGTTCTCCCCACTCCACCAAACAGAAGGCGCAAGGACAAATTAGGAGGTGAAAGGTTGTCACTTGATCTTGACTCTCAACCAACTCCACCTGCAAGAAGACGAAAAGAGAAGGGAGAGGACAAACGATTGTCACTTGATCTGGAGCTCCATCCAAAGCCACCCTCCAGAAGACAAAAAGATAAAGCAGAAGACAAAATCTGCCCCAGTACTGAACTGGAGAAAGCCAGTACAGAAGCTATTGAGGAGCCTCTTGTAAAACCAACCCCACCAGTGAGACGAAAAGTAAGTCGAGTTGAGATTGACACCATTTCCATTGATTCCAAAACTGAAGAGATGGAAGCACTGGTGAAGCCCACACCTCCAGCAAGAAGGAGACTTAGCAGAAATCTGAGTGACACAATATCTAAAGAAAGTGCAGGCAGCACTGATCTGGAGAAGATGATTTCACCACAGAGAGCTGTGGAGGAGTCTCTAGTGAAGCCAACCCCACCAGTGAGACGGAAAGTAAGTCGAGCCGAAAGTGAAATTTCAGTTTCCAAACTTGAAGAAATGGAGGAGGCACTGGTGAAACCCACCCCTCCGACAAGAAGAAAAGATAGCAAAACTGAAAGTGACAAATTGCAGCTACAAGAGAGTTTGATTAAACCAACACCACCACTAAGGCGAAAAGATAGCAGAGCAGAGAGTGAGAAAACATCAGTAGAACTTGAAGAGACTCTGCCTAAGCCTGCCCCGACCCCACCAATTAGGCAAAAGAAAGATAAACCTGATCTTGAAATGACTCCAACATTAGAAGAACCACTGATCAAACCAAGTCCACCAACCAGATGCAAAGACAAAACAGAGACCAGCAAACAAGATGATGAAGAGAAGACTGAAGAAAAGTCATTTAGCAGCCAGGAACATCCTGAGAAAGGACTCTTTCCTGCTGATGTAGAATCCGCAGAGACCTTGACTCAGACTGAAAGCAAGAGCTTGGTTCAGGTAACTTGCAGTGGCATGTACGCTGCCAAGGAAGTGTCTGGCATGGAACTCTGGTCTTTTCTGCGCGATGTCCAAGTCAGCATGATATGTGTCATGTGAATAATGTGAACAATCTAACAAGACTTAAAAAGTTATTTGGAGTGTTCTGCATGATGTCTGCCATAGGTTTAAGGTCAACATAACACAGAGTTTTGGAGTAACGTCCACTGATATCAATAATTAATTTTTTAACTGCAGAGAGAAGATTTCTATTCTGAGATAATAACATGCCACATTATCCACAGTACTGTTCCACCATGATACCTTCTTCCATGTAACTGTGACCAAAGAACTCCTTTAGTACCCCACCCTTGAATCTTATGAAGCAGGTTCGACTATATTGAATTGATTATAGTTGCTTAGGTGATAAATAGTGGAGGGAGAAAAAAATTTATAAAGTGTCACAATATTTTGGGTTTAAAAACAGTATCAATACCAGAGGCCAGAGTAGCAATAATTTTTAAGAATATTTTTTACTATTTTTAGACTAAGAGATTACCAAAATGCACTTATTAGTCTATGAAGTTGTGATACGAATAGATAGTGTAGTGGTTAACACGCCTTTAATGTGACAGCACAGGATTTCAATATGTAAAATATGTTAAAATTAGTCTTGTTTTAAATGTTGTTTGCCTACTTCACAAATCACATCTGCTAAATATGTTATTGTATTCTTCACAATTCTGTCTTGATTCAGTAAATAAAGAGTCAGAGCTAAAATAAACTGTGCACTTCATTAGATAAAACAGTTTGCTTTTGGAGGAATAGTTAGCAGTTAAAAGTAAAAAATTGCAGTATATCCCAATATGTCATATTGCAATACTTAGTATATCAATGGTCTATAAATATGAGAATAGAGTCGTATCATGTCTTAGTGTATTGAGGGGCCTGTAGCGATTCCTAACCCTAGAGCCAATGAGATGAAGTGGTAAAATGAAGAGTAAAAAGAGGAGAAAAGTACTCATTGCAGTTAAATGCCTAGGTTTTTATTAGCTTTGTACTTTTATCATAATAAAATTACTAAGTACACTTATTTCCTTAAATTATAACAATGTGCGGCCTTTGCCTTTTTTAATATTTAGATATATACCACAAAATGTTTTTCAGAAAACAAATGGACAGTCACTTGTCCTGTTCTGTGCACTTCAGTTTTGTTAAAGGTGCCTACAGTGCCTTCTCAGATTGCTACACCATTGCGGTTTCTTTTTTGCACAGTGCATGATCACATACAGCATACCACACTATCCAGCTCTGCAACCTACTACTGCCTTATGGCAAGAAATGGACCCTGCCTCACATTTGTGTCATTTACTATGATGACATTCACCAAGTAAAGGCATGTGTGGTATTGTCTGTGACATTGTAAAGCATGCCCTAGAGGTAGTGTATTTCAGGAAAGGTTTGGATGTCTCAGATTTCTGGTGAAACTCCAAGTGAGCCTTTATCTTTTGTATATTTTTAAGGTCTGCCACTTTCAGTAATCAGAATATGTTCATCATATTGGACTGCGCTGATTTTTCTGTTTGTTTTTTGGTCATAGACACTAGTACAAGACATACATCAGCCAGATACCCTTGCTCAAGATACCCCGATTGCCAGGAGTGATGAGATTCAGGCAGAAATGTCAGAAGAGGAGGAGCCTGTGGGTCCCACAATGAAAGATATCTTCACTGAGGTTAAAAAGATGTCCAAGACAGGACCAAATAGCCTGCTAATTGAGGTAGTGTTACAACTGCTTTGTTTCTAACTGTACCAGTTTCTTGAGTACCACAAAACTAGCCAATACAAAGATATGGCACTTTTCAGTGGTTAGTTATGTGCATTATAATGTTATATAGTCATACAATACAGGCATGATCTTGTTACAAGGACAACTATGAGGATTTTTGGACCAAATGTGGGTGGGAATGTAGACTTATTAGGGTGTGCCTCATGATCCTATACCTCATGATGACAGAGTTTAGTAGGGGGAAATGGTGTACTCATCAAGAGTGTCCAACAGACTACAAGCCTGTCATTAGCACATTATAACATAAGTTAGCAAGGCTGAATGTCCCCCCAAACAACTATAAGTAAGCATGTAGATGTATTTAAACTCTGTATGTTTAAAGTGCATGGACTACAGGAATTTCCAGGCTGGTTTTAGAGGTGGTGTAGCCTTGTTAACAGTGGGTTTTGCCGCAAACCAGCACCAAAAGTTTTACATATTGTCCCCAGATGTGTATTTTCTAAATGAGATCATGTCTTGACCCACTAGACTAGCTGTATAATTGAAGCCAAATATAAACAAGGGAATCACAGAAATGTTAAGCCCATAATCATTCTGCAGAAATATAGTATTCAGCCATTGATTACAAGGACAGACCAAAGGCCTACCCACTTAATCTACCATATTTTTATGACTACAGAGCATGCCTCATGAAGACAACCTGGATATTCTGGACACTTCTGTTGCTGACCTTGAAGAACAGTTGGACAGACTTGTGATCCGTACATTGAGTTGTCGTAACCTTCCAGCAGTGATCAACCCTACAGACATGGCCAAACAAGTGGAGGATGCTGAGGTAGGTTACCAGAAGAGCTTGTCTTTTGACAAACAGTATAAACCAAAGAGAATTAATGTTGTTTACGATGCTTTTTACTTTCTTAATTTTACGGCATGTTTTAATTTGTACTATTTTGTATGTTAGCATTGCAGACAGAGTGCTCAGAAGCAGGTTTCTTCAATCTCAAAGCAAGATCAAGCTAACGGTGATGTTAGCGTTGTTGCCAATGGCTCAGCCTATGAACCCGAGGCTATGCAACGATTGAGCTGCCAGTGGACGGCAGCCTTATGGGACGCAGTTGGCACTGTGCACGCCAAGGAAGCGCAGTTGCAGCTAGTTATTGACTATGATAGACAGACACAGAAAGTCAAGGCTACTTTTGAGAAATTGTCAGCCGAACTGGAGGCCTTGAAGATGTAAGTACTCAAAGTGGGTTTTATGGGCTTGGAATAAGTCTATTTTAGGACCTGTTAAGTATGTTCTCCACTGAAAGTCACTTCAATATAATGACCAATCATGTTTTAGATTAATTAATTTTCATGTTCCATTTCTAAAGATGTCCGGTTGAAAGCAGCTTTGTTGAAGAACAGAGATTACGCTCCTTCCTCAGGACTATGGATCAGGAGAGAACTGTTTTGGGGGAACTAATTCAGACACATTCCCAACTATCACCCTACCTCAGTCTGCCTGAGAGAGCAGCAGCACAGGCCAGAGTGAACATAACGCAATGTGAATGGAGGGTGTTGGAAAGATCTGTGGAAAAAACCCTGCATAATGTCAGTGCCTATACAAAAGAAAGTTTCAATCTTTTACAGGAAATTAAGACCTTAATGGACCATCTGGAGAACCTTCATAAGATCTTAGGATCACCTAGGATGTCCTCTGTTCTTTGGGACAACAAGAGGGCTCAAGATATGATTGAAATCAGTGCTGACCTCACTGCTGCACAGCAAAGCTATTTCCACTTCCAAAAAAGGTCTGATGCTCTTTCTCAAGGATTTAGCTTCAAGACAGAAACATGCAGTATGGATCAAGGCCTGCAGAGTATCAAAGATAAGCTTGATCTACTGGGTGAGCGGTTGTTGTCTTCAACCCCCAAAAGCAGCAACCCAACCATGGTTAAAATTGTCAAAGTGATAACAGATGCCCTAGCTTGGGCCAAACAGACAGAGCGTGACATTGAAGGTAGGAAAAGGAAAGTGTCCCTTCTCCCAGAAGAGGTCCATCAGCAGATCAAGGATTTAAAGAAGCTGCAGTCTGAGATGAGCTTGAAGCAGACCCAGTTAGAGGCTTTGACTGAAGAAGTAACAGAGCTCATCCCTGAGCTTGATGAAGCTGATGTTCCTATAGTAACTTCATTTTTGGAAGAATTGAAGGGTCTGTCCAAATCAACAGCGAAGAAACTAGACAATGCCATTGAAGAGATGGAATCAAGTCTTCAAACTCGGGAGAAGATTTCAGAGCACATAGCAGATGTGGCTTCTTGGATACTCGGGCACATCCAGAGAGAGGCTCTGAGAAGAGAGGACTACCAAAGCCTGAGTGCAGCAGATCTTGACCGAAGATTAAGGCAGAGTCAGGATACTCTAGGTGAGGCGGAAAAGCAATCAGCAGTCACAGAGGCTCTGCTGATGAAGAGTAAAGACATTGCCTCGGAGCTTAGTGTCTCAGAGAATGCCTGGCTAAATGAGAAGCTCATCAAGCTTCAAGAGGACATAAAGGGAGTTATCAGTTATGAGAAAGCTTGCAGCCAGGAGATAACAGATCTCTTGCAGAACCAAGACTCATCTCAGAAGAAGGTCAGTTCTTTAGAGAAGAGCCTGAGACAAATGATGGTAGATGTGAAAGAACGTAGATTCCCCATTACGAAAGACTCACTGTCTGCTCTTGAGCCATTCAAACACACGATTGTAGAGCACAAGTGCCAGGTAGAACAAGTCAGTCCGTGTGCAGAAGACAAAAGAAGAGAGTTGCTTTGCATGATCTCTGAGCTGCACCATAAAATGAAGGCTTTGAATGTGAAAGCTCAAAGCCACGAAAGGTTCCTCAGTCTTAGACAACGTGTAGAGGACCTCAAAGAAAATATAGAGGTCCAAGTTCCCAAGACCAAAGACGAAAGCATTGACAAAGAGGAACGCTATAAAACCTGTCAAGCTCTGCTTACCCAGATCCTTTTCATCAAACCTCTGTGCAAGGAAGCATCAGATGAGCTTGAGAACATCTCAGTGGACCTTTACCCATCTCAGCTAACTGCTGAACAAAAGAGACTCAAACAAAACCTTGATAGTCTTAACACTTGGGAGATGGCTATCCAAAATAACCTTCAAATTGTGGAATGGGAAATTCTGAAAGACATACACTATCCCTCGGAACAAAGAGTAGTGCAAGATTTTCTCAAAGAGACAAATCGGGTACTGGAGAAGGCTTGCAGAGTGGAACCTAAGCAGTCAGCCATTGACCATGAATTTAGGAAATGTCTTAATCTTAGGAAGAGCATTGAGGCTAGAATGCAGGTTCTAGAAGTTTTGGAAAACAAGAAAGGAGTTGGACACAAACGAAGATCTCAAAAGTCAAAACACCTTGCAGACTTGGCAAAAATGGCCTTAGACAACTGTGACCAAAGGATGGTAAGTGAGACCTGTTTAATTTAGTACAGATACCAAAACTGACCTCTCTATTATTACAATGAAATGTTGACAAAGAACAAATAAACCTGGAATTTAATTGATTTCACATATGCTACTCTTCCCAGAACAATCTATCAGAGGCAAAGGAGTTGTTGAAAAAATATTCCATGGAGGTCACCAGTACCATCAGATTTCTCCAGGAGGCTGAGTCAGTTCTTCTCCCATCTCTTTGCTCAGCCAGGAGCTGTTCAGAAAGGCTAAAGGACATCCAACAGGCCCTGTCAACATTAGACACAGATTTCCAATCTCATGTCACCCAGCTTCAGACTCTTGCCCCCTTCCATCCAGTGTTGTCCAAACACAAAACAGAGCATCTTCATGTTGAAATTCTAAGTCACCTCTTGGTTCGAGAGTCCACACTCAAGGCCCAGGCCCAGCTCATGCTAGAAGCCTTACAGAGGTAAATAATAATAATAATAATAATAATAATAATAATAATAATAATAATAATAACTCTCCTTTATGGATATGGGTAACTGAATTAGGGCTTTCAGTGTATAAGCAATCTTGCAATTATTTTAATGATTAATCAAGTAATGTGTTAGAAAAATGTGTGTCCATCAAGCTCAGCTACTTACTGTAAGAGAGACAGTACCAGGATATTTAATTTAATTTATCTTAATCCCATTTAAACAAATCTCTAATGCTAATTTGCTTCTATGGGAATTTCGATGTTTTGTTAGCACCAAGTTAGTGGAGGTGTTCACTTCCCATGCAGAGTTTAATACTACTTAGACCAGCTCTGCTTAAAGGAGCATTAGAAGCTTGGGACAGACATATAATTGGCATATTCTTTGCTATGTATTTTGCAGATTCACAGTCAAAACCTTGCTCTGAATATTACTGGAGTAGCCCATTAGCCTGTTAGCTGTCTGCTAAGCTGTTCCATCTAGAATTAAATAATACCATTGACATCATATACATGAAATTTGTAACTACAAACATACATGCATTTGCGAGATCCTGCTGGTGTGGGTTTCCTCTTTTTCAGTGATGTACACAATAGTGACACTTGTGACAATAGTGCTAATAGTTTCCCACTTGTGGAGATTCTTCAGCCTGCTAAACAGTTTTACAATGAACTGGGGACACCAGTTGAAATGTGTTTTCTTATTCCTTATTCTTATGATCAAATTCAGCACCACAGGTTATCCTGAGTTATGCCTTTTACAACAATTGTATTCATGAGTGATTACTTACTATAGGCTTAATATAGTCTTTTGCTTATTTCTACTGCCATTGTCCTCTATCAGGTGCGTTGACTGCCAGAGAACCGTACGCATGTGCTATGAAGAGTTATGCGAGAAGGTGAGGGATTTAGAAACAATCCTGGGGGAGGTTGTTTGTAAAAAAATGACATCTCTGAAGGACTGCACTGACCAGCAGGAAAAACTTAAGGTAAAGAAAAAACACTGCATTGTTTTTTTGCCGTACATGCATTTAATCTATGGTTCTGGTGTTGAGTTTTCACTTACCTTCTGTTCAGACTCTGGTTGAAGAGGTAAACACCCTACCCGGCAGACTGGAAGAGCTGAAGGAGTGGTGTCCAGTGCAGGGTTGCCGTGCCAATAGGGAGGATGCGGTGAGCGCCCTCTGGGGGCAAGTGGCCAAACTGCAGAGATGCGCCAGAGAGCTGCAAACACACTCAGAGCAGAGCGGAGAGGAATGGATAGGAATCACAAAGAGTGTAAGTCACATTACATCAATGCCAATTGATAAATGAACAATTTAAAGCTGGACTTTTGTTAGTGTTTTTGTTAAAATTGAAAGTGACCTTGTACTGCTGCAAGTTACGCTGTAAAGCCTGAAATAGTCCTTTAAAATCAGAGGGTGGGAGGTTTTTGTACCACATCATATGTCTTTACGTGTTAATGTCATGCACAGGCTCAAAAAGACAGTCCAATTCGATGTTTAGGTCTCAAATACTGCAAAATCCACATCATACTGATGAAAATATGATGACAATCGTACATAATTCACTCATACCCACAGAAGACCTGTTCTACTCCAGGTTTTGGCTGAATTCTCTTTGAATCAATCATTAGATTCATCCACTTGGGGAAGGGGTCCAAACCACACCCCTCATTACACAATGTTTTTCCACATGTTGCATGCAATTATACATTTCCACCAGGGAGGTCTCCAGATCCCCCAAAATACTAGCTCAGGAGCAGCTAGAATTGCCCAATAAGGAAATAAGTCTAACATCTCACATGAGGGCTTCTCTCTGTATAAAAGTGTTTTAATGTGGTTTATTGGGCAAATTTGTAATTTTACTGGTTTTGCAGATGGAGCAAGCATCTATGACACTAGAACAGACAGAGGCTGAGTTACCAGAACTTAACAGAGGGAAAGCTACAGGGGACGAGCTGCAGGAGCTGCTGCAGTTCTGGTTGCAGTACCAGGACAGGCTGGACTGCCAGCACCGAGCCCTGTCTGCACTGGAACTGCGAGCTGCTAGACTACTGGGAGTCCCCTCCCACTTGGAGCAAGCCCCACCCATTCCACTGTGCCAGCAGCTACAAACCATGCAAGAGCAATATCGCAGGTCAGTGGTCAACAAGCAGCTGTGTTTTGCCTTTGTTTAGATTTTTGCCTGTTTCAAATGGTTAATAGAAAAACAATTCAGTTTACCTGTAAAAATGACATTTTGCGACAAAATCTTGCTTCTCTGAAATAATAACTACAGGACAAGCAAAAAACACTTAACTTAATACAGTCATATGCAAAAGTTTAGGTGCCCTTGAAAATAAGTTAGCGCATCCTCTACAGAGGAGGTGTGTTTTAATGCACAGTCACTGTTTATTTGCTTAAGTTTAACATATTGAAAAAAGAAATTATAAAATATGACCTATGCAAAAATGATTGCACATTTGATTTTTAATTTTTTTCCCAATGTGTTAAGCATTAAAAATAGGTGCATAAATATGCCTAAAGTCCATCCATCCATCCATCATCTAAACCGCTTATCCTTCTATTTAAAGCACACTAAGCTAACACTGGTTCACATTAACTGCATTTCTGAAGGGTTACAGTGACTTTTTGTTCTTGTAAACTCAGTTATTTTAAATCAAAATGTGATTGGCTGATTCACTCACTTGTTGGTATTGCTATGTTAATCTAATATTTAAGGACTTCAGTGCAGCTTCTGAAGGCCTAAGCAATAGGAGAGCTTACTTACCACTGAGAAAGAATATCTGATTGGACAACTTTCTGATTTGAATGCTTTTGTTTCCAAACAGAACCTAACAATGAAATAAGAGTCCCTACAATCCTTGCTGGACGCTTGATTCTTTTAAGTAAAATTGATACAAATTAACAGATGTCTATATTTTTAGTTCTTAAAATAATAAGACCTTCTCTGAAGGTCTAGAAGGCCCTGATGGTTCTCTGCTGGTAGTATAGTATAATATAATACAGCTTTTATGAAAACAGTCTTCACTCAGTGGTGCTGTGCCCTCTTCATGTTGTATTACTCACCAACATATTCCGCATAATTTTTCGCCTCACTGGGCTTGTTGGGGAAAGTGGGTCGGCTCTGGACCCCAGTGTTACATTCCAGAGTTAGCAAGCAAGCACGTTCATGTAATTGTGGGGTGCACAGGCACTTATACTAAAACAAACAGCGTTGAAGTTTGGGCTTGTTTTGCTTGGTCTTTTTCATCCATAACTTTTCTGTTCTCCACACTACGGACTAAACGCTGCTTCGGAACATTTGGATCTGTGGGATTTTCTCAGACTTGCATTCCCTTTTGGAGAACTACCAGCATACAGATGAATGCGATCTCCATCAGGCTCCAATAACACCAGCAGCTGCACAGAGCAGTTTTAGCCAGGTGCTGAATGACCTTTTACCTTTATGTCCTGCAGCCTGAAGGAGCGGAGTGCTCGGGGTCGTAAGGCAGCACAGGCGGAGATGGAGGAGAGGGAGAAGGTGCGAGAGGAACTGCAGGGGGTCAGGGAGTGGCTCGTGGCTGCAGTGACTCTACTGTCAGGACTGGAACATGCACCGAGCACCAAGCAGCTCCAGGTGGGTCCAGCTCCACTTAAAGTCTGCTGCACTGTTGCACCAAAATAGCAAAGATAAGCTAAAGGCGATATGGAAAAATGGACAAATTCACCAGAAAAGAAGTTGTGCCACATTTAAGAAAGGCTATTTAAAACTGTGTGGCAGATTTACTAAAAGAGGCACTAATTACTGATGGTCTACAGGCAGTTTGCTCTAGTAGGGGTTGCCTATTTGGTCAGATATCTACTTAGAACTTCATGCAAATGAGTACAACTGTCTTGCAACTTTATAATTAGCATATGATCAGTGCAACATAAACCCCTTTTTTGTTCACACCCTTTTTGTATAGAAGCCTGTTTCTGGTGGTGGGACGTCCATATTTTGGCATGTTAGATCAAAACAGTGTCTGATGTTCTCGAGATTTTTATGTAGTAAGTTGACTCATTTTTCTTGGTAGAGTTTAGTAGAGAACTAATTTACTTACAATGTCAAAATAATGAGATGCCATTCTTTGAGAAAGTATATTTATTTTGAGAAAATAAGACTTGATTCTGTCATTATAGTCATAAATAGAGTTTGCGACTTTTAGGTCACACTTTATAGATGCTCTACAGACACTTAAATCATTAACCTCTTCAACTCCTTGGGACCACCGGTGGTTCCAAAACACGCTTTATCATATTCTTCATAACTTTCATATTTCATAAGCTACATTCTAAAGGTGGGGGTCATATGAGAGCTGTAACTGTCTTCTTTCCAGTCAAACAGATGGGTGATGTAATTTTAAACCCTTATAATAAAAGAAGCTGAACTCACATTTTTTTATCTACTGAAAGTCGACCCATTTTTCCACAAATCTGGGCTATAAACTATAAACAGATGGCGTCTCTTCAGTGATCTGCTCTGTAAACATTATTTTTATAAAATAATACAAAGAGCGTCTAAGATTTTTGTCTTTCAGCAGTAAATTGTAAGCATATAGCAATATGTTTATGATCATAAAACACATGTTCTGTTAATTTGAGGGAACCTTTACAAAAAAAATAAATAAATAAAATAAAAATGTACATTCATTTCATGCAGTTACTGAATAATTTGCCTTACGATTTGGTCATGGAAATTCAGATGGAAAAACCAAAATAACTTTCTGGTGATGTTCAGTTTATTATCTACAACATTAAGGTTAGGGTTAGGTTTAGGAGTAGATGTAGGTTTTGGCTTGAGGTTAGGGTTAGGGTTGGGTATAAGGTTAGGAATAGATTTAATAAAGTCTTTCATACTGAACTTGAGGTTCAGTTGCATTTAATGGAAATTTAGTTGAACATTACTTAAAGACGGACTGAGCATAAAAAATCTACGACATCCAGTCAGCCACTTGATACTAAGTAGTTTATGCAGTTGCTATGCAGTGGTTGCAGTTCTCTCTCAATAATGGACCTAAATATGCCTTTATGATCCATGCAGTGATTCAGTGTTTCAGAAGTACTGGCAATACCCATGGTATACAAAAAACACATATATTCGTCATGTTCACATCACCAGGCTGAAGTGGCACAAATCCGATTTTTCACCCTAATGTGACTCAGATCCGATGTTTTCAGAGCTGTGTGGACATCTGATCTTTTCTGACCTGAGTCACTTGCATATGTGGTCCTAGATCGGATACATATGTGATATGTGGCCATGCGACCTTAATGTGAACGCTGAGATTGGAATTCATTTTTTTCAGTACCATCATTCACATTACTATGGAAGCAGCACTGAAGCTGATGTTAAAGCCAGTAAACGGTGGAAAAGCAACGCATCTGATCATTTTTTACCTTCGTCTCGCTCTAATAATGAGCAGCTGAGAGCCGATCAGAGCTAATTATGTTCATGATGCACATGATTCATTTACGTGATGTTATTGAATATGATGTGTGCGTGTTTTAGGACGCTGGTTTATTGACATTAATGACAGATTTGAGTCACTTACCTAAATGAGTGTGAACGATTGTCTTAGAGCTTGTGGTATATTACTGAACCCCTGACGTGGCTTCATTTAGACTAAAATTACACCACATGAGTGCCTTGATTTACAGGCATGAAAAAATCAGGAAGGTTTGTGATTGGTCAGGACATTCACTGTGACATACAACAGAAACAAGGACACTGTGGCAAAGCACTGAAAGCTTCAGCCTGCTAAACATGAGTGAGTGAGTGAGGTCCATGAAGTGAGTGTCCAAAAGTAGTGATGGAGGGCTCATTTGCATATCATTGCTTTCTGCATTATCAGTATTGTAATGCTCAACATTCTCAAGGCCTTGGAGAACCTTTGATAACCTGCATAGTTTCAAAACTGATTATAGCTCTTTACTCATTATATTAAATGGAAAAAAGTTGCAGTTCTGTGTATATTCACAGCTTGTACTTTCACATGTCCTTTTTCTGCAAATCCTTATTTTATTTAAGATCTTGTTTTAGAATTGTAAGGTCATTTGTTAGGTCACTCAGCACAGTTGCTCCACTCGTAAGTCCTCTTTGATTTTGCAGGGTTGCTAGGAGTAATGGCTTTAATGAGCATAGGTGGGGGGGTGTGGTAGGTGTTTGTGTGTGTGTGTGTGTGTGTGTATGTGTGTGTGTATGCACTTCATCCACACAATGTGCTGTTTGTTTCTGTCCAGAACTGGCAATCACTGTCCCCACCAACAGAAATGATTGTAAACAAACTCTCTCTGGCCATGATGTACTGGTTTTTTTGGAGTTTGATGTAGTATGTAAACACTGTTAGAGTCTCAAAACACACTGATTTGTCCATACATGGAAGCAAAACCACAAAACAAGCCTCTTTTGAATTAATCATGGTTGTGATGTCACAACTGGTAACAGATTTACATATGCCTGCCCATTCAGCCTACAGCAATTTAGCAGCCCATTCCTGATGAAGTGATGTGGGGTGTTGTTCCTGTAGACAGTCTGTAGAAGAGTTATTGGAGTAGAAGATCTGGGAAAATGGTTAAATGTTGTGCTGTTCATGGCTGTCAGGAAGCAGTTTTACAGTTTGCACATTTTATACAGACTATGTTAAACTAATGGCTTATTTACTAAAAAAAAATATATTTTTTTTTGTCAAAACAATGGCTGATTATTTCAACATACTATATCAGAAATGTGTCCAAACTATGCAAAATCTCTATAAAATTAGTATTTATTTTGAGATACTAAGTCAATATTGGTCAGAAATAAGTCATTTGTCCTAATAATGCAAAATCTGTAAAAAAAATACGTATTCATTTCAAGACAAAGTCAATAATTAGTGAAAATAAGCCATTATTTCAAGACAAGATGAGTGGATGTGAGGAAAAATGTGAGTATGAGCACTTTTAACTCTTGTTTTGCATTTTTGTTCAAGACTGAGTAACAGTGCGCCTCCTCAGACACTGAGGTTTGGTGTCCATGAAGGAGTAACACTGAACTTTCTCTCTGCTGGGCACAGAGTCAGCGCGGCGGTTAGTTTTATGTTTCATGATTTAAAAGATGCGTTAATGGGCATCTTGACTGAGGCACTGTTTGGTTTGAATAGAGCGCACTCAAACAAAGCGAACCGCTCCAGAGCGGCCGTTATTCTGACTCCAGGCTTTGTGCCAGATCCAGCCCGGAGCTTTTTATATCTGTGTGGTAATGCAGGAGAATCTTTATGGTGATACAGCTTGACTTTTGTGCAGTTTGTGTTTCCCAACCCACTTAAAGTCTTATTCATGTAGTCTCTTTTATCAAATTGAATCTCTCCCTCTCTTTATCTCTCTCTCTCCCTCCCTCTCTTTATCTCTCTCCCTCTCTCTCCCCCCCCTCTCTCTCCCTCTCTCTCTCTCTCTCTCTCCCTCTCTCTCCCTCCCCCCTCTCTCTCCCTCTCTCTCTCTCTCTCTCTCCCTCTCTCTCTCTCCTCACACACATAGTCACACAGTTTCTTAATTGTGCTGTCTTTTAATGAGTGCCATGAGGAGTTTCAGTGTCACGTTGTTAAAAAAAAAAAGCGCTGAGTCACCTCCAGCACAGAGAAAATCATTTTGTTCTCACAGTATATATACAATATATCGCTGTTGTCGGAAGAAAACCTCATATCACCATTTTTGTCGTTTTTCAGTTGTTGGCATAATTTGAAAATGCCTGCTTTCCTTTACATTGTATGTAATTTTCATGAAGAACGGACCAAAGTAAATGGCTCCAAATGACCTGAAAAAACTCTGGTTCAGTTGACTTACATTAGAAGTGAAGTAAGTTTTTTCCTTCTCCTTTAAAGTTAGCATTTTAGAGATACAAGGTTTTGTTCCGACAACAGCGACATGTTTAAGCGTTTGCAGACACCAGCGTTTCTTCTGAAATGAAGGGTGTTAATAGTGAGTTTGTCCCCCTTTGCTGCAGTAACAGCCTCTACTCTTCTATGAAGGCTTTACATTAGATGTTGGAACATTACTGTGAGGATTTGATTGAGCATTAGTGAGGTCAGGTACTGATGTTGGATGGTCAGTTCAGGATCACTCCAGCTCATCCCAAAGGTATTGCATGGAGCTCCATCACTCCAGAGAGCACAGTCCCACTGCTTCACAGCTCAATGCTGGGGTGCTGTACACCCCTCTAGCCCATGCTTGGCATTGGGCATGGTGACCTTAGGCTCATGTGCGGCTATTAGTCAATGCTTTTCTAAGGGTGTATGGAGATTATACAAGCTGTGTGTAATTGAGTGCTTGTGTCAGTAATGGGTGCAGCTTAAAGTAGCCGGATGCACTCATTAGCAGTGCCGTCTGGACACACCAGCAGCTTTTCTATTTCTTCTTTTTTTTGATCTCCTTTTCTCAGTGAGGTTCTTCTTGACAGCTACACATCCTTTCAGACCCACAGAGCTGAGTCGTCTTCTCACAGTGGAAGGATGGACAGAAACACCTGTGGATGTTTTCAGATCTGAAGCAGTTTGATTTTCTCCTCTCTCTCAAAGATGAAAGCTCTAAGTGCTGTTTATCTGATGGGGGCAGTTTTGGAGTCTATCAGGTCTTCCAGGTGGTTGTTAGGAGCCACATTTTCTCTGTAGCTTTAAATCTTTTTTGAATTTTCTTCCACTTTCATTTTCTCTTTCCTTTATCTACATCTAGTCTCCTCTGAAATATCTCTCAGAATTAATGACTTTTACTTGTAATGGCACTGGAAATCCATAAATGAAGGGTGGTCTCTGTACTGTACACGCATACCTTTGTGTCCTGCCTTGCAAGTGGATCCTCAGCGTCGTAGCCTACAGCCAAGAATGATGTCATCGCTCATACACATACACATACACACTCTTTCACAATCCAGCGTCTGTTTTATCATTTAGGGATAATAATCCAGCGTGATTGAGATGTTTGACTTCTCTGTTTGGGTCAGTTTTAGTGTGTTTGTATCTTGTATTATCAACTGGAGCTCAAATATCTCATTAGAATATGAATGGATAAGGCTGAGTATTATCTGCCGCTCGAGGCTGAAAGGTGAAGAGGGCTGATGCTTAGCAGCAGAGAGAAAGAGGAAGAAGAGAGGAGTTTAGAGTGAACTGCATGGAATTCAGAGAAGTGGAGCTGAGAAACTGGCACACATACACACAGCGCTGCAGCCTGGCTCAGTCGGTAAGACGCAGCGTCATACATACATGCTTTTTACTTTAATAGTGAATATAGTCCATGTAGAGAACATCACATAATAGGCTGAGGCTGAAGTTTCAGTGACGTGAATTTGTAATGTTTTGGCATGTTTTATGTTTCAATACTGCTGTCAGCCTAAATTTCATGTATTGGTTAAAGGGGATTTCCACCAGTTTTTCAAAATTGCTGCATAATTCAAATACAAAGTGACTCAGAGTGGTTTGCTATGAATTGTTTCTTTGTAGAGAAACTTACCGACTTCTTTACAGTGGTGGTGGTAGGAACCAGGGGTCACCATGTCTACAACGGAAATATAGCCGTTTTAGTTACAGTCCAAAACCACCAGTGAACCTAAATGTGTCCACTGAGTTTTTAATATGGAATGTTGATGATGGTGAAATTGTAGTAAATCTGAAAAAAAATCTCCTTTGAGACTATTTTGCCTCACAACATCCTGCATGTACCACTCATTAACTTAGAATCCTATAGGGCGCTAGCAGAAATTAGCATTATAGCATTATTGAGGTGAATTGTTCTCTATATTTAAACTAAGTTTTGATAATTACAGCTCAAATTGAAGGCCTGGCCGTGGATAGTCATGGTTTGCCACTGTATCTAGGTCCTGTTGTTATGTGAGATACACTATATGGCCAAATGTATGTGGACACCCCTCCTAATTAATGAGTTTTAGTGTTTCAGCCACACTTGCTGCTAACAGGTGTATAAACTCAAGCATATAGCCTCCAAAAGACAAACACGGGAATAGGATGCCACTTTTGCCACAGGTCAGTTTGTGGATTTTTTTCCTGCTAGATCTGCCATAGCCAACCGTAAGAGCTATTATTGTGAACTGGAAGCATATAGGAGTAACAACAGCTCAGCCTTAAAGCAGTAAACTGTGAGCAGGCCACTAAGTGCTGAAGCATGTAGCATACGCTGCCTACCTGAATGCACCAACGGTAAAAGGGGCGCTAGCAGAAATTAGCATTATAGCGTTATTAAGGTGAGTTTTTCCTTTTGTTTTGACTGAGTTTTGATAATTACAGCTCGAATTAAAGGCTTAGCTCTGGTCATGGTTTGCAACTGTATCTAGGTACTGTTGTTATGTGAGATGCACTATATGGCCAAATAATTATTGAGTTCTGGTGTTTCAGCCACACTTGCTGCTAACAAGTGTTTAAACTCGAGAATATAGCGATACAATCTCCACAGAGAAACACTGGAATAGGATGCTGGGTGGAGGTGTCCACATACTTTTGGCCATATAGTGTACATCACTTTGGGTTAATGTTGCATTTCAAGCAATTCTATAACTATTACTAGGTTGGAATCATTCTATGTTTTCCTCTGATATCCAATCCGGTATTGGTCCAATATCATCACTGGGTATCAGATCATCTTCTCTACCTGTAAATATCATTTATGATTGAAGGTCATGAGCATGAGCAACAATCTTCTCACATTTTTCTCCCAAGTTATGATAATATTCTGTATTTTTGATGAATTGTTTTGTTTAATTTGTAAACCCCTCCCCTCTGTAGGAGGTTCACTCGGAGCTGTGTACCCAGAAGGCCGTGCTGCATCGCATCATGGAGGGATTGAGGATGAAATACTCAGACATGTACACTCTGGTTCCTGTGGAGATAGAGGGTCCGCTACAGGAAGTCTCTCTCTCACTACAGGAAGTGGAGGAGCAGGTAATTTTTCATTTATTGCTTAGTAACGTTCTGTTATTAATATTAATTATAACACTACGACTACTATTCATTATAATAATGAGAAAAAGAAGCAGAAAAAACATACAACATGTACAAATAACAAACAAATAACACTCCATTTTAATTTTGTATTATTTTTTAATAAAATAAAATGCATAATCTAAAAAATAATGCAGTTACTAAAGCAGGTACTACATGCTGTCTCTCCATTTGCATAACAAAATTATTGATATTGTGTGTTTAATAATGGTAATTGTGGTATTTGCTGATTTGTACAGATTTTAACTGAAATTCTATTGTTTTTCTTAAATGTTTCTGATTAATTCAATCATTTGCATGTAATCAGAGTGATTCAGAGTGGTTTGGTGTGAAATGGTTCAGATGTCTTTACAGTGGTGGTGATAGGAACCAGGGGTCGCCGTGACTACAACACCAATATAGACATTTTATTTACATTCAAAACCACCGGTGAACCTACACGAGTCTTCTGAGCTTTTATATGTAATGTTGATGATGGTAAAACAGTGATAAATCTGAAAAAAAAAAAAAAAATTGGGGACTATTTTTGCCTCACCACACCCTGAGTGTAATAAGAATTTATTTTAAAGGCAGCAAAAGTCACTGCATTTTTGGAAAATTGTGGAAAAGCAAGAATTTAGTCTTTTAAATGATATGATGAACCGTTATTAATATGACCAGAGATGTGAACTGGCAGGGTCAACAGATTGTCTTTAAAATCCTATTAACATTATTAAAAGTTTTCTCTGTACTGATGGCTGATGAGTTCAAAGAGAGAACATCTCACTCATGAACAGACAGGTTCACACACACACACACACACACACACACACTGACACATGCAGGTGGGACTTGTTAGATTAGCCACATGCTGCGTGTGCTTTTTACTGTGATCATTACGGCTCGGACCTCCTGCCGTTCCTGATACTAGCGCTCATCACCACCTTTCGGTTACTTTTAAAGGGGAGTGTTCCTGTTACACTTCTTCACCGCATCATCACCAGCTGCTGTTTTGGCACACTGCCACACTGAATTTATATAAAGTGGAAATGGGTCAGCAGGGACACTTTCAACCTTTTAATCTTTTGCCAGTTCTATTTTACATAATGTAAAAGTGGAGCACTGAAATTTAACCCAACTTAAATCCATCAAAGCCATTCAGAAATATCTTGGAGTGTTAGTGATAAATTGATCCATAAACTGTAATAAAAGTGTTTTTTTTTTTGTATTTTGTTATTTTGTGTGTCACTTACCTAACAAATCACTGTATAAGCTATCATAATAAGAATAATAATAATGCAGTAATTAAGGGTATCAAAGTTAACACAATAATAACACAATGAAACATTAAATCCTCTAATTTGAACAGTGTTAATACATTTTCCTAGTTTAACGCGTTATGTTATGTAATATGTAATTGTATGATTTAAAATTGTTGTAAAATACTTAATACTTAAATACTTACTTTTAAATACTTAAAATACTAAATAAATAAAATAATCACACATATGATTACATTCACCAATTGAATTATGCTTTAATGCTCCATAGCCTATATATATATATATATATATTTACAGCCCTGAGATGGACTGGCGACCTGTCTGAGGTTTCCTGCCTTCCGCCCAATGACCGCTATATATGTGTACACACACATATACATGCGCATATATATATATATATGTGGTCACCGAGAATGCTGTGTTTCTAATCCACTTGTACCAGCAGAACTTATTAGAACTTAACATCTGCTCTGTCCACCACCCAAATGATATCTGCTCTATGGTGGTCCTGTGGGGGTCTTGGCCGTTGAAGAACACAGTAAAAGTGAGCTAACAAAGTATGCAGAGAAACAGGACAGTTGTACAAATGTGAATGAAGTGTCCGGTCGGTCATGGTTTATATACATTTTCTCTCTCTCAGGTGGAGGAGGCGGTGGAGAAGAGTGGTCCCCTCCACAGGCTGGACGCCAGACTGTCTGAGATAAGGGCCGGCCTGGAGTCGGTGCAGATCAGGCTGGAGCAGAAGAGTCCTAACGTTCCAGAGGCGGAGAACACGCAGAAGGTCTGATACACAAACAGAACTGGTTACCATTTAGAGAATTTACAGATGAACTTCAGCAGTCCAAATGGCCCAAACATTAAAGGTAAAAAATGTAACTTTTCTCACTTTTCTTGCTTTTCTGATGTAATATGTAAACATTGTTAGATTTTTAGAACACACCATCCACTCTCTAGTTCACACTGAACTGCATAAACAGCCAGTTTTGAACTCTTCATGGTTGTCATGTCACCATTATGTTCACTTTTATATACAGTCGTACACAAAGTTCAACACCCCTGGTCAAATGATGTGTTTTGTTGATTTTCTAAGTGAAAATAAGTTCGTAAATCTGCTACAGAGAACACACTAAAATATGACATTTTTCTGCAATGTAGAAAATTTTAGTGCACATTTCCTATTTATGTGCTCAGTTTAAAATATTGTAAAAACATAAAATAATAAACGTACCATAACTTTTGCACAGGCCATTTTCTGCTATTACATTTTACATTTTATTTTTTCCAAATATGTTAAATTCTTCAAATAAACAGTACTTGTGCGTGTGTTAAAATGTGTAGAAGTTTGTTCTTTGTAGAGAATGTAACTCATTTTCAATTAAACAAAACCAGGGGCACCCAAACTTTTGCGTATGACTGTACTCAGCTTACAGCACTTTCACCCCACACATTCGCCTTAAAGTAACAGGGAGCGTTTCTCCTGCAGACAGTTATTGGAGTGAAATATATGGGGGAAATGATTAAACGCTGTACTGTTCCTGGCTGCCAGGATGCAAATGGATCAACACAGCCTTCCAAAAGGTCTACACATCTGACAGGAGCTGAAGTCTTTCCCATATCCCTGAATATTTCAGCCTGAATTTAACAGTTTGCTCTGTACATTTCAACCCAGACTGCTTTTGAATCAGAACAGAGATCATTTGCATAAAAGGCACAATAACAAAAACAGCCTTTTTTTGTAAAAAATGAATAAATCAGTCTTTCTTGCGTCTCTATTCCAGAGCTAAGCGTCTGTGCTGAATACTTCATATATGTGTTTCTTTCCTCCCGTAGCGCGTGTGGGACGAGTTGGACGGTTTGCACTCTCGGCTCGCTGGGGTGGAGGTGGAGCTCCAGGATGTTAGCGAGGAGAAGCCGGAGGAGGCGCAGGCTCTCATGGAGAGGCTGGCTCAGACTCAGCAGCTTCACACGCGTCTGACCAAACAGGCCGAAGAGAGGACGGCCTTCCTCAGCAAGGTCAGAACCACAACGGCAGACACTTCAGTTAATAAAAGTGTGGTAGTACATGTATTAGGGCATTTCAAACAATAATTACAGTTATAATATAATATTAAATATATAATGTCAAAAATAATTAATTGGATCACAGAGGCTCTGAAAAGCATAGTATATTTTATCTATTCCACGTTTATGTCACATGTATGTAAATATTTCTGGGCAGAAGGAATATGATAAAGTTATGGAACAGAGGGGAAGGCAGGCACGGGCTACTAATGTTGATAGGGTGTCATATTACCCCAATCATCAATTCATCCATCTGAAAATAAGCCACAGGGCTTATCTGACTCCCAGGGTAAGACACTTGATGGGTTCAAGCCCTCACCCCTTCTGTACTTTCTGTCCCCATGGGACTCTGAGGACTTTTATGCACATTATGCTGTCTCTTCTCTGACCAAGACATACTTCCCTATGGATATTCCCTGAACTTCATATACTTAATGATAACGCTAAATTCCCCATTATGGAAAGATCCTGGAAAATGTGGCTGGCTGGCTTAACTGCAGCAAAAAACGCTATTGTCTAGCATTGGCTACCCCTCACAACCTGTCCATACAGCACAGGGTCTATACCTTATTGGATATCTTCTATCTTGAACGCTGCCCCTAGAACTCTTCATACAGGGATTCACGGAATATCTGAAGTTAGGACCTTTGTTCTTGCTTAACTATATGATGTGTTTAAGTTGTGAATGATGTAACTCAGTTTTCATGTGTCGTATGTTGTATCTATGATTGGTTTTTGTTTTTAAGTCCCGTGTTTGTGTGGTTCAGGGCTGTTTTTTTCTTTAAATGTGAAAAAAAAGCAAAATATAATAATCACAGTTAATCATGAAAGTTTGTGTAGTAAATTGTAATTAATCACATTTATCTTATGTGCTCAAATAAAGACAGATTGTAAAAGTAGTGCATTTAGCTAGCTACATGAATGGACAAAATAAGCTTCATTAACATGAACAACATAACGAAAGCTGGAGCTTTCAGGTTTACTATTGTTGTTCAATAAGCACTGTCCAGCACAGTCTGCTAATGCTGCTGATAATACTGATATCGCCAGCCTACATGCACTAAATACTTTAGACTCGATGTACTTCAGTGATAAACAAATTCTCCAAGGCAGTAGCTGGTAATAAATTTAATCAAGAGAGCCGTCAATGAAACTTGTTTGAGCAAGAGGGCTACAGTCGCACAGTCACAGTAACTATTTATCCCAATATTAACATGTTAACTTTGTTAATCTTTAACTAGGTCTGATGGATTTCATGTTATCTGCTGCTTTCCTAAACTCAGTGTGTGTGTATGTGTAGATGCGAGGTTGGTTGCAGGAACATGAGGAAATGGTGAAAGGATCCCAAAGCTGGATTACTGAAGCTCAGTCCTGGCTGACTGCACCCTGCACCTACACCACAGCTAAATGCCTGGACGGCCATGTTAATGCTTTACAGGTAACACAGGCACAGTCAGGTTTGTTTTTATCATATAAAGTTTATTAATACACCGATCAGGCATAACATCATGACCACCTTCTTGTTTCTACGCTCATTGTCCATTTTATCAGCTCCACTTACTATATAGGTGCACTTTGTAGTTCTACAGTTACAGACTGTAGTCCATCTGTTTCTCTGCGTACTTTGTTAGCCCCCTTTTACCCTGTTCTTCAGTGGTCAGGACCCCCATGGACCCTCACAGAGCAGGTACTATTTGTGTGGTGGATCATTCTCAGCACTGCAGCAACACTGACGTGGTGGTGGTGTGTTGGTGTGTGCTGTGCTTGTACGAGTGGATCAGACACAGCAGTGCTGCTGGAGTTTTTAAACACTGTGTCCACTCACTGTCCACTCTATTAGACACTCCTACCTTGTCAGTCCACCTTGTAGATGTAAAGTCAGACACGATAGCTCATCTGCTGCTGCACAGTTTGTGTTGGTCATCCTCTAGTCCTTCATCAGTGGTCACAGGACGCTGCCCACAGGACGCTGTTGGCTGAATATTTTTGGTTGGTGGACGATTCTCAGTCCAGCAGTGACACTGAGGTGTTTAAAAACTCCAGCAGCTCTGCTGTGTCTGATCCACTCAGACCAGCACAACACACACTAACACACCACCACCACATCAGTGTTACTGCAGTGCTGAGAAAGTTAGCTGGTGAATGAGAAGCGACTTCAGCTTTGTAAAAAATCAAATGTTGAGAGACATTTACTAAAAAAAAATCCATTTTTGGAAAAGTTTCCTGCCGGAGATGTGAGAAAAGCAGCTATAGCTGAGCTAAAGCTTAAAGCAAAGTAATTCTGTATTTGATATATATATATATATATACTATATATATATATATATATATATATATATATATTATAGTAAGTTATATTAAATTTGTTAGCCTTACATTACATTACACATTACATTAACATCAGCACATACTGAGACATAGTAACAGCCAAGATGGGAAAATGGACATAAACTGTTGTGGCTCCCAAGGTGGCTTGATTTTTGCTAAAAGGACAAAATGCCTCTTCTTAACATTTGGGATGTGACCCCTGAAATAGGGTGATTTTAAATAATGGCTTAGGTGCCTAAGACTTTTGCACAGTAGTTTTTTATATATATTTAAGTACCCATGTGTAATAATAATGTCACCTGTATTTAATATATATATATATATGAAATATAATATCTGTTTTTTTGTTTTTTACTTTTCTAAATATTTTGAAAATATTAGCGGATTTCCTGATAAACAGCTTAATAGAAATCTTTCTAGTTTAACTAAAATTGAAAGTTACGAAGTTCTTTTCCATCTTCGGTCATTAACATGTTATCACTGCGTGTTCCTCTGTAGATGGTGCTGGACGATTCAGAGCAGATCCACCGGACGCTGCAGGGCTTTGAGAGCGTGCTGAAGGAGATGCAGAATGTGTGTGATGTTAGTGGACTGCGGCAGGAGCTGTGTGAAGCAGACCGACGCGTGGCACACATGCAGCAAAGCCTGCTGGGACCTCTGTCACAGCTGGAGCACGCTGCAGCAGTGAGTACACAGACCTACACTAACCATGCACTATACTCCCTTATTAGGCAGGGCAAGCAAGTTTATTTATATTGCACCTTTCATACGTTGCTGTCATTCAAAGTGCTTCACAAATGAGAAAATATAGTCAATTTAAAAAGTAAGTAAAAGAGAATAGAAATTAAAAACATGATTAAAACAAGATTAGGACAATAGATTTGAAAGAGAAAAATCATTAAACTAAAAGTCAAATTAGAAATTAGATTATGATAAAAGCTCAATAAAAAAAATATAATGAATTACAGCAATTAGTAATGGTTATTACCACCATTCCTCTTTACTCAGCACTTATTTACAGATTTTAAGTCTAGAACAGTCTTAGAATAGCTGTTGTCATTTTGCTATACGTTAGATTTACATTAAATCATATAAAATTGCATAATAATTATAAAGCCATGTAGCATGTGTCTGCACTTCTGACTTTTTTCTCTTTCAATATCAAAAAATGAGAAATAAAAGGCAAATATAATATTCAAATAATAAATAAATAAATAAATAAATAAATAAATGTGGTATGACATCAAAGTTAAGAATGATCCAGTGAAAAATAATTAATTTAATATTACAAAGCCTTTATAACTGCGACTTTTAAGGGTTAAAATTCTGTCTTAATTATATTGACATTACTCATGCAACCAGAGTTACATCATTCACATGCATTTTAATAAATAATTAATAAATTAGGTAATTAGTGTGGTATGTTACTTACTCAGCTAGTTAGTAGAATGTATGTTAGCTCATTAGTGAAGTATATTAATTAGTTAGCCAGTCAGTGGAGCACCTAAACTACACTTGATATGCTGGGCTGGAAAGCTGTTTTACACTAATGATCCCACAGGAAGTGGACGCCATGGAATCTGAGCTGAAGATCATGGAAAAAGACGTTACTGACCTCAGATCAGTGCTGACCTTAAAGGAGGGCATCAGCCAGGACAAACTTAAGGTGTGTTTATGTGCGTATATGTGTGTGTTTGAATGGGCACAGTGGGCGAAAAAAACCTAGTATATACCATAACTAACGCATACGTAAGCAAAAATGATCGACATAGCGTTAGGAGGCTGGAGGTGTCCAGCATTCATCTTTTCATTCTTAAGGAGCCGGTCAGGTACTTCTTTGATGTTATTTATTCATACTTGGCCACGTTTATGCCTAAACAAGCCACATTGAGCTGCTAGCGAGAAGCGAGGGGTGAAAGGGGAGGGGTGAGAAAACCCTTCTGAGATAGAATGGGCAGCTTCATTCAAAAGATCGTGTAACTACCACATAAAAAAATCACAACAAAATATTTATAAATGTTAAGTTGATTTTTAACCCTCACAGGTAAAAATCCATTTACATCAATTCGTTTCTATGAACTGTAGATTTCCAAACACATTTCCATCATACAGATACAGTCATATGCAGACAGTTGGTCCGATTACACTTTCTGGACTTATAAAATGTGGGCTGTGCAAATGTTATCCAGATTCAATCATTTGTGTTTTATTTTTTTCCCAATATGTTAAACTCAGCAAATACACAGAAACTGTGCACTAAAATTTGCAGAAAAATGCCATATTAAGGTTCTCTGTGGAGGAAATGTTAACATTATTTCACTAAGAAAGTCTACAAACATCATTTAGTGAAGGTGTTCAAACTTTTCCATTATTGAAAAAAAAGCGCAGGTCAGCTGAGGGACCTCTTTGCATTTTTTGACTAGGGGATTTTGAATGGTCAGTTTCAAAAATGGAATTTTGAATAAAAAATATTGGTGGCACTTTATTTGGAGTGTCCCTTTAGATGAAACAGACACTCAATGGACTCTCAGTCAAAAACACATGGGTATTAGGATTAGGGCCAGGGTGAGGGTTAGGTTTTGAGTAAGGCTGGGTAAGGTTAGGATTATGTCCAGGGTTGGGATTAGGTTTTGAGTTGAGGTTAAGGTTAGGATTAGGGCCAGGGTGAGGGTGAGGTGTTGGGTAAGGTTGGTAAGGTTAGGATTATGTCCAGGGTTAGGATTAGGTTTTGGGTTGAGGTTAAGGTAAGGGTTAGGATTAGGGCCAGGGTTAGGATTAGGATTTGAGTAAGGTTGGTAAGGTTAGGTTTTGCGTAATGGAAGTAACATGTTAACATCTACTTAATGTAAGTAATGTATCAACAGAACATCTACAAGATATTTACTACAGTGTATTCAGACACTTCACTGCTGCTACTGCACTGATATGTTGTTGATGTGTTACTGATAATCTGTTAAGAGTTTATTAATCATCTATAAAGGACCACTTCAAATAAAATGTTACTGACATATTTAGCAAGTGCATTTTCATTCATCTTTTTTTGGGTGATTAGATACTAAAAGTAAATTTGAGGTGGCCATTTTTGGTCATGATAAAAGTGGGTGGGCTGAGTCATACTGCCAACACTGGTTTGAAACTCTTTCTCTAAATACCATAATACGGGTGTATCAAGTGCTTTATAATGTAAATGAATGTCTTTATGTTTGTCTGTGTATGTGTGTATGTGTGTGTGTGTGTGTGTGGTCAGGCTGCTGAAGGCAGGATCGAGCTGATGAAGCGGACGGTAGCTGAACTGCAGAGCTGTAAGGCTGGACTGTGTTTACCTGAAGGGACAGAAAGCACACTGACTGTGTTCAAGAGCGCTGAGTTATTACTCAACCAGTTACTGGAGCTGGAGCAGGTATATAAACACACAGAGGAGATTGCAGGACAGCTAAATGCTGCTGTGTTACTTAACCTTAAAGTGATATTAACCTAAATCAAATATATACATTTTCTCCCTTGAATGGAGTCGATCAGTCAAGATATGTTTGGCGTCTGAGGTTTGCTTCTTTAGTTTTGCACTGGAGCTACAAGGCTAATGTAGCTAACAAGTAATGGAAGATTATACTCCACAAATAAGCATTGTACAAACTGCATGCCTAAATCATCACACACTGGCCTCAAACGGTGCTGAGTTTCCACTGATTTTTCAAAATGTATGCTTAATTCAGTTGAGAAGTAAGCAGTGGTGGTGATAGGAACCAGGGGTCACCATGTCTACAACCCAAATATAGTCCTTTTATTTACTCTCCAAAACAACTACTGAACCCACACATTTTTACATGTAATGATCTGAAAAATAAGCGTTCTTTGGGAACGCATTTTACGCCAAAATCTTCTCAAATCTTAAAAAAATCATTACACCGGTCTCATGTCTCAGGCATCAGGCAGCGTATTCATGACCATTTCATGTAATAACTTTCTATAAGTGAACTTTTAGTGGTGTTAAACTCTTGAGAGTTCCCATCATCACCACTGTGAACTAGTCTGATTCGGTAAGGAACATTTCACATCGAACCACTCTGAATGCCTTTGTTTACATCTAAGTGATTTCATCATGCAGAAATTTTAAAAATGGTGGTGTTCTCCTTTAAGTAATGTCTTTTAAACTTGATTGTGTGGTTTCTGATACACTGTTATCTTCAAACATGGACAAAAATACATTGCAGGGCTAATAAACTGTCTTCAGTTTGTCAAACATCCATCTCCATTCTATTTATAATGAAAGTGATCTAACACCGGACTCTCTCCCGTTAGCTCGTTCTGGAGCACACTGTGGTCGTAGTGGAATGTCCTGCGGCAGTGTGTGAGAAACCCACCCTCAGTGTCCCCCCAACCATCACTGAAGAGGAAGTGCAGGTACAGCAGAGCATACAGCTGCGAGAACAGCCACAGTTCACCAGTTAGACTGCTGTGTTGTCATTGACATTCAGGCAGGGATTAGAAACAGTCAGCAGGAAGCAATAATAGTGGCAAACAATGTTAATAACCAAGGAACAGGATTAAGAGCTCTATTTAGCGTTAGGTGTAAAAGTGTATTTTAAAAGGCCTTCTATAAGCACAATGTTGCTATTCTAGTCACAAACCAGAAAGATGGTGTGCAAACATGCTGTTTAGACAGCTGCACTAGTCTTCGGACAGCTGCAGTATTCTTAGATGGCTGCAGTAGTCTTTAGGCAGCTGCAGTAGTCTTTAGGCAGCTGCAGTAGTCTTTAGATGGCTGCAGTGGTCTTTAGACAACTGCACTAGTCTTTAGATGGCTGCAGTAGTCTTTAGGCAGCTCCAGTAGTCTTTAGATGGCTGCAGTATTCTTTAGGCAGCTGCAGTAGTCTTTAGATGGCTGCAGTAGTCTTTAGACAGCTGCACTAGTCTTTAGACAGCTGCAGTAGTCTTTAGGCAGCTCCAGTAGTCTTTAGATGGCTGCAGTATTCTTTAGGCAGCTGCAGTAGTCTTTAGATGGCTGCAGTGGTCTTTAGACAACTGCACTAGTCTTTAGATGGCTGCAGTAGTCTTTAGGCAGCTCCAGTAGTCTTTAGATGGCTGCAGTATTCTTTAGGCAGCTGCAGTAGTCTTTAGATGGCTGCAGTAGTCTTTAGACAGCTGCACTAGTCTTTAGACAGCTGCAGTAGTCTTTAGGCAGCTCCAGTAGTCTTTAGATGGCTGCAGTGGTCTTTAGACAACTGCACTAGTCTTTAGATGGCTGCAGTTGTCTTTAGACAGCTGCAGTAGTTTTTAGACAGCTGCACTAGTCTTTAGCCAGCTGCACTAGTCTTTAGACGGCTGCACAAGTGTTAAGACAGCTGCACTAGTCTTAAAACAGATTGGACATCAATTAATTGTGGAGAAAATTGGTTAAAATTGCAAAAAAAAAAAAAAAATATTTGGTGTTAAATCCACACTGATCAGTAAACACACAGCTATGTTTGTGTTCATCTTTGTTCAGGATGGTGGTCTGGACCAAGGCCTGATCAAGGTTGTGCATTTGAAGGAGGATGTGCTGAGTGGATCTGGAGCCATGCTGATGACCGTAGAGGAGTCCAGTCCAGAGCAGAGGCTCAGCTGGGTCACAGAGAAGAGCAACCAGACTTCAACTCACTCACAGGTTACCATACTCACATTCACCCTTGATTACTTAAGAAACATAATTCAGTTCTGCTTATGAATTATGGGACTAAAAATTGAATCAGCCGTTTTATCTGATTGATGATATCCAATAGCCAGAAGATGGTGATGTGTTTCAGTAAGTGTGCCATAGTGAAAATGTTCACCAGGATACAAAAATGTAATGAAAGTAAACTAAAATAAAACTAAACAACAATGAAACTGAAAGTATTTATGAATAATAAGACTAAAAATAAGAAATGGTGACTGTTTGTAACTCTCGCTTTCTTGCACCAGACAGCGCAAATGTATTCAAACAGTTTGAGCAGCAGCAGATAAACAGTGCAAATATTCGCCATGTGTAACTTTCACGGTTTTAACAAGGAACATTAGACATGAGATTTATAATGTTTATAATGTTTATAATGTTCAGCACCCAAGAACTTCTCCACTACGGGTTTGATACCATCTGGAAACGTGACGTTCGGCTTGATACCCAGAAAACAGAAGCAGAAAAGAAAGTGTAATCTGCAGCTTTAGCTAAAATAGTGGAATTCACTTGTGAACATCAGTTCTCTGTTGTTGATGTTGTTGTTACACACTGTAATAATTATACTAAGTTTAAACTGTTTTTATTTATTATCAGCTTTTTCTAGTGTTCAACCCAAACCTGAATTTCAGTTTGGGCCAAGAATTTCAGAGCATCACTACTATTAATGCACTCCTAAAAGCAGTGGTGGACATTAACGACGTAAATGTAATTCGTTACTGCACTTAAGTAGTTTTTTCGTGTATCTGTACTTTACTGAAGTTTTTCCATTTTGGGCGACTTTTTACTTTCACTCCACTACATTTCAAAGTCAAATATCTCACTTTTTACTCCACTACATTTTGCGAAATCTGTCGTTCCTTTTGGTTTATGTTTGTATAAAAACATAACGTCAAAATGAAAGAAGCGCGAAGCAAAAACACCAATCAGGGCACAGCGGTCACTTTGTGTTGAGCTTGTTTTGACCTGTTGGTCATACCGACCCAGTGCAGCACACAGTTCAACATCAGTGCAGCAGCGTAAAATTTTGGGAGAGTCTGTTCAACATAAATGATGAACTAACCTAACTTTGTGTAAATAGACCACAATATAGAAATATGTACACATATGCAGTTGTGACTGACGTGTCTTTTTCTGAATTTATACAAACAACATTTCATTTTATAGTAAATGTGTTTTGTCTAGTTTATGTTTATGAACAGAGACCTACAGATGCAGTTTAGTAAAGGAAACTCATTTGTGAACCTGAGTTTAAAGGTTTTATTAAACTTAAACTTGTAACTAAGCTGCAAATAAATCTTAAATTGAAACTTTGCTTGTTTGTAAAAAGTGATTTCAGAGCCACTCAGTTCTACCTGATGGAAACTGTTTGCCTTCAGTGTTTTGTGCTTATGATAATTTTAATAGACATCAGCGTCACTAATTAATGACTCTATTAAAAGACTGGTTTACCAAGAGTGACACTGCAGCATTTTCACCTAAAATGAGTTAATGAAGCGAGTCTTGTTACAAAAATGATAACAGGGCATTAAAGTCATAATTAATATTTTAGTACTTTTACTTTCAATACTTAAGTACATTTGAAGGCAAATACTTTTGTACTTTTACTCAAGTGTAGGTCTAAAGGGAGGAACTTCTACTTTTACTGCAGTAATATTTTCCCTGTGTATCTCTACTTTAACTCAGGTACATGATTTGTGTCGTTGGTCCACCACTGCCTAAAACTAAGTGAAACTACTGAAACTGAATAGAACAATAATAATGTTTGTGTTTGGGAGTGTGTGAGTAGGTCTTAAACAGAACCTCTGTTTTCATATCTCTTCTATTTTTGTTAATAAGTATTAATATGGATTTGTTCACTCTGTCCAACACACAAAGACAGCATTGTGTTCTTTATTTAGCAACTTTATTACATAACAGCGGATTTAGTGCATTTATTCCAAAACTAAGCAAACAAAAGCTCAGAAGTGTTCAGCTGTGTTTTGTAACTGCTGTGATGTGAATGAATATGTCCAGTGATGAGTGTGTATGTGTTTAACATGACCAAGCAGCAGCAAAGGCACGAGGAGGAGGAGGAAGAGGAGGAGGACATATTTGTGGATGTCAGAGAGGAGGAAGATGATGATGATGATGAGTATGTGGATGCTAGAACAGAAGACGAAGAGTATGGAATATCTTCTTACACTCCAGGCTGTGAAACTTGTACCGTGGAGGTAAACGGATGCTCCGAGAGGAAAAATCATGAATTCTTCTTTTTTTCTTCTCATTCATTCATCTCTCACTTTCTTTCTGATCTGCTTCACGGAGTTCTTTTCTTCATCATCTACCAGTCCTCTGTTTTTATGGTCAGGTGGTACTCAAGCCCTGTCAATTTTTAGCAAAATATTAGCATAATTTCACAGAACCGTTTTCTCAAAATGCGCACATTTATGAGAGAAATGTAGACATGATAACTCAGAAGTTAGTTTTCATGTTGACATGCTAAGTCAGATGTAAGCTTATACATTAACATACTAACTCAAATCTAAGCAAACATATTGACAAGCTAACTCAGTGTAAGCTAGCATGTTGACTTGCTAACTCAGATGTAAGAAAACTCACTGGCATTGTTAACTCAGATGTAAGCTAACTTGTTGACAGGTTAAGTCACATTTAAGATGTTGGCATGCTAACACAATGATATGCTAACTCAAATGTAAACCACCTCATTGACTTGTTAAATCTGATGTAAACCAACACTGATTTGCTAACTCAAACAAGCTAACTAGATGTGTAAAATCAGATGCAGGCTAACATAAGCTAAAGCAGATGCATGAAAACTCACTGGCATTGCTAACTCAGATGTAAGCTAACTTGTTGACATGTTAAATCCAGTGTAAACTAACACTGATTTGCTAACTCAAATAAGCTAACTAGATGTGTTAACTCAGATGTAAGCTAACTTGTTGACATGTTGAATCACATTTAAGCTAACACATTGGCATGCTAACTCAGATGTGAACTAACACAATGATATGCTAACTCAGATGTAAGCCATCTTGTTCACATGTTAAATCCAATGTAAACTAACACTGACTTGCTAACTCAAATAAGCTAACTAGATGTGTAAAATCAGATGCAGGCTAACATGTAAGCTAACTCAGATGCATGAAAACTCACTGGCATTGCTAACTCAGATGTAAGCTAACTTGTTGACATGTTAAATCCAATGTAAACTAACATTGACTTGCTAACTCAAACAAGCTAACTAGATGTGTAAAATCAGATGCAGGCGAACATGTAAGCTAACTCAGATGCATGAAAACTCACTGGCATTGCTAACTCGGATGTAAGCTAACTTGTTGACATGTTGAATCACATTTAAGCTAACACATTGGCATGCTAACTCAGATGTGAACTAACTCAATGACATGCTAACTCAAAAGTAAGCCATCTTGTTCACATGTTAAATCAGATGTGAACTAACACTGACTTGCTAACTCAAATAAGCTAACTAGATGTGTTAGAATCAGATGCAGGCTAACATGTAAGCTAACTCAGATGTAAAACACATGGCCTGTTAACTCAGATGTGAACTAACACACTGATATGCTAACTCAGATGTAAGCTGACATGCTAACATGCCAGCATAGATGCTTTAGCTATGAAAATGATTCTTCATGCATCAAAAATATTCCTCAAACAGTTAAAAGGCCTAGTCTGCCAATCTGAACTGCACTGTATTTCACAGCAAACTCTAAGTTGAGGGCTGATTTATAGGGCATTTTTATGATCATGACTTCAGACCTGACTAATACATTTACTCTCACACGGAGCTCCAGAGAAACAACCACACAAACAGCTGGATGCCTCATAGCTAAAAAGAAGTTGCCCATGTTCACTTCTTTTGGGGCTCTTCCCTACTTTTTGCTTCACTTCATGCTTCTTTGCACTTTTCCTCCTCTTCCTCACTCTTCATCACCTCCTCCACTCCATCCTGGATCTGTCACCTTTTTTCATTTCAGCACATTGATCTACTGTTCCTAACAGACCTGCCTTCAGAAGCACTACTTGCACTGTTTTTCTTCTTTTTTTATCACTTTTCTCTCCCTCTCTTTTTAACGTAGCTACTCTGACAAATGTCTAATAATGATCTTATTTGGTCCAAATGCTGTTAGGCTGAATGGTTGAATGAGACTGTGTTTGTGGTAGTGACATCATAACCATGATCAATTCAAAATTGAGCTTAGTTTTCTGTGTAGACTTTATGGATGATCCGTTTAAAAGTGTTTAAATACAATATCAAACGCTAGGTGATCGCTGTGGTATCCCATGTGGTTGCTAAGGTGTTGCTAGACCATTGCTGTGTTATCCCATTTGGTTGCTAAGGTGTTACAAGGCCATTGCAGTGGTATCCCAGGTGGTTGCTAAAGTGTTGCTAGGTGATTTCTATGGTATCTCAGGTGGTTGCTAAGGTGTTACAAGGCCATTGCAGTGGTATCCCAGGTGGTTGCTAAGGTGTTGCTAGGTGATTGCTATGGTATCTCAGGTGGTTGCTAAGGTGTTACTAGGCCATTGCAGTGGTATGCCAGGTGGTTGCTAAGCTGTTGCTGGGTGATTGCTATGGCATCCCAGGTGTTGCTAGGCCATTGCTATGTTATCCCATTTGGTTGCTAAGGTGTTTTGATCGACCATTGCTATGTTATCCCATTTGGTAGCTATGGTGTTGCTATGTCATTGCAAAGGTATCCCAGGTGTGTGTATGAGACTCTATGTAATATCAGTGAGAGTAATATCTTTTTATTGAGAGTAGTAAAACGAGGAACAGTATGTTTGCTTTGACAATCCAACTTAATAAAATATGACATTTTATGAAACCTTTAAAATATCTTGACTTGATCAAACAATTAAATTGACTTACATTTTGCTGTTCATATTTAAAAACATGGACTAGTTTACTTGTCTGCATGCTTTCTCTTCTACACCTCTAGGTGGCGCTGTAGTCGCACGTTTCTGTGGCAGAGCTGCTCTTTCTTTCTCAGCTGCAGTGTGCAGTTGAGAACTGGAGCGAGAGCTTCAAGCTGCACATGCAAATAAACCTCATAAACATTTACAAGCACTTTCACAGCCCGGTGACAATAATAGTCCCATCTCGTCCAGTGAATTCCACCTACAGACCCAGTCAAAGGGTCAGACACACCTACTCATAAAGGGTTTTCTTTATTTTTACAATTTTTAACAACAAATCCAAACTATATTGTACTTTAGATGATTCAAAGTAGCCCCGCCCACCCTGATAAAGTTTAATACTCTCAGAATTTCTCTACTTAGATTTGTCTGAAAGAGTTTACCTTTCAAGCAGTTAAACAAAAGCTTTTAAATAAAAATGTCTTTAAGGAAAATCATACGGTCAAACTAGTGTGTCTAAGCTTTTGACTGGAACTGTAACTGTGCAGGTGAGTGGAACTTCACCCTGACTCATATGTCTTATTGTGTAGGACGCAGACAGTGGAGGACCTCCTGAGTCTGCAGAGCAGGACAGAATGGTAACAGATCCCAAGGTAACTCAAAAAGCTGCCTGTGAATGCTTAGATTTGTCCTAACAGTCTGATTGTTCACACCCAACAATAATTAGTTTAGTCTGACAGGTTCAGGTTCTCATTTGGTTGAAAGGAATTTTTGGAAAAAAAAAAAAACATTTTGTAAAGTTTGTCCAACCTCACAACAGTAATGAATGAATGCATTTTTGTGTGAAGTATGGACAGGTCAATAAAAGTGATAGCTAAGAAAATATTGGAATTTAATCCAGTATGAATCTGCAGTGTGTGTAGTTTTTACAGTTTGACAGTAATAACTGTGGAGTGATTTTAATCCAGTATGAATCTGCAGTGTGTAGTTTTACAGTCTGACAGTAATAATTGTGGAGTGATTTTAATCCAGTATGAATCTGCAGTGTGTGTAGTTTTACAGTCTGACGGCAATAATTGTGGAGTGATTTTAATCCAGTATGAATCTGCAGTGTGTGTAGTTTTTACAGTCTGACAGTAAAAACTGTGGAATAAATGATCTTCTTTAATTGGCTGGACCCAGAGCTCCGTCAGTAGTCCTGTTCCAATCCACTTCACACTAATAGAACAGCAAAACTCGATAATGGCTGAGAGGTGTGTTGTTATTGTTATTGAATGTGTCCTGTGGTGTAACACTGACATGAATATCCAAATCCAGTTTGTGGGAATTTGTCAAAAGTATGCAGATAATTTGTCCTGAGCCAATTAAACAGGTGGAATAGAATTTAGGTCATGATGCTGAACCACTTTTACCTGTTACTTTTACCTACTGCTTTTCATGTGTCTAGGATGTAGAACCTGCCCCGGAAGCAAGCGCACAGGAGGCTGGACCCAAACCAACGGCGACCGTGCGAACGCAGTCTCCTCCCAAAGAGCTGGTAACCAAACCCCCATTCGTTAGAGAACTCTCCAAGTCTCCCTCCAGAGGCCAGCAGAAGTGCGTGGTCTCCTAGATCTAGAGCTCTCTTGACGGAACCTCTTGGTCTTAAAGCGACTCTTCTAGAACCAGAACTCCGCTTCTAGAACTTCTAGAACTTTCTAGCACTAGAATCCTCCAGTCAGTGCATTTACATGGTTGTTGTGCTCCAAACTGCTATGAAGCGAAGGCTTGGGTATGGAGCGAACCTCTTCCGAAGGAGAGCTGTGACTGAGAGAATGACCGATGAAGCCTTGAAATCTATGAGATCCCAATAGAGCATCAGGTTTCGCTGCGACTGACCTAAGCTTTTCTTCTCTATTGTTTACGTATTGGTCATTAACTTCTCTATAGGGTGTCATTTGCAGCTTCAATGTGCCTTAACATTAAACAGATCTGTAATATTCTAGACTTTTTACACAGCCTGTTATTGGCTATGGAGTCATAAATTCTGAGATTTTGAATATTTCAAGCACTTTATGAAGTTCAAGTTTGTAAGGCTATATGACTCTTTCAAAGACTACAGGCTACCTTTCAATATACAGTAATTATATATAAAATTCCTGACTTACTATTTTTAATAATTGATTTTTACAATGTTGACCATTCAAATAGTCAAAAATTCTGACTCATGCCTTTATTATTTATTCTATATTATAATTACAGTTTAAGCACATAAATTACAATATATATAATACCATTATTACATATATGTATCATAATATCAGCCTTTAACTTGCATAAATAGGTCAAAGTGACTTGTTTCCATGCTGGAATCAGACATTTTTTCAAAAGTGACCCATTGCTTGTTTTTCCAAGCGGGGAAAATCTGCAAGTGTAATTTTTCACTAATGCATGATATCTTTTGTCTACTAAATACAAAACTACAGTGTCAGTGCCGTTCTAAATGCCTTTATAGCATGTGTTTCACTATGTAAAGCAGTGTTGATTTGCATTGTATTAAAACTGTGACTTAACGGTGATCATTTCTGTTACAGCAGGTTGTGTTTTATATATAAGTGTCTTGATCAGCGAGAGTTTTTGTAATATTTTGTCAAACACTCACTTGGCCCAGGTCCTCAGTGTCTAAGTGCATGCTGGAGCAAATTCAGACTGTTAATGATTTTGTTAACATAACTACTTCTGTGTCACTGGTGGAAAATTACATCAAATGAAGGTTTTGCCCGCTCATAAATCACAATATGGAACAATTCCGTTTATTTTTATGCTTTTTAAGTGTTTTTCTTCTTCCATGTAAATGCACTGATTTATTTAGTCCTGTGCATGCCCTCCGTTTCTTCTTCTTTTCTCTCTGCGTCATTTTGTCAACTTTGCAATCATCTTTCTTTTTTTTTGTCTGGAAAAAAAGACGAATGAAAGGAAAGAAAACAAAAGCAACAACGAAAATAAACCCACAGAAGTGATCCACTCCGCCGTCTCTCTCTCTTTTCTGTGTGTCAGGAGCGAATCGGACAGACAACATCAGACACAATAACCTTAAGAAATAGAGACCATAGGGCATGACCTCTGACTATAGGGTGAACAGTGCTGAGGTGGCGTTCAGAGAGGGAAAGGGCATTGGAGTGACCACTGCAAAGGCTACTGACTAACTGACCACTGTAAAGACAGACATTATTGACAGTCTGACAAAAAAAAAAAAGCCAGGCACTATTTTCAATCTGACCACTACAAAGCCAAATATTACTGACAGTCTGACCACTATAAAGACAGATGCCATTGCCAATCTGACCACTATAAAGACAGATGCCATTGCTAATCTGACCACTATAAAGACAGATACTACTGACAATCTGACCACTATAAAGACATACTACTGACAATCTGACCACTATAAAGCCAAATACTACTGACAATCTGACCACTATAGAGACAGCTACTACTGACAATCTGACCACTATAAAGACAGCTACTACTGACAATCTGACCACTATAGAGACAGATACTACTGACAATCTGACCACTATAAAGACAGATACTACTGACAATCTGACCACTATAAAGACAGATACTACTGACAATCTGACCACTATAGAGACAGATACTACTGACAATCTGACCACTATAAAGACAGATAATGGAATACATGCACCAGCCCTTTCTATAGGACTGCAGTCCTCATGTGTATTAATACACTCTCAGGCTGCATTTGCTCTATCCTGAGTGGACGCTGTCTGAAGCCCTGGTAAGCTCACAAACACGTGTTAAAAGTGCCTTAACTCACTCAAATCCTTCCACTCTTCCAAACCTCACTTGTGCACTGACCCTCAGATCTCCCTACCACCTAGGGTCCGACCGATATGATAGGTTTGTCATCAATACTGATTTTAAAGAGCTAAAAATTTTGAATAACTGATAATATTAGCAAATATACACTATATGACCAATGGAATGTGGACACAGCTCCTAATCATTGAGTTCAGGTGTTTCAGCCACACCCATCGCTAACATTGGCATTAGAATGGGTTATAATGAAGAGCTCAGGGACTTTAGACATGGCACTGTCATAGGGTGTCAGTTTGTGACATTTCTGTCCTGCTAGATCTGCCCCAGCCAACTGTAAGTGCTATTATTGTGAAATGGAAGCATCTAGGAGTGACAACAGCTCAGCTACAAAGCAGTGGACCATGCAAACTTACAGAGAGGGGCCACTGAGAGCTGAAGCATGTAGCTCATAAAAATGGACTATCTTCTGTTGCATCACTCACTACAGAGTTCCAAGCTGCCTCTGAAATCAACATGAGCACAAAAACAGTGCACTGGGAACGTCAAGAACTGGGTTTCCGTGGCTGAACAGCTGCATGCAAGTCTAAGATCGCTATGCACAATGCCAAGTGTCGGCTGGAGTGGTGTGAAACCAGCCACCACTGGATTCTGCTGAAATGTGTTCTCTGGATTGATGAATCAGGCTTCACTATCCATCAGTCTGAGGGATGAATCTGGGTTTGGCAGATGCCAGGAGAACGCTACCTACCGGAATGCACAGTGCCAACAGTAAAGTTTGGTGGAGGAGGGATGATGGGCTGGGGCTGTTCAGGGTTTGGGTCCTTTATTTCCGGTGAAGAGTGATGTTAATGCCATAGAATGCAAAGACATTTTAGACAATTTTATGCTTCCAGCTTTGTGTCAGTAGTTTGGGGAAAAGCCTTTCCTGTTCCAGCGTGACTGATCACCTGTGCACAAAACAAGCTCCATAAAGACATGGTTTGAAAAGTTTGGTGTGGAGGAAACTTCAGTGGCCTGCCCAAAGCCCTGACCTCAACCCCACTGAACACCTTTGGGATGAAGTGGAATGTCCCACAGACCCATTCGAAAATCTTGTGGAAAGCCTCCCAGAAGAGTGGAGGCTGTTATAGCTGCAAAGACAGGCAACTCCATATCAATGCCCATGGTTTTGGAATGCGACGTTCAACAAGCTGACCTAGGTGTGGAGGTCAGGTGTCCACATACTTTGGATCATATACTGTAGTTTAAAACTAAGCAGACTCATGTGGTCAAATAAGTAAACAGTGCTTTACTACTGATATGTTTGTCAACTCCACAGATTTTTTAAAATTCCTCCATGACTAAGTGGTTCAGAGGTGAACAAAGTCATTCCGAGTGGTTTGACGTGAAACGATCGGTACTAAAGAAAGTCAGAATTGGAACCAGATGTCTAAAAAGTTTAATGTCACTAAAAGCTCCCACACAGTAGGTTTTTTACACAAAATGGTCACAAGACATTGTTTTATGATAGGTTTGAGGAAGCTTTGCTCTAAAACACATTCATTGTGGAGGGACACATGCAGGGTGTTCTAAGGCAAAATAGTCCCCAGTGAAAACAGATTTTTTCAGATTTTTTCCACTATTTTCCATCACCAACATTCCATATAAACTCAGAAGACTCGTGTAGGTTCACTGGTAGTTCTGGATAGTAAATAAAATGTCTATATCTGTGTTGTAGTCATGGTGACCCCTCGTTCTTATCACCACCACTGTAAAGACATCTGAACCATTTCACACCAAACCACTCTGAATCCCTCTGTTTACTCGATTAGATGATTGTTTAATTTAACTCCACAATTAAATTATGCAGAACTGTTTGATCAGTAGAATTCCTCATATCTCAATAGACGAATTTCAGATAGTCAAGCTGATATAAACAGCAGAAACTAACTGTAAATAATATAAATACTGTACCTATGATAAGGTACCATGCTTTTCTTATTAGAGAAGTCTGGTTATATAAGCTTTGTAATAATAATACTGGTGTTTAATAAACAAGGACTTGCACTGATAAGTCTTTGGAACACTTTAGTGGATGATATATCGGTCGGGCCCTTACCACCAACTTCCTCTCTAACATTTAGCACTCCTCTGTTGGCCAAAGTTTGGACTATAAAACTCACAATATTGCATTTTAATCCTTGAAAGTCTAACATTATTAGTGTAATTTTGCTGCTCTGTTTAATCATTACATAATTATGACATTTAATATGATAAATATTTATTGAATATATAATAAATTACATTTGCATTTGATTTCCATTCAGTTATGACTGGTTTGAGTCTGCACATTTTTCTGTTTGTTTCACTGTTAAAATTGGCAAAAATTCTAATCGTAATAAAATATCTCCTTTTCTAAACGTGGTATAGGCACAATCTGCACTTTCCACACAATTTGTCTGCTGTTATATAAATTTACAGTGTGCTTTTGACTACCTGGCCACTTCATTGGAAACACTTACCGTGTGCTTCCACTCACTGGCTACTTTATAAGAAACACCTGCCTTTTACTTCCATTCATTGGCCACTTTATCAGAAACACCTACGTTTTACTTCTGTTTACTGGCCACTTTATTAGAAACACTTACCTTGTATTTCCACTCAGTGGCCACTTTGTTAGAAACACCTACAGTATTTTATAGATCTACTATAAATTTACTGTGCAAAGGTCAGAGACCACTCTTCATTTACCTAAATGAACAGCCATTAAATACAAGTTATTTGTTTTTCAGTATCAGGAAATAAACAGAAAGAAATACATAGAAACCTCAATAACTAAACATAATATCATGTTTTCCACATAGTGTCACTCTTTACCTTACATTCCAGCTTCCATTGTTTCCAGGAGACTCACTTTCAGTTTCTCAAAGAAATCTGCAGACACACCTCCAGAGTTCAAGCTGGTTGCATTTTCTGCTTCTCACAATCCAAGTAATCCCAAATGCGTTCAGTGATGATAAGGTCTGGACACTGGGGTGGTCAGTCCTACTATGGATCGTTTCAGATCTAAAGTTTGATTGTCTCCTCTCTCTAAAGATGAAAGTACTGTTTGTCTCATGTCTCTTTATTAGACACAGTGGTGTTGCTGGAGTTTTTGCATGCGTCGGTGTCACTGCTTGGTTGAGACTGGATCCCCAAAATATCCAGGCAAGAGCAGCTCTGTGGTCAGAAACTGACCACTGATGAAGGGCTAGAGAATGGCTCACATTAACTGCATCAACAAATGAGCTACAGTCTCTAAATGTACACCAGCAAGGTGGAACTACAAGAGAGGGGTTTCTGATAAAGTGGCCAGTTGTTGTATATATGTATATATATATCTGTATGCATATATGCTGATGGAGTAAATGAAAATGAAAAATAATGCATTTTTCAAGCTTAATGTACTGATATGACAGCAGTTTCCAGACTTTATTCAAAGTCAGATGCTTTAGGACAGCATCACTTCCTCAGAGGTCCGCAGTTGAATTTGAATTACACCACACATTCAAAAGCTCATCCAACCTTTCAAAGGTGTTAATAGTGAGTTTGTCCCCCTTTGCTGCAGTATCAGCCTCTACTCTTCTGTGAAGGCTGTACACTAGATGTTGGAACATTACTGTGAGGATATGATTGAGCATTAGTGAGGTCAGGTACTGATGTTAGATGGTCAGTTCGGGATCACTCCAACTCATCCCAAAGATATTGGATGGAGCTCCATCACTCCAGAGAACACAGTTCCACTGCTCCACAGCCCAATGCTGGGGGCTTTTGTACCCTCTAGATGAGGCTTGGCATTGGGCATGGTGACCTTAGGCCACTCCAGAGCAGCCAATTCTATTGGTCAGCGCTTTCCCATGAAGATTATCCAAGCTGTGTGCACAGCTTAGCTCTTATGCCAGTAATGAGTGCATCTTAAAGTAGCTGGATCCACTCATTAGACATTTTCAAGCATTTCTAATCTATATTTGATTTTCAGTACAGAGCACAAAATCCTGGCATGTACTGTACACTCACTAAGAGTATTATCTGTCACACTGTAAACAATTAAAAGTCAATTAAACATGACATTGCAAGTCAGTTCTACGCAAAACGTCACTAGTACTAGTAATGTGAATGTGGTTTCCTCCTTAAAAGCTGATATTGCTTAACGTTCCTTGCGAGATTTTTACTCAGTTCCTTCCCCCATTTCAGTCAGAGCCAAGTCCCACCCGCAGGCTGTCACTCTGTAAAATCATGCCAAAATAATCTCGTTGTACTTTGGAGTTTGTACCACACGCCTGCCCAGTTAATACCTAGAACTTAACGGAGTGTGAAAGAGAGCATTACCAATAATTCAGTCACTTTTATGAAAGCCTTGAGAAGGTCATCACATATACGAAGACATTTGGACTCCCCGGGTCAAATTACAAATGAACACATCCTCCACAGAGAACACCCATAAATATGACTTTTTAATGCAAATTTTAGTGCATAATTTCTATTTATTTGCATATTTGAAAAATAATATATATATATATATATATATATATATATGAAACTTTTTTGTTGTTTTATTTATTTGCTTAATTTTAATTATCATTTAAACTATTTTTGACTGGAAGCATTCAAGTTTTTGCACATGACTATATTAGAGAACTGAAAATGTCCTCACACACACACACACACACACACACACACACACACACACACACACGCGCACACACACACACACACGCACACATAGACTGGTATGAGACGCTGCACAAAGGAGAGCTCTTCTGTGTGTGTGTGGTGTTGTATGTGAAACCAGCGGCACTTTCAGGAAGTAGTTTGAGCAGCAGGTGGGCGGAGCCAGGCAGGGAAAAGAGTGAGAGAGGGAGAAACCTAGAAATGAGCGAAAGAACATGAAGGAGAGAGATAACGAGAGAGATGTAAGAAGTGTGTGTGTGTGTGTGTGAGTGTGTGTGTGTGTGTGTGTGTGTGTGAGAGAGAGGAGAGAGAGAGAGAGAGAGAGAGAGAGAGAGTAGTGCTGTAGTTGTTGTCATGGTGTTGCAGTTACACTGTAAACTTTACTGTACTTAATGCAGTAATACCAATACAACTAAGTTGAGCTAAACTGGGGGCCAGAATGGACAGAAGTAAAAGGATAGAAGGGTAGAGAGAAACACAGGTAGGGAGACAGAGAGATAGATAGATAGATAGAGAGAGAGAGAGAGAGAGAGAGAGAGAGAGTCAGAGATAGGATTAGAGAGGAGAGAGAGTAGGGGTAGAGAGACAGGTAGTTAGAGAGGTAGAGAGAGAGGTAGAAGGGTTGAAAAGAAGGGGAAAGAGAAAGAGGGTGAGAGAGGGAGAGAGAGAGAGAGAGAGTTTAGCTGTTAGCTGGTCTGAGTGTAGTGGTAATGAAGCAGTATTTGTAGTCTGTGCAGGGTTAATGGACACGCCCAGAGCTTCACAGACTGACAGACAGAACCGCTCTTAAACGTGTTTGTTGACGTGCCTGATCTCTCCGCCGGTGTATTTTGACCGGTCACTCCTTCTGTCTCTGTTTTACACTTTTATCATCCTGTAATTTCTCGCTCCCATCTCTTTCCCTCTCTCTGTCTCTTCTCTGTTCTCCCTTTACCTACCTCTCTCTCTCTCTCTCTCTCTCTCTCTCTCTCTCTCTCTCTCTCTCTCTCTCTCCAGGCCTCAGCTGAAGCTGGCGTGTTGCGTGTGTGTGTTGAGAAGGCTGCCGTGTTGGAGGTGTGTCTGGAACAAGCGCGGGTCAGTCTGGGTCAGTCAGGTCTGGACAGCAGCATGCAGCACAGCATAGAGAGACAACTACAGAACTGTCAGGTACACACACACACACACACACACACACACACACACATATATATTTATATGAATACATAAATACACATTACTTATGTGCAACTAAACATATCACATGCACATACATATATATATATATATATATATATATATATATTTATACATATATATATGTGCATGTGTAAGTATATATAAATGTATATAGATAGATAGATATAGATATGTGCAAGTGATAATACATGATAATACATATAGATGCATGTAAGTAATAATACTACGTCCCATATATGTGTTATTATGCACACCATCGCTGTTGGAACAAAACCTTGTATCTCCATTTAGGTTGTGCTTTTAATTTTACATAATTTGAAAATGACAACGGCACACACACACACACACACACACACACACACACACACACACACACACACACACATACAAATATACTCATACACACACACACAAAAGCACACTAGGAGAGGGTCATTGGGTCAGTCATCGGCTGTCTAGGACACATAGAGCTGAAGCTGGTTGGGCTTCACGCAGTGTGGTGTGGAATTTGTGTTGGGGTAGATTTTCTCAGGAACTCCTGAGTCTGGCTGAGAGCCAACTTCTTCATACACACCTCACTGGTGTCCGGTTACTGCCTTAGAGGGTGTGTGTGTGGGTCTGTGGGTGTGTTTGTGTTTCTGCTAGTGGTGTAACAATGCATCATAACATTGTGATATTGTGGTGCAAAAAACGTAACAGTTTGTATCGTGAAGTTTTGTACATCAGTTCATTCCGACAGTGTGATCTGATGCACTGAAGACTGTTCTGCCTGTGCTGGTCTTTGTGATAACAGGACAGCTTTTTCACAATAACTGTATCATTCAGCCGAGTACCGGTTGCTTTACACTGCAGCTAACTTTTTAGCATGTTTTTTGTTTGTCTTTAGCGCATATAAATGCAGAAAATGGACACATTTAATAAGTTCTATAAAATAATATTTGACCTGCCTGTTTAGTCAGATTCTGATGAAAGGGAGTGGCTGCAGGCCTACATCAAATTCCAAACCTGTTGCTTTTAAATGTGCTTTTCTGTCAGCAGCTGAACAATTAAACAAGCTGCAAATTGAATGAACAAAATGCACTTTGACAAACAAAAACAGCTTCAGAGGAACAAAACCACATTCAGCTTCATCTGGAAAGTACTAGAAAAGCTGAGCTGAACCTGATAGTGCGACAGTATTATGACTCTATTAATAATGTAATAGGGTATTACCTTTTTGGTGGAAGGAATTGCCCATATTAACGTACATTTAATGCAATACTGCTTACTTAACAATACATTATGAAATTGTGATATGACATTGTATACTGTGGGGATGTGACAATGCATTGTGGAATATAGGCCTTGGATTAGCTACACTGTCTACTGTAACTGCATTTTAGTGGTTGGTATCATGTAGTGGGTAACACTACTGCCGTGAGATGTGTTGCTATGGGCCAGGATCAAGCAAGTGATTTAGCCACTCTGCTATAGAGCCAATTATAATGCACACAAACCCAAAAACTGCCCTTTCCTTAAGTAGCCTGTATTAATTCCATATAATAATTTCAAACGTGATGACTATTCTCACTCTTAGTGTTGTGTGTTAAATATGTGAAGCTGTGATGGCAATTTTCACAACAAACCTGCATCACCATAAGGACTTTATAAGGAGTTAAATGTATATGGGTCATTCTCCATCTGGAGTGGGAAATCATGTCACAAAGGTTGCAGGGCTTAAAAAGATGCTTAAAATATGAGTCACAGCTCCCTTATGATTCTCTGATTTTTCTTTTGTTATCATGTTTCATAGTCGCTCTGCATCTGTAAAACAGCTTGTCATATAACTGATTTTCAACATTTGAGAAACCATTTTTAATATAAAACAATATTTTTAAGAGGTTTAACTTGGGAATTTGTATAAAACAGATTCATGTTTACTTTTTATATCATTAACATTATACTACATTTAAAAAGTATGTATTTTATTTAAACTCATATTACTTAGACTCTTATGTTACATTTTAACACAGTATTTTCAGCTCCATTAAACTGCTTCTTTGAGTTGAGGCTGATCAGAGAGGAAGCATCTCAAGGCATGAGAAGGCGAGTCACACTCGCTCACTATATTTCATTAATTTATTAATAATTTTGTTTATCAGGCAGCTCATAACTTCTAGGTGTCACCGGCGTTATGTGCTTTAATTGCTGGGTGATTAAATTTGTCAAAATAATGCCAAATATAATTTTTATTACTTTATATACTTTATATTATTTTAAACAGCTGCACAAGGTCACCTGACCACCAATGAGTCAAATGAGACCACCAATTTACAAAATCCTCAGTTTTAACCAGAATGTCACTGGAGTCACCGTCACTGGTGTTACACCATATTCATGCAACACCAGTGACTGTAACATATGTTTGGAATTAAGCTCTCCTTTCTGCATGTATGATAATAGGAGACGTTAATGCACATATTAAGATAGTTTAGTTTTGGGATGAAAGAAATACATTTTTTAAAAATGTATCCACCCGAATTCCCACTCCGAGTGGAGAATGACCCACGTTTTGGAGCGGTTATGAGTGTGTGAGTGTGTATCAGCCTGTTTGATCAGGTCAGGTCAAGCCTCTCATTACTTTAGTCCTGCAAAACTCTATTGTCTTTAAAAGAAACACACAGAAATAAGGTCATCTAGATTTGAGCGCACTGTAGTAGCTGAACAGACCAACACCAAGTGTAATTCATCAGCCAAGACATGTTTGGTGTCTGAAGTTTGCTCCTTTAGTTTTGCACTGAAGCTAACAGGCTAATGTAGCTAGCAAGTAACCATCAATTAGCATTGTGCTAACTGTGTGCATAAGTCTTCACACACTGGCCTCAGTCTGTGTTAAGGTGTTCAGTAACCTCTAATAGGCTTGGCTATGTGGTTTCGGACACTGCATGACACACTGTTATCTATAAACATGGACAGAGGTATGAAGCGTAGCTAAAAACACAGCAGCCATCCTGAAGTTTGTGTAAAATATTCCTGACCAGCACAGCAGCATCCAAAACACAGCATGTTCTGTTTTTGCTGGTGACCAGAGATGCTGATCTATGCCGGTTTTTCTAGCAGGGCTTTGAATTGAAGTCAGTATAATTTTTTTTTTTAATTATAATATTTTATTCCACATAGCTTTGGACTATTTCTACTAGTCTCTTCTTCATGAAGTTTTTACACAGTGTTAAGGACAGCTGGAATTCTCAAATCATGTGGGAAAAATGAAAAACATCAAAATGGGAATAACGGATTTGTCCTGATCATGACAAATCAAAGGAAACTTAATAGTATCTTTTCGATAGAGGGGTAGCATTATTACTGAGTGAGGCTTGGTTAGCATTACAGCTAGTGAGTGCTGATTGGTTAGAATTATTGCTGCTGAGTGCTGATTGGTTGGCATTACTGCTAGTGAGTGCTGATTGGTTAGAATTACTACTACTGAGTGGTGATTGGTTGGTATTACTGCAACTGAGTGCCGACTGGTTAGCATTACTGCTACTGTGTGCTGATTGGTTGACATTACTGCTAATGAGTGCTGATTGGTTGGAGTTATTGCTACTGAGTGCTGATTGGTTGGCATTACTGCTAGCAAGTGCTAACCAATCAGCACTCACTAGCAGTAATGCCAACCAATCAGCACTCAGTAGCAATAACTCCAACCAAACAGCACTCATTACTGCTGATTGGTTGGAGTTATTGCTACTAAGTACTGATTGGTTAGCATTACTACTAATGAGTGCTGTTTGGTTAGAATTACTGCTACTGAGTGCTGATTGGTTGGAGTTATTGCTACTAAGTACTGATTGGTTAGCATTACTACTAATGAGTGCTGTTTGGTTAGAATTACTGCTGCTGAGTGCTGATTGGTTGGAATTATTGCTACTGAGTGCTGATTGGTTGGCATTACTGCTAGTGAGTGCTGATGGGTTAGCACTTGGTGGGGGGTGTTTGCGGAAAGGTGGGCCATAATGGGCCAGCCAATGTCATGTCAACTTCTTACACTTACACTCACACCACACACACAATAGTAAGTTATAAAGAAATGAGTCAGTGAGTGCATTGAGAAACTTAAGCACTCTAGTGTAAAGGAAATGGTCACTTCCTGTGGTCTAGTATGGTCAGGCTATTTTGAATTTGTTCAAATCAGAGAGAAAATGTACTTCCTTGTGATGTGTGTTCAGCAGTGTTGGAGTAGTTACTGTAGTAATACATTACAAACGACTAATTATTTCTCTCGCGATGGTATTCCTGGTGGTTGTTAGTGTGATGCTGGGCGCAATCACTCTTAATATATAATAAATAGCAATAGTGTTGTCTATTGCAATGTTCAATCAATAATTTATATAGCACTTTTAATTTCAGTTACAACATCTCAAAATGCTTTACAGTAGAACACTGGAAAGATGGAGAGACAAAAGAATGCAATAAAATTAACACAGTTATAAACACTGTGAGCTACAGTATTCTGGGCATATGCTAGACTAAACAAACCTTTTTAATCTATATTTTAAAACACCAGTATAACTTGTTTTCAGACTGTTCTTTGGAGTGCTCCTCCAGAGTTTAGGAGCTCTGTAAGAAAATAATCCAGCGATGGAGCTGTAAGAGATCCTGGGAGTTCGCTGAGTCAGTGAGATATGCTGGATCTAGAATGTTAAGAGCTTTAAATGTCATAAACAGAAAAACACAAAACATCTGTTGTTATATGAAATTGATTTTGTAAGTGTGAGTATATGAGGAAAGTAACGGTATTGTCAACTGTTGCAGTGGCCTAGTTTTATGATGTGTTTGGCAGCTTTGATGAGAACAATAACACACCCTCTAATCCTGTAATCACTTTGTGTAAGTGTATATTTATTTATGTACACTTTTACTTCTACTTAAGTACATTAGTAAGAAAAGAGGTCTTTATTTTACACAGTTACATTTTAGTCATTAATATTTTGTTACCAATTACATATTTTTGGGGGGTAATTTTGTTACACTATTTGGACAATAGTTTTTGGGACACCAACAGGAGCTTTTATGAATCCCATTCTAAATCCATAGGCATTAATATGGAGTTGGTCCCCCTTTGCAGCTACAACAGCTTCCACTCAGAAGCTTTCTACAAGACTTTGGAGAGTGTCTGTTGGAATTTTTGTCCATTCATCCATTGTGAGGTCAGACACTGATGTTGGACGAGAGGGCCTGATTCACAATCTCCGTTCTAGTTAATCCCAAAGGTGTTCAGTGGGGTTGAGGTCAGGGCTCTGTGAGGGCCAGTCAAGTTCTTCCACACTAAATTCACCCAGCCATGCTTTTATGGAGCTGCTTTGTGCACTGGGGCCTAGTACAATTGTCCAGAATATCTTGGTCTGCTGAATTAAAAGATTTCCCTTCACTGGAAATAAGGGTTCTAAGCCAACCCCTGAAAACAACCCCATATCATCATCCCTCCTCCACCAAATTTCACAGCTGGCACAGTGCAGTCAGCCAGGTAAGTACGTTCTCCTGGCATTCGCCAAACCCAGACTCGTCCATCAGACTGACAGATAGAGAAGTGTGATTCATCACTCCACAGAATACGTTTCCACTGCTCCAGTGGTGGCGCTTTACACCCCTCCGTCCGACACTTGGCACTGTGCATTTTGATCTTAGGCTTGTGTGCAGCTGCTCGGCCATGGAAACCATTTTGGTGAAGCTCCTAAAGTGCATTATTTTGCTGATGTTGCTTCCAGAGGCAGTTTGGAACTCTTTAGTGATTCAACAGAGGATAGTCACTGTGCGCTTCAGCACTCTGTGAATGTGTGGTCTTCTGCTTCGTGGCTGAGCTGTTGTTGCTCCTAGATGCTTCCATTTCACAATAACAGCACTTACAGTTGTCTAGGGCAGATCTAGCAGGACAGAAATTGTGACTTGTGGCAGAGGCAGCATCCAATGACAGTGCCATGATTAAAGTCACTGAGCTCGTCAGTTCGACCCTCTACTGCCAGTGTTTGTCTATCGAGACTGCAAGGCTTTGTGCTTAATTTATCCACCTGTTAGCAATGGGTGTGGCTGAAACACCTGAGCTCAATAAGTAGGAGGTCTGCCCCAATACTTTAGTCTACATAGTGTTTGTTGCTGGCAGTTTTGTGATTGTTCTCAACTCTGACTTTGGAGCTCTAACACTTTATCTTGGTCCAAGAGTGCATCAGAAAACGAGAGCAGTCTTCAGTTCCTTTGTTCTTCTTCTATTTTTAGAAAATGTTACTTCATTCATTATTTCACCAAAGTAACAGTGCTTTTACAGAGGTTCAGGTCTGTGAGAATCTTTGTGGCGTCAAAGTCCCCCCAGCATCATGAAAACATGAATGCTTTGTGGTTGTTGGACAGTCTGCTCTACATGAGGTGATTTCTTTCGCATAAAAAGCTGCAGCTTTTATTATAAACAGTAAAAGAGGCTGAAGCTGGTGGTGTTGCTGAGGTTAAGGTAAGGGTCGGGTTAAGTGGAGCGTCCTCTCTGTATGAAGGTAATCTGACTCTTTCATTAATCTTTTAGAGGATGAACACTGCAGTGACCTGCTGACCTACTGCGTGTAGGATGTATTTTGCATTGTGTAATGGGATGGTATTAAAATTCCATATTAGATGTTAGGGACCACAGTTATTGCAGCTTTCAGTATGTGGTATGTTCTGGAAAAGGCAATTAAAATTTTTATTTTATTTCTAAATGATGTATTGGAAATAATTACTTAATTTTTTCAGAATAATACAAAAAAAAACGTTACTAGCACAAAGTTATTATGCTTTCTGGAAGAGTAATAACTCATTATTTATGACATAATAAGTTATTCTTTTCACTTACAAAGTCAAAATATAAAGATTTTTCTTTGTTCTTTTCTACCTGGCAGTAACAAGCTTCCTCATAAATCATGAGTAAAATGGATCCATATCGCACCGGTCATATGTTTATTTGTTCATTTGCATGAAAGTTCTGAGTAGAGGTCTGCACTCCCACGGATTTCTACAGGACCCACCGCAGCATCTTGTGGTGCGGGACTAATTTCCAGTGTTGTGTGTAGGAGCGGGCAGGAAACCAGCCCACTGCAGGCGGGAGCGGGCCGAAGCATGCGTGAAGAGAAATATCACAAATTAACGAATAGCCTAAGTAAAGTAGAAGGAGCACTAAATCACATATATAAACAATATAAAATGATAACAGTAAAACAATTAAAATGACAAGTCATTCTAAAAACTTGCAAAGAAATAGATAATGTGGACAACACAAATTCTTGTAGCTCAGGCCTGATTCATACATACTGCTTCTGTGCGGCGTTAGCAATGTGGAAAGTCTTGTATTTCATTTCAGTGCCCATGTTAAGCGGTGCTTTCACACAGGCGGGAGCGGGACAAAACATTTTGGGTGCGGGCGGGAGCGGGACTGAAAAAACAGTCCCATGCAGATCTCTAGTTCTGAGTAGACGACCTGCTGAAATGCATATCGAAAACTCTCAAATATCGAGAAACTACAATATCTACTGTGTGCTCCAGGCCACAGTGATGGATCATTTCTTGCATGAAAGAATAAGCACACACACACACACACACACACACACACACACACACACACACACACGTTTATGCAAACACACCGAACCCTTATTTACTTTAGACATTTTTTGTTCCTGTTATTTGTTCTTATTTCAGGTTGTGTATTTAGGCTACGTGTCTCTACTGTATGTGGAGGTAAGAATATTAAACAGAGACCGAAACTGAGACGGAAATGAAAAACTGTGCTGTTGGCTTTGACACTTGAGTCTCTCTGACCTGTTTATACTGGCTCTGTTCCAGTAGTGGACTCTGACGTTTCCAGCTTTAACTCACCAGGCATCTAATGAATCTGTTTATGTCTATATTGTTATCTGTACAATTTCAAAAAATGAGCATAAAATATAAACCTTTTACAAACTGCTGCCATTTTTCACAGTTAAAAAAAAAAATCTACTTTTTAGAAACATTTTTAATTTGTTTCATTTGTGCTACAACGCTTGCAACTTTCATAGAACCAGTGCTTCATGCTCAAAACTTTTACATACGGTCCTGCAAGTAGGTGAAACAAACTGTCAGAGGTAAATACTTAACTGTTAATCTGCGACAGGCTGTTTGAAACCGTCTATGGTAGTTTGTGCAGTTTGACATACTGTCTTTGATTGCTGATCGACTACATTTGGGTTATGCAAATTCTAATTTTTGTCAAAGTATTCTTTTAAATCTTTTAAAGGAACATTAACATTTTGATCAGAGGTCAAATACTCAGCTTACATGGCTTCAAACTGTAAGATGATATCCAGGAAATGCTCATTTTTGTTTTGCTGTTCCGCTGCTGTAGCTGTGGTGGATTTTACTGCCGTCTCTGTTTGTCCACAGATGGTCAATGTATATAGCTCAGTTTAGACTTAGGAGTATATTTGCATGTGCAAATATAACACAGCCCTACACGCCCATGCAGACACATGCAGCTCACTGCTGAGATAAGGCTGACACTTTGTATAAATTCACATGACATGCTCAGGAAAGGGTGATGTAAGCCAATACAGTGTTCTGTCACTGTTGTGTGTGTGTGTATTTACAGGAGATGTTTGTGGAGATTGAGCAGAAAGTGTCCACTGTGTCTGCGCTGGGTAATAATGAAGAAGAGCGGCGCGCTCTCAGTGCCAAACTACAGCGACTGAAGAAAAACCTGCTGACGTTCCAGCTACTGCTGCAGGAGAGACACACTGAAGAGCAGGTATACATACTCAAACGCCCAGAACAGGCGTCATTCGGACATCCAATCCAAAACCCACAGTGGGTGACAGATCAAGCTTCTCATTTTACTACATGTGTATTTTGTCATCCTGCAGAGAGTAGAGCTTTACTCAGGCCTGTAGTCTTAGAACGAACCCAGAAACATTCCATCCAAAGTCCAAAGTGACCCACCACCCTAAGTGTAGAATACAGGCCTGACTGTTACAACAAAATTCTGTCTGATCCCAACTGTAGCCAGACAAAATTCTGTCTGATCCCAACTGTAGCCTGACAAAATACTGTCTGATCCCAACTGTAGCCTGACAAAATACTGTCTGATCCCAACTGTAGCCTGACAAAATACTATCTGATGCCTACTGTAGCCAGACAAAATTCTGTCTGATCCCAACTGTAGCCTGACAAAATACTATCTGATGCCTACTGTAGCCAGACAAAATTCTGTCTGATCCCAACTGTAGCCAGACAAAATACTATCTGATCCCAGCTGTAGCCGGAGAAAATTCTGTCTGATCCCAACTGTAGCCAGAGAAAATACTATCTGATCCCAGCTGTAGCCAGAGAAAATTCTGTCTGATCCCAACTGTAGCCAGACAAAATTCTGTCTGATCCCAACTGTAGCCTGACAAAATACTATCTGATCCCAACTGTAGCCTGACAAAATTCAGTCTGATCCCAACTGTAGCCTGACAAAATTCAGTCTGATGCCAACTGTAGCCTGACAAATTCTGTCTGATCCCAACTGTAGCCTGACAAAACTCAGTCTGATCCCAACTGTAGCCTGACAAAATTCAGTCTGATCCCAACTGTAGCCAGACAAAATTCTGTCTGATCCCAACTGTAGCCTGACAAAATACTATCTGATCCCAACTGTAGCCTGACAAAATTCAGTCTGATCCCAACTGTAGCCTGACAAAATTCAGTCTGATGCCAACTGTAGCCTGACAAAATTCTGTCTGATCCCAACTGTAGCCTGACAAAACTCAGTCTGATCCCAACTGTAGCCTGACAAAATTCTGTCTGATCCCAACTGTAGCCAGAGAAAATACTATCTGATCCCAGCTGTAGCCAGAGAAAATTCTGTCTGATCCCAACTGTAGCCAGACAAAATTCTGTCTGATCCCAACTGTAGCCTGACAAAATACTATCTGATCCCAACTGTAGCCTGACAAAATTCAGTCTGATCCCAACTGTAGCCTGACAAAATTCAGTCTGATGCCAACTGTAGCCTGACAAAATTCAGTCTGATCCCAACTGTAGCCTGACAAAACTCAGTCTGATCCCAACTGTAACCTGACAAAATTCAGTCTGATCCCAACTGTAGCCAGACAAAATTCTGTCTGATCCCAACTGTAGCCTGACAAAATTCTGTCTGATCCCAACTGTAGCCTGACAAAATTCAATCTGATCCCAACTGTAGCCTGACAAAATTCTGTCTGATCCCAACTGTAACCTGACAAAATTCAGTCTGATGCCAACTGTAGCCTGACAAAATACAGTCTGATCCCAACTGTAGCCAGACAAAATTCTGTCTGATCCCAACTGTAGCCTGACAAAATACTGTCTGATCCCAACTGTGACCTGACAAAATACTATCTGATCCCAACTGTAGCCAGACAAAATACTATCTGATCCCAACTGTAGCCTGACAAAAGTCTGTCTGATCCCGACTGTAGCCAGACAAAATACTATCTGATCCCAGCTGTAGCCAGACAGCCTAACAAAATTCAATCCAATCCCGACTGTAGTCCGACAAAGTTCAATCTGATCCCAACTGTAGTCCGGCAAAATTCAGTCTTATCTTGACTGTAGCCCAAAAGAAATTCTGTCCGAAATCCCACTGCTTCCCAAAAAATGCTGTCTGAATCTGACTGTAGTTGGAAAAATTGTCTAAACCTGACTGTAACCAGCTCAACTCTCTGTAAACTCTTGCTATGGTGTTCCAGTGGTTGCTCAACAGCAGCCCAGCTAAGTTCCGTCTGATCCTGACAGTAGTTGGCAAAAAAAAAGCTCAACTGTAGTCCAACAAAATTCTGTCTAAACTTAAATATAACCTGACAAAATTCTGCTTGAACCTGACTGTACTTCAAAATTTTTGTCTGATCCCAATTGAAGCCCTAGAGATAACTCTGTCTGATTCCAGATGTAACCCCTCGAAATTCCATCTGATCTCAACTGTAGCCTGATAAAGTGTTGTCCCAACTCGATTGTAGTCCAAAATCCCACTCCGACAAAATTCTAGCATGGTAGCAAATTTGTTGTCTTTTTAAATCTGTCTAGTTTTGCTTAACAACACAGTCCAGCTTGGTAGCATAATGCAGCATGTTCAAGTAGAATTTTCAGCGCTATAAAGCAACTCTAAAGCTAAATTCATTATGTTGAATGGGATTTTTGCCAACTTTCTGTTAAACCTGTCCAAACTTACATCAGTAGCTGCAGATGCTGGTGGATAGGTCCGTTCCAGCTAAACCAGACTGTAGCCTGACAAAGTTCTCTCACATATCAATCTGAATATGATCAACAACCAGAGACCCAATGAAACTTCACGTTCCTAATGACGGCACATCAGCTACCTTACTACGCTACCTTAACAGGTCTACACTCAAACCTCTGGCCTGTGTGTTGAAAAGAGTGTAAGATATTTTAACATTTTACCAACAGACCATAAACAGTATACCTGTGTTGTAGGTATGTGTCAGGAGAGAGCGCCCCCTGCAGGTCCGGCTACAGCGCAGCTGCAGCGTACAAGAGATTCTGACCTCAACCAAGGGCAAGCTGTTCAGACAGAGCAGCCTGCAGCAGCAGAGGGTAACATGGATTTTAAAACATACATTCACAGAATTCAACAACTGCCCAGTGGTTTCTATTTTAAGTGAGTTTCAAGTCGATAGGTTTTCTGTTCTTTTCTAAATACAAGAACATTAGTTAAGATTACTGTCCTTGGTTTTCAACTCTACAATACAGATGCAGCAAATAGAGATTAGGTTAAAAATGCTGCAATATTCTTATAATAAGATGTTGCTGTCATACATTTTGGTATGAGGCAATGATATACTAAAACTTTGAAGGGGAGGTATACCGGTTTTTTTTTAATTTTTTGCAAAATTCCATCATTGAGATGTAAACAAGTGTTCAGAGTGGTTTGATGTGAAATGGTTCACTGTAGAGAAACTTACAGAACCCATTACCGATTTCTTTACAGTGGTGGTGATAGGAACCAGGGGTCGCCATGACTACAACACAAATATAGACATTTTATTTACTATTCAAAACCACCAGTGAACCTACACGAGTCTTCTGAGTTTACATATGAAATGTTGATGATGGTAAAATAGTGGTAAATCTGAAAAAGGACCTACGTCATCCTCTCTGCCATGAGTGTTTTTTTAAAAAATATGCTTTAGTTGCAAAGCTGTTGTGAAACAATGTCTCCGGCATCAGGTGATGTATTTATAACCATTTAATGTTCTAACTTTCTGTACGAGTCGCGTGGGTCTAAACATGCGTGTCTGAGTAGAACCTGCTGTCGGGAGAACTTTAGGACCTAGACTAGGGGTCAGCAACATGTGGCTCTGGAGCTGCTTGTGGCTTTTTTACTGCTGTGTTGCAGAATTACATTTTTAGGAGAAATAAAATAATCCTCCTTTACAGTAAAATAAAGCTCTGCGGGTCGTTGTCTAACACAGTTTTAACAATAAATAATAAATAATAAATTGTCTTAACAATACATTGTCTTAAATGCTGGAATTTAAATGCTAATTCACTGACATTGAACCCTGAAGGTTGGTGCACGGCTGCTGGTCACTATAGCAATGCAGGCAACAGTCTTGCCTAACTGGTATCTAACGAAAAGGCAAAGAGAAAGATTTAAGATGAACATTGATAATTTGGAGACGAATGGATTTATTTGCATGTATAATCACTCCAGCTGGTTTCCTGATACGTTTAATCTGCAACGACAAACTGTCAAACACTAAAAAAGTCACTAAGCTGAAGTCAGTTTCTTTTTCACCAGCTTCTCGTTTAAATTTTCCTATTCAACCTTAAACAGTGCAGCTTTCGAACAAGAAGCTGGCGAATGAGACATTTCACAAGAAACTATTCTACTTTTGCAGATAAGTTTCCTGCCAGAGATGTGAGAAAAGCAGTCATAGCTGAGCTAAAGCTTAAAGCAGAGCAGAGTAATTCTGCATTTTTGTTTATATTTTTTGGTCTACACTGGTACATCAGCACATACTGAGACATCTTTACAGACAAAATGGTAAAACGTTACTTTAATAAGTGAACATAAAATGTTGTGGCTCCCAAGGTGGTTTGATTTTTGTTGAAAGAACAAAATATCTCTTTTTAACATTTGGGTTGTGACCCCTGACCTAGACTGTGGTGAGGTAATGTTTATGTTTACCTCATGTAATGTTCTTCACACACGTGACACATCTAATTGGAGTTTTCTGAAGGATATTTTAGCCATACTAATATCAGTAAATGACAAGCTTGTTGTTTATCGTACGATGTTGACGAGTGCACCATCACCTCGTACTTTGAGCTCCACTTTATTCAGCTGTTTTGATCCCACCCACATTTAGCGCAGAATGTTTCATGCTTGTCCCCAGACTTTCTTGCCACGAGATCATGTCTGGCACTACGAGACTTCTGAGGTAGCTTGTAGAGAAATCAACCTCTTCAGATATCTGGTTCCTATCAAAACCACTGAACTATTCTGACTTCTCTAGAGTTTCTCTAGAACTGAGCATTTCATACCAAACCACTCTGAATGAGTCTGTTTATCTCAACCATTTATTTATGCAGAAATTTTGAACAATCGGTGGAGTTCCCCTTTAACTTTGTCTCTCTGTGGTAGGAGCTGGAGCAGGGTTTGAGCGAGCAGAGAGAACTAACGAAAGCCATCGCAGCCAGAGGACGACTACACAGCCAAACTACAGAGGAGCATACAGGGTAACAGACACACACTCACACACACACACACACACACACACACACACACAATTGTAGAATTACACACATATACACACCTATATACACCGATCAGGCCTAACATTATGACCACCTCCTTGTTTCTGACGCTCATTGTCCATTTTATCAGCTCCACTTACTGTATAGGTGCACTTTGTAGTTCTACAGTTACAGACTGTAGTCCATCTGTTTCTCTGCATACTTTGTTAGCCCCCTTTTACCCTGTTCTTCAGTGGTCAGGACCCCCATGGACCCTCACAGAGCAAGTACTATTTGGGTGGTGGATCATTCTCAGCACTGCAGTAACACTGGTGGTGTTAGTGTGTGTTGTGCTGGTCTGAGTGGATCAGACAGAGCAGTGGAGTTTTTAAACACTGTGTCCACTCACTGTCCACTCTATTAGACACTCCTACCTTGTCAGTCCACCTTGTAGATGTAAAGTCAGAGACGATAGCTCATCTGCTGCTGCACAGTTTGTGTTGGTCATCCTCTAGTCCTTCATCAGTGGTCACAGGACGCTGCCCACAGGACGCTGCGTTGGACTGTGGTGGACTATTCTCAGTCCAGCAGTGACACTGAGGTGTTTAAAAACTCCAGCAGCACTGCTGTGTCTGATCCACTCAGACCAGCACCACACACACACTAACACACCACCACCACGTCAGTGTTACTACTGTTCTAGATTAAACACAGACATTTAATGCTTGTGAAAGACATTCCATGTCCAAGCTTGTAACCAACATTAACATATGAAGAGTTCATTTGCAAAAACATCTCCATTTTAATGAATTTTCATAAATCTTATTTTTTTTATGCATTCTGGGTAATCTAAATCAAACTGTAGTTGGGTTGTTTTGATTAAGTAGAAATAACTCAACAAATACGCGTATCTTACAAAATTAAACTTTATTGATTTTTTTTTTGTTTGCAAAAGCAGAATAACTCCAATGGTCATTTCAAGTTAAACAAAGCCATGGAAAGAATACAAGTTTCTTTTAAGTGCTGTATTTAACACTCTTTACCATAGAAAAGCAATTAATGGGCAATATTAAACATTTATAAGATCGTACCTCAGAAATTTTGGCTTTTACACCCGAATATTGTGCTTTATGTCCAGTATGAATTGTGCTCACGTGGCTGAATCCGGAGTGGTTCTCTGTTAGACTCACTGAGCTCTGTTTAGATGCAGTAGCCATTATTTTAAGACCTACATGCTGCACTTTGTAGGGAGAAGGGAGCCGTTTGAGATTCTGCCTAAAAAGGTTTGCGGCACCTGACCCGAATAATTCGCTGAAATGTGAACTTGAAGTGCCTTGAAAGTGGACAATAACGGCTTTTGTGACAAAACGTGACTTATCTAGAACTTTCAGAGTTTTTTCTTAACAATTGGTCCCAGCCATCATAAATCAGAACTTGATCGGTTGGTTCCTCTGTCACTTCCTAATTATGTTGGTAGTTAATCTAACATCTAAGGCCTTCAGTCCAGCTCCTGGAGTCCTAACCAATGAGAGAGCAGCTTGGCTGCATCTACGTAGATACCACAGGGGAAAAATCCTGATTGGACATTGCTCCTCTGTGGTCCTCCACAGGCTCTTTGCTCCAGCAGCAGTAGAGCAGGATGAGCTGCGACCGGATGAGGAGCAGTCAGTACAGAGGAAGTGGACTCATCTCCATCAGAGACTGACCCAAAGACTGACCCAGAGGGCAGAACAGCAGCAGGAGGAGGAGAACTCAGAGACAGGAGAATCAGTACAGGTCTAAACTCACTGTCCTCACTGTCCCCCCACCCCACCCCTCATCAGCCAAGACATGTTTGGTGACTGTAGTTTCTTTAGTTTTGCTCTGGAGCTACAAGGCTAATGTAGCTAAAGGTGAAGACGGTGTTTGTTTACAGATATCCGTCCCGTCTGTGTGTGTGTGGAGCAGTGCTGATGGAGCTGTGTGTCTACAGGAGCTACAGTCGCACGTCACACACCTTCGACAGCTCGGACACAGAGCGTCTACAGAACCAGTGAGTAACCTACACACGTGTGTGTGTGTGTGTGTGTCTGTATATACATCATCTAAACCGCTTATCCTTCTGGGTCGCGGTGGGGTGCTGGAGCCTATCCCAGCTGTCAATGGGCAGAAGGCAGGATACACCCTGGACAGGTCGCCAGTCCATCGCAGGGCAGACAGACAGACATACACACTCACACCTAGGGGCAATTTAGCATGTCCAATCAGCCTGACTGCATGTTTTTATATATATATATTTTTGTAGTTATGCAACATACATTTTCATAACTGTTTCAATATCAACACACTGTTACGTTATTAATATCCTCTCTCTCTCTCTCTCTCTCTCTCTCTCTCTCTCTCTAGGACGTGCGAGCAGTAGATGAAGGATTGTTTGAGGTTGTGAGTGGAGTCGGACTCTCTCTCTCCTCTCTCTCTCACACACTCCTCTCCCAGCCTCGACAATCACTTAATGATACAAACAGCCAGCTGCTGCAGCTACAGGTACTCATCCATCTATCCATCCCTCCCTCATCCATCCATCTATTTATTTATCTCTCCATCCCTTCATCATCCACCCCCATCCTCCATCCACCCTTTCCTCTCTCCACATCCTCCCTCTCTACATCATCCATCCACCCCTCCATCCTTGCCTCCCACTTTTCAGCTATCCATCACTTCATCATCCGTTTGTCCATCCATCCATTCCTCCCGCCATCCGTATGTCCATCCCTCCATCATCCGTTCGTCCATCCATCCATTCCTCCCGCCATCCGTATGTCCATCCCTCCATCATTCATCCATATTTTCACCCATCCTTCCATCTGTTTCACCATCCATCTATCCATCCCTTCATTGTCCATCCATCCCTCACACTATCCATCTGTCTATCCATCTATTCATCCATCCATCTATCCAGCCATCTATCCTTCTTTCCCACCATCCATATATTCATCCATCTATCATTTATCTATCCATCCATACATCCATCTATCCCTCCCACCGTCAATCTGTCCATGCCTCCATCATCCTTCCATCCCTTCATCATCCTTCCCACTTTCCATCAATTCATCCAGCCTCTCTCCATTAACCTTCTATCCATCCACCCATCCATCCATCCGTCATACATATTTTCACTTATTAATCTATTTATTCATCTGTGCTTTCATTTACACATTCTTCTAGCCATCTTTCTGTCTGTTCACCCATCCATCCATCATTCATCCATCTTTCTATCCATTCATACATCCTCTCTCCATTAACCTTCTATCCATCCACCCATCCATCCATCATACATATATTTACTTATTAATCTATTTATTCATCTGTGCTTTCATTTACACATTCTTCCAGCCATCTTTCTGTCTGTTCACCCATCCATCCATCAATCTTTCTATCCATTCATACATCCTCTCATCCATTAACTCTGAGTAGATTAACTCTTTATTCCAAACATACAACAACTCATTTGTTAAATTTAGTAGATTAACTTTGTCCTAATCTCCTCTCTGTGTGTGATTGGTAGAGTCTGTCTGCAGAGCTGACCTCTTTAGGTGCTGAATTGAGCTCTCAGGGGTCAAAGGTCCTGGGGTCTATAGGCTCAGCAGCGTCAGGAGCGAGTGTGTGTTTGGATCTGCTGCAGGAGCGTGTGTGTGAGCTCCAGAATGTTCTCTCAGAGAAACAGAAGCAGCTTCAGAAGCAGCTGGAACACACAGTCCACACACAGGTGAGACACACTGAACACACGACGCGGTCACTCACAAACACAAACATGACCGTCCAGCTGTTTAGACATTAGAATACATAGAAACATGAGAGACATGATCGGCATCATCACTGTCAAAGTGAAACCTCACATCTCTGAAATAGTAACATTGTACGAGATGCTAACACATTCGTATTCACTGATGCTGCAACACGTTCCAACAATGTTTACGACTAGGAAACTTTAAGACTAGAAACATTGTGAAATGTTCAAAAACTTCTCTTAAACAGGTGATGCAGTCATGTTTGGGTATAAAAGGAGCATCCTGGAAAGGCTTCCTTTATGATGAATTGGATGAATTGACTCTTGCCACTTTGTTAAAATCAAAAAATGCATCAACAAAAAAAATCCAACAGGTTAAAAAGTTTTTCAGCAAATGATTGCAATCATACGCTACATTGTATAATGTAATCAAAAGATTCAGGAAATCCAGAGACATCTCTGTGCATAAAGGCAAAGGCCGGAAACCACGACTGAATATCCACGACCTTTGATTCCCCAGACAGCACTGTGTAAAAAACAGCATGCCTCTGTGATAGAGACCACTGCATGGGTATGGGAATTCTTTTAAAAACCCTCGTCTGTAATCTCGGTCTCTTGCTGCATCCACAAATGCAAGTTAAGACTGTGCTATGCACAGTGAAACACCGCCGACTTCTCTGGGCTAAACCTAATCTGAAATGGACTGATGCACAGAGGAATGTGTACTGTGGTCATTTAGGGAAATAATGGACGTCATGTTCTCTGAGTTCTCAAAGCAGAAAAGGTTCCAGATTGTTACCAGCATAAAGTTTAAAAGCCAGGGTGTCATGGTACAGAGCAGTAGCAGGTAACAGCGCCAATAACACCCAAAGATATAAACGCATTTTGGAGCAGCATATGCTTCCTTTTAGATGCCATCTTTTTCGAGGATGTCCATGCTGATTTCAGCAGGAAAAGGCAAGAAACATTCTGGATGCATAATCAGAGAGTGCGGGTGGTGGGTGCGGGTCCAGACCTGTCTCCCATTAAACACATGTAGTGCACTATGAAGCGCAAAATCCGAGAACGAAGTCTCTGTATGGTTGCACAGCTTGTGTAAGAAAAGAATGGCAAATATTTCACTTTCAAAACTGGATCAGTTTGTGTCTTCAGTCCAAAAGTTTACTAAGTGTTATAAACTTGCTTCTGTCCCAACTTTTTTGGAACATGTTGCAGGCATCATATTTCAAATGAGCGTTTACTTACCAAAAATGTGGTTTTGCCCTTTTTAATTAATTAAATACTGAATTTACAGAATTAAAACAGAATTTACTAATCACTGCTTGTTTATATTATTTACCGTCCCAACCTTTTTGAGGCTGTACAGTAATAAAAATGAGATTTGGTTATATAATCACATAATGATAGTTTTGGATCACTTCTATTTGCCCGTTTGTCATGAAATGTGTACACAAACGAATTTATTAAACAAATAGACTGTGATAATAAAAATATATTCTCATAGTTCGTACAAACATCTGGTCCAAAATTGTAGCCCATCTTTGTCTTTTGGCACTAATACAGTGACATTAGAAGCATGTTTAACAAACTGGTACACACAAACACTGTCCCTCCAAAAAGGAGATCCTTTAACTCACACTAAATGAAGAAAGTGTGATTTTGTCAGCATTTCTGCACCTCAAAAAACCTGCCAATATCTCACCCTCCATCACTGTTCTTACACAAGACAAGACAAAAAACGACTCATTCTTCTACCATCTTAAATCCCACACGTCCATTTACTGGCCAGTTTATCAGAAACCCCCACCTTTTACTTTCTTTTACTGACCACTGAGCTCCACCCACCTCCTAGATCCACTACATAAGTGTACAGTAAGTTACAATTACAGACTGTAGCTCGTCTGATACTGCAGAGTTGATCAGCCCCCTCTACCCCATTCATCAGTGGTCAGTTTCTGATCACAGGACCACTGCTGACCAAATATTACGTGGGTGGTGGTCTATTCTCAGCACAGCAGTGACACTGAAATGGTAGTGTGTGTAGTGCTGGTGCAAGTGTATCAGACACATACATACATCATCTAAACCGCTTATCCTTCTGGGTCGCGGTGGGGTGCTGGAGCCTATCCCAGCTGTCACTGGGCGGAAGGCAGGATACACCCTGGACAGGTGCCAGTCCATCGCAGAGCAGACAGACAGACATACATATACAATCACACACACATTCACACCTAGGGGCAATTCAGCATGTCCAATCAGCCTGACAGGCATGTCTTTGGACCATGGGAGGAAACTGGAGTACCCGGAGGAAACCCACGCAGACAACAGGCAAACTCCACACAGAAAGGACCCCCGGTCGCCCGGCCAGGAATCAAACCCAGGCCCTTCTTGCTGTGAGGCGACAGTGCTACCCACTGCGCCACCATGCTGCCCGTATCAGACACAGTGCTCTTTTCCCACACATCGGTGTCACGGCTAGGTTGGGAGTGGACCACCACCTAAAAATATCCAGACAAAAGGGGCTCCGAGATCAGAAACTGTCGACTGATGAAGGTCTAGAGGATGACTAACACAAACTGTGCATCAACAGATGAGCTACAGCCTCTATTTGTACACCATCAAGATGGAGCTACAGGAGAGGGGTTTCTGATAAAGTGGCCCGTTCTATTTCTCTAATAAACCTCCTATTAATGTTTTCCTAATATATGTGTGATAACTTTTATTACAGCCCTGTGTTTTTCCAAACCCCACAGAGCAAGATTAAAAACATGCATGATTCTTTACTCGCTAACATCTCAGCCCTCCACTCAGCAACTCAGCAAGAACCAGGATGTGACCTTCATGCTCAGCTACAGGTAAACGCTCACCTGTCTCACACACAGGAAGAGGAAATATATTCATAACACCAAACCTGGAATACGTTTCTGCGCTCATGCTAACTCCACAGCTGTTCGGAGGCTTTGCCTTCAGCAGCTTCTGTGAGAAATGCTGAGGTCAGTTTAGCTGATGGTGAATGTGTCACTGTGGTGTAGCCCAGCCTGAGTTTTAGGAAGTGAAAGACAGTTTTGCATGTCTTTGAGTGGTAGTACAGTCTGAAAGTGCCACAGTATTGCAGGAATGCTTGTTTTGCCCGTAAAGACTAAAGTACAGTTTGTTCTTTGGCATTTTCTGCTTAATTTAGAGCTACAGTAGGGTTTAAAAGTTTGTATCCCCTACCAAGAGCAGTTTAAAAATAAAATCACCCAGCTGATATTTATTATTTAAGGATTAAGGGATGTAAACATGCATCAATGCGCAGAAATATAAAATAAATGTCAAAATCAATTTATTATAAGAAAAAACTCCTTTTTGAAAATTCTTTCATAAAAGACTGTCATATATAAACCTCCTAATTTTCTAGTTTGAACGACCATTGTGTGAAGAGTGGATTAACAGAAACATTCTGGAATTAACTGGATTAAAATCTTGTTCCATTAATATTAAAGTAAAGCATGTTTTACCTTTTCCTATAAAGTTAACCCCTTAAAATCTCAGGCTTATTACATTCTAAGGCTTATTATTCAGTAACTACAGGGACCTCATTGCAAACTGGCTGAGCCCTTATTAGGTTGCAGAAGTGTGTAATAAAACTTTGACATTTGCCATTTCAGGGATTAACATTTTGGAGATGCAGAGGTTTCTTACCAGAGCAATGATATACGTGTAGTTTAAGGCATTGTTAATTTCCATGTGTAGCATATATGAAAAACAGTATAATTGACAATGGTGCACCGTGACTGTTAGAGCCATAAAAGGTCAAAACTTGGTCAAAAAGTAAAGTAAAAAATGTCTAAAAATAAGTTTAAAGGATCATATAATATTCATACAACCATCTCAAAATGAGAAATATTAGATAAGTAGACCAGATTTAGGCTGATTTCTCATGTTAAGATATCATTTTTTTTCACTGTAACATCTATTTTACCTTGTAGCAGTTTTTAGTGACTCAGTAAAGAGTCCTGCTGCTACTGTTCTCCAGTTCTAACAGCTGACTGAAACCTGGATAGACTATGACTTGTATTCACAGTCAGTGACGCAACTGCCGCAAGGCCTAGAGTGAAGCTTTTTGTCTTAAAATTGGTCCCACCCATTGTTAATCAAAATGTGTTTGGTTGATTCTGCTGTAGTTTCCTAATGTTGCTGGTAGTTAATCTAAAGTGTCAGACCTTAAGATCAGCTCCTGAAGTCCTAACCAATAGGAGAGCTCGCTTGACTCTATGTACCTAGATACTACAGTTCTAAATTCAAACCAAATCTTAACAATTAAGTAAGTATTACTACAATATGTGCAGTTTAATTATAACAAACATGATGAGTATATTAAATAAAAAAGAACTAAAATTGCAGACACATATTTTTGGTTCCCATGAATCATTAGGCCTTCTGTGAAGACTTTCAGGGTTTTATATAGGAAGTATGGAAGAGAACTCTTCAATTCTCAGTTTTGGAGTGGGTCAGAAGGGACTTTTCAAGCATTTATTCATGCATGCTGTGAGTTTCAGACTGTTTTGATTCAGCCAATCAGCTGCAGCTGGTTGTTATCAGTGCAGTCAAGCATCAGCCTCCATATCATCATCTGACTTCTCTAAAATAATTACACACTTTCTCTGTATATCAGACTGTTAGAATGTCTTCAGGCAGGAGCTTCATGTGTCTGTAGCCTTAAACTGTACAATGATGGCCTGAAATGGACCCAAGACTGACCTCTGATCTTCTGTGTCCGTTTCTATGTGGGCAGGCTTTTGCCGGGTTGCAGCAGGAGCTCCAGCAGAAGGAGAAAGAGCTGGAGGAGCTGAGAGAGGAAACAAAGAGCACGGAGCGAACATCAGCCCTCACACTGGAGGTCAACACACTGGAGGTTTGCGACTTTTTAAAGTGATCTTTTGTTTTTTTTATTCTTTAAAACTGAAATGCTGTCTGATTATTTAAGTGAAGAGGCTTTGAAAATTCTGACTATGTATAGATACTAATGTGTATGTAATCTGTAAATATATACAAATATATACACCGATCAGGCATAACATTATGACCACCTCCTTGTTTCTACACTCATTGTCCATTTTATCAGCTCCACTTACTGTAGTTCTACAGTTACAGACTGTAGTCCATCTGTTTCTCTGCATACTTTGTTAGCCCCCTTTTACAAGTGGATCAGACGCAGCAGTGCTGCTGCAGTTTTTAAACACCTCAGTGTCACTGCTGGACTGAGAATAGTCCACCAACCAGAAATATCCAGCCAATAGTGTCCCGTGGGCAGCGTCCTGTGACCACTGATGAAGGACTAGAGGATGACCAACACAAACTGTGCAGCAGCAGATGAGCTATCGTCTCTGACTTTACATCTACAAGGTGGATGGACAATGTAGGAGTGTCACAGTGAGTGGACACAGTGTTTAAAAACTCCAGCAGCACTGCTGTGTCTGATCCACTCGTGTATATATATATTAGATGTATATATATATACACACACACAGAACAAAATCTCTTAAATCCATTTCGTTTTTTAGTTTTTGAGATAATTTGAAAATGTCTGCTGCCCTTAATATTGTATGTGAATTTCATGATGAATGGACCAAAAGAAACGGCCCAAAAAGACTTGGAAAAAAGTCTGGTTCCATTGACTTACATACATGACTTACTTAATATATGTATGACCCCATGTCCTGTATATGTTGTATATGTAACGCCCCTCTCTCTCTCTGTCTGTAGAACCTGTTGGAGAGTGTGTGGTGTGGTGTGAAGGAGCGCAGCGGTGATGTCCAGTGCAGGCTGGAGCAGCAGCAACAGTATGAGAGGCTGATGAAAAGCCTACAGGACCTGTTGGAGCTGGCCAGAGAAAGACTGACCCGCACTACACACCTACAGCTGGACAACACACAACAGCTGCGCTCACACATCAGCACACACACGGTAATGCAGCACACAGACTTCATAAAGGCCCCCTAGTTCAAATCCTGCATTGGTGGTACTGGTTCTTCCCTTGACTCGCTGGCATCTATCGCACAGATAGACGCGTACACGTTTAATAAGCACAGTTACTTTTATTCACCCTGTAAATGACCAGCCAAGGCTGAAGTTTGCTTCTTTAGTTTTGTGCTGGAGCTACGAGGCTAATATAGCTAACAAGTTATAGAAGCTAAGGCCCAGTCAATTAGCGCAGCGCTAACAGCATGCCTAAATCATCACATGTGGTTTCAGTCACTGTATGACACAGTTACAGTGTGTAAAAATGGACAAACATACATCACATGTCTAAACACAGTAGTAGCAGCCGTGAAGCAGATCAGCTCATCTTTGCATTCATATGTTGTCCTGTAAGGTAACCTTCCCTTCAAACTGAGCTCATGAGGATCATTTAAATTTCCATTGAGATCGGTTGCCTGATATGAGCCAAACACAGTGGTTTGCAAAAGTTTTGGGGCCCCTGGCCAAATTACATGTTGATTTAATTGTGTAGAAGGCAGGATGCACCCTGGACAGGTCACCAGTCTATCGCAGGGCAGACAGACAGACATATACATTCACACACACACACTCACACCTAGGGGCAATTTAGCATGGCCAAATAGCCTGACTGCATGTCTTTGGACTGTGGGAGGAAACGAAACATACATAAAAAATATATAATATTTATTCATGATAATAATACATAGTAACATATAATAATAATAATAATAATAATAATAATAAAATTAGCTAAAATTTTGGGTCCATCAGTTAAAAGTTAGCATTGTGAGATTGAACAGCTCAATAATCTGAGATTTCCTTACAGACCAGCAGAACTTACTTTTTCATTGGTCTTTTTTTGTGTGTACAGATGTTTTTTCTGTCTCTGGACGCTCGTCTGCGGGCTCTGCAGCAGCTGAGTGCCTGGATGCCAAACAGCACCCCCTGTGGGCAGAAGGCTGCAGTGGCAGAGCTGGAAAAGCAGGTGGACGGCCTACAGCAACAGGCTATGGACACTGTGACTGCACTGCAGGCTGCTCTGCAGGTAGGAGGAACTCCAGGGGGTAATAAACACTCACTGTGATTTAATGGAGTAGAAAAATATCTAATTTACACAGTTTTCTGCGTTATCACATATAGAATTGCTTATGTGGTTTCTGAAACTGAATGACACTGTTATCTATAAACATGAGCTAAAATATGGACATAATTCAGTTGCACTCTTGTATTTAGCTTTGCTGTGCTAATTAATGTTAATTCCTGCTCAGCATATTATCCTTATATGCTTATATGACCAACATCTGTTGTATCAACATTTCATTATGCTGTCCTCTTACATTTGAATGCATATCTAAAATAAAATTAATTACTTTTTTAATTACTTAAAATTAATTTCTTAGTCTTTAGTCTGGTCTTGAGCTTGGTTGTAGTCTGTATTTATTGCTGTTTTCGTGATTGAACTGGTCTGTTGAAGTCCTGGACGCAGTGGGAGGAGAGCCAGGCCTGGTTGGAGAGCCTGCTACAGGACCTGGAAACTGAACTTCCCAAGATGCACCTGGGAGAGCAAACAGAGGAGGAGCTACAGAAGCACCTGTCAGCTTATGAGGTATTACTGTTGGAAACAGCTCTCAGGTGAACATCTGCGGGTGCTGTTTTCCAACTGCCAAAGTGTAATAATGGCGTTCTTCGTTTTCATTCATGCTGTTTTAAAGCTTTTCTATGTACAGTCATGAGTAAAAGTTAGGGCACCCTTGGGCAAATGGCATGTTTTGTTAACTCGTCCTCTACAGAGAGCAACTTCTGCACATTTTAATACACAGTTACTGTTTATTTACTGGATTTAACATATTAGGAAAAGTCTGTAGAGGATGCGTAAACTTATTTTACACTTAAAAAATAAAAATGTGTAATTTAAATAATGTAATTTCATTATTGGTCATTTAGTTTGAATACTCAGATTAACATGAAGGAATTTGAGTACGACTGTATTTACACCCACCAGCCACTTCATTAAAATCATTTCCATTTTCCTTCATTAAAATTCGTACCAGAGACACACCCCAACACGCCACCAGTGTCAGTGTCACTGCAGTGTTGAGAATGACCCACCACCCAAATAATACCTGCTCTGTGGAGGCCCTGTGGGGGTTCTGACCACTGAAGAACAGGGTAATAAAGTATGCAGAGAAACAGATGGACCACAGTCTGTGACTGTAGAACTACAAAGTGCTCCTATGTGGTCTGTGGAGCTGATAAAATGGACAGTGACTGTAGACTTATTAAGTGGCTGGTCAGTGTAAAACAAAGTGTGTAATGGTGTTCAGGTATCTTTGGAAAGGTTGTTAGGATTAACCCCAGTTTATCTCATAATCATATTTCTTTTCTGTCTGTGTTTAATGTTCTTGTTCACTCTTTTCTCTCCGTCAGGCCGTGCAGGCAGTTCTGGAGGAGAACAGAGTGCGGATCTCTCTGGTTTTTGACCAGGCCTGCAGGATACAGAAAGAGGGCGTGGCTTTACCACAGGCAGGCGTGTCTTGTCACGTGTCAGACCTTCCCCTGCGCAGAGTAGGCGTGTCCGTCCTGAGGTTGAAGCAGCGATTGGCTGCTCTACAGAGGAAGCTAGAGCAAGGACGAGACTCCGCCCACCAGATAAAAAAACTATGGAACAGGTAAAACCCTTACACTGGCTGCCAGTCTGTTCCAGAATAGCCTTTAAGGTGCAGTGACTGCTCTATAAATGTCTTAATGGTCAGGAGCAGCGTATTTATCTGACCTGCTGCAGCGATATGAGCCGAGCAGAACTCTCAGATCATTAGAAGCTGGTCAGTTAGTCTGAAGGTAAAGACTAAACGTGGAGAAGCAGCGTTTAGATACTGTGCTGCTCTTAAATGGAGCCAGTTGACAGAGAGCATTAGAAGATCCCTGACACTGGACACTTTCCTATTTGAGCAGCTTTCAGCTCAGTCTTAACACTGTTAGCATTTCAAGCCCTTCTTCTCTATAACAGCACTTTATTATCCTAACTTAATTTTGAATTCTTAATTTGATTATTATCCTAATTTATTTTCTAATTTGATTTTTATTTTAATGATTTTTTCTCCTTCAAATCTGTTGTTTTAGTCATGTTTTAATCTCTATACTCCTTTACTTTTTAAGTGACTCTGTATTTTCACATTTGTGAAGCACTTTGAATGACAGCAGTGTATGAAGGGTGCTAGATAAATGAACTTGCCATGCCTAACGTACCCAACTGAGAAGACTGATCTGCCCTGAAGAAAACAGCGCCGCTCAAAAGTTTAGAATCACTGTTTTTCAGTATTGCAATAAACCAGTTTGGTTGCAGATGCTGTTATACAATGATTCTAATATGATGCTAGTAAATTACAACATAATAGCAAGAAATCATTTACTGTTAATTCAATTGAGAAGTTAGAATAAACATGAGTGTCAGTAATGAAGTTATAATCAAATTGATACACAGCATGCCTCATAATTTAAAAGTGGTCAGACAGACAACATAAACAGGTCATTTCAGTATATTACTTATCTTTTAATAGTGCATTCTTGTGGATCCCCTAAAAAAACTTAGTTTGTGTTAATATTCTAGTGTACATTATGTCAGTTATTACTGAACAAAATAATAAAAATTAATGACAAGTGATTACTAAGTATTCAACAGAAGTGTACAGTGTATGAATTTGATTTTCAAATTATTTGACTAGCAAATCACTGCAGTGAGTTGGAGCAGCAACAACAGACAGAGTGACAGACAGAAAATGAAGAATGGAGGGGGAAAGAAATTAATAACGTTGAGTCTGATTGTTTTTTGTGCAGGTATCACCGTGACTCAGCAGCGCTGAACGAGTGGATGGACAAAACCAAAGAATGCCTGCACGACTGGACAGGTCACCTGACCTCACCTAATCAGGAAGGAGATAAAGCTCTAACGCACTACAAGGAGTTTATAGTGAGTTCCTCACGGGTCTGTTTTAGTGTCCTCCATTTAACAGTCTACTTTTACTGTTTTTATTCATCACTTATTCTGTCTGTTTTCTGCTTCTTCTAGATCAGTTTTTATTTCAATTTGTTTCATCATTACCAAAATTGTACTACATTTTTATTACAATCTTTTTTCCTTCGTATTTTGTCTGTGCCTCAACCAAGCTGTTCGAATCGTCCAATAACTTTATAAATAAATGCTGATAGTGAAAAAAGCAGGAAGTGCAACCAACTTCTAAGACTGAACTTTGGAAGTGTGGAAAAATGTCCCTGCAGAGTCCTTTAAAAACTGAAAACAGGTCTGCTGAAAAGAATGGAATCTGTAATAAAGACAAAGAGTGGACACGCTAATTACTAAATAACTTGATATTATATTTACACTATAAAAAAAAAAATAAATTTAACTTAACCCTTGTGTGGTGTTGGGGTCTGTGGGACCCATTTTCAAAGTTTACCAAAAGAAAAAATGATGAAATGATTGGCCTTTTCTCATTTTCTGTGAAGAACATATAAAATAACCCATTTTCAGTGTCTTCACTCTGTTCACCCCCCACACATTTATATTACACATGTGGTGTTGGGTGAACCCGCGGGGAGTAAAAGTGTGGAGGTGCTGTGTCCTTCACTCTGTTCTCCTCCTACATGGCCTACTGTTAGTGTGTGTGTGTGTGTGTGTGTGTGTGTTTGTTGTGTGTTTGTTTGTTTGTATGTGTTTGTGTGAGGGTGGACAACATGTACAGGCTGCTGACTGGCTACAGCTGCTAAAAGAGAACCCTACGCTGATATTTTACATCTGGTACTTTTACATAAATTGTTGTGGCTGTATTGATTTAAAAAACAATGTGGTGGGTCCACCAGACCACTGAGTAATAAAAACATCAACACTACACAAGGGCTACATTAAAATTTTGAGTTTATTGAACTTCAAATAGTAAGTTAATAAGATGTAAAACACAAATTATTGTTCTAGTAACATAATATTAGTTCAGATCAAAATTTGAAGGTAACCATTGTCCACACTCTTCCCAGGAGCTGAGTAAGGAGCTGGAAGTGAAATCAGCACTGAAGGCTTCAGTGATCAGCGCTGGCACTGAGCTCCTACAGCTAAGTGAGAGAGAACATCAGGACATTCACTCTGAACCTGCCAACATGGCGGAGTATGTTCATGAGATCTCCAGTGATGACTGTGAGTCAGAAGAGAACCTCACTGACGCTGGTGATAAAGATCTTTCCTCAATTAGGATTAAGACCGCCTCAGATATTATTGCTGTGATGGACACTGTCCCAGTAGAAGATGCATCCATTGATGAGGACCAAGATTCTTTACATGTTCACTCCTCCCTGCTTGATGATCCACCTGAAAAAGCCCTCAGTCCTCAAGAAGTGGAGTTTTCTAATGAATCTAAAGCTACAGTCCACGATCAAACTCCAGTGAACACATTAGCATGTGAAGACATTGGTTCCTCCAGCGTTCCTCAGGGCAGTAGGACCGGCTCAGGTTCCTCCAGGCCCAAAGGGTCAGTGTGTGAACATGTCTCCTCCACGTCCATGTGCAGTCCAATGGCTCTGTCTCCTGCCCTGCTGTCGGTAAAGGCTCAGCTCACTCAGGTAGAACATGGCTGGACGGAGATCTTCACAGACATCTCTTCTGTACAGCAAAGACTGCACCAGGTAAGATTATGTTGGTCAGTAAAATGGATCAATATGTGGAACTGGAGCCTTTTGTGTAATCACTGTGTAAAAGGAGGTCCATGCTGTCTTTGTTGTTGGATGCAATAGTATGTAAAAGCCCCTCCCCACTTATTCTACTTCATTTTTCCAGTGCTCTGTTCTAGAGAAACGTAGAGTCAGAGTTGTTCACAGTGGTGGTGATAGGTGTTACGGGACGGCAGGGAGGTGGTGGAGTGTGAATTTGGTGATTGTGCACGTTGGAGTTGAGGTGGCGTAGAGGCTCGAACCACCAATGTACTGATTGGTGGTCCGAGGAGTTACCACTGCGCCTCTGGGAAGCACAGGCGGAAACGGGAAAAACACCTCAATGAATGGAAAATGAAAAAATGGCGGGAAAAGGGAAAACAAAGGGGACGCTGAAAGCAGCGTACTCAAGCTGAAATAGAAAAGTGAAATAAAATCAGATAACAAAAAAACACTTCCTCTGTGATTATGAGAGGAAGGTCAACTTTATGTTTCACCTGTTTGCTCTTAGTGGAGCAAACACTTTTTGTATGGCTTAGAGCCGTTTCTTGTTCAAGCCTTCTTTTTGGGTTTTAAGTACTTTTGGGGGAATTTCTCTCTTTTGTTTTTCCAGCCCTCTTTTCTTTTCTTTTCTTTTCTTTTCTTTTCGTCTCATCTCTTCTAAATAACCACCTGGTCTAAGTACCATACATGTCACCCCTCTACAAAGGTGTGACAAAGGGCTGCTGTTTGCCATGGCCTTAAGTAGAGGAGTCCACAGGTGTGCCAGGTTGGGCCTAATCAGCCTGAGGGCTTCTGGGAATTGGAGTTCCCTGAACTTATGGCACCTCGCTGCTGTCGCCCTCTGCTGGGGGCCGGCGGCGCAGGCTGGGCCCTTACAATAGGAACCCGACGTCCACCTCTAAAAGCTCCCTCACAGAAAGTTATTGCATGAAATGGTTATAAATACATTGCCTGATGTCAGAGACACTATTTTATGATAGTTAAAAGGTGAGATTTTGGCCTAAAGCATAATTTTTTCAGGGTGGAGGGATACGTGCAGGTTGTTGTAAGGCAAAATAGTCCCCAAAGAAAACTTATTTACCATTTTCACCATTATTAATGCTGCATAGAAAATCAGAAGGCAGCTGTAGGCTCACTGGTGGTTTTGTAAATAAAATGTTTATATTTATGTTGTAGTCATGGCGACCCCTGGTTCCTATCACCACCACTGTAAAGAAATCTGAGTCTCTACAATTTCACACGAAACCCACTCTGAATGGCTTCACATCTCAATGATGGATGTTGAAAAATTGGTGGAGTTCTCCTTTAAGTGTGCAGTATATTCATATTCAACTGGTCTCTTGCTCAAAATGGTAGGGATACAAAATAAAACATTAATTCTAAGCTTCATTTGATCTCTAAATATCAAAATAAATGCACTGAGACAGTGTCAGTAAAGGAGCCGTGTAGATTAAAGGGCAGAAACACACACTTTTTGTCTCAGCGTTAAAAGGTCAGTGCTGTTTTTTGTCCCAGTGAGTTTTTCTCTCACACGTATTGATTGGAGACTCACACGGTCAGCACACGTATGCCATTGTGCACTTTCCACTGTCCGCTGGTACTTAAACACACCCAGTCCACTGTTCCTGTATGGAAGAAAAACATCTGCAGCTCGTAATCAGTGCATTTTAAGGCCGCTGTCACATGGGAGTCCCTCATGTAGCCGTGTGAGAGTGTGTATGAGTGTGTATAAGTGTGTAACTGAGTGTGTGAGAGTGTGTGAGCTTCTTCTCTCACCGTCCCATCAGCTGTAATGAGTCCCACACACTCATCACCTCCTTCACTTCACAATCACTCCTGCTGGGAGGAACTCATTTCGCTCCTTTTTGCTGTCTCTTTCTCTCTTTACTGTCACTCTCTCACACCCTTCCTCTTTTGTTACGGTGCCTTTTCTTCCTTTTTTCCTCCTTTTTTCTTTGTGTTCCTGTGATGCTGCCTCTGTCCCTCTTTTTCCTGCTTATTTCTTTATTTATTTTTTTCTCCCATTCCATTTTTTGGGGAAAAGTTTCTCTTTCTCTGTTGCTGTCTCTGTCTATATATATATATATATATATATATATAGACTTTACAGGAAAAGGAAAAAACCTACTTTACTTTTAATGTAAGTCAATGGAACCAGACTTTTTTCCAAGTCATTTTGGGTCGTTTCTTTTGCTCCATTCATCATGAAATTTACACACCATATAAAGGACAAGAGGCATTTTCACATTTTGTCAAAAACTGAAAAACGACAAAAATGGAGATACAAGGTTTTCTTCCGACAACAGTGATATATACAGTTCAATGCAAAGTTCACCTTCAGTCAAATGACATTTTATAGATTCAGTTTCTGTTTTTTTTACTGAATTCATCTCAGTAGATTAAATTTAGCAAATAGACAGTAATTACACATTAAAATGTGCAGAAGTGTGTTCTCTGAAGTCAAACTCTAAGCGTTTATTTTGAATGATAAGTAGCTTATTTACATTTTACCTTTCACTGTATTTATATTCCTCTATTCTAATAATAAAGGATTGCTAAGATGAGAGGCTTTAAACAATGTGGCTGGATGCCCAAGATTTTATGAGAACCCTGTTACATAACATAAGAGTTTTCAGATTTACGAATATTTTACAGCATATTGTAAAGTTTTTCAGAGGTATCCCAAGCATAGTTGCAGCTGCTTGGCCAGGGGTCACAACCCAAATGTTAAGAAGAGCCATTTTGTCCTTTAAGCAAAAATCAAACCACTTTGGGATCCACAAGATTTTTTTTGTCCATTATAACATCTTGGCTGTAAATATGCCTCAGTATGTGCTGATGCACTAGTATAGACTAAAAAATATGATATAAACAAAAACACAGACTTACTTTGCTCTGCTTTAAGCTTCAGCTCAGCTATAGACGCTTTTCTCGCATCTCTGGCAGGAAACTTTTCCACAAAAGTAAAATAGTTTCTTGTAAAACGTCTCTCAACGTTTAATTTTTTCTTCTCATTCACCAGCTTCTTGTTCAGATTTTCCCGTTCCACCTTAAATGGTGCAGCGGACACTATTTAAGATGTAACAGGAATATTCGAATGAGAAGTGGGTGAGAAGCTGACTTGACTTTTTAGTGTTTGTCAGCAGATTAAACGTATCAAGAAACCAGCTGATGTGATTATAAACGCAAATAAGTCCATTCGTCTCCAAATCATCTATGGTCATCTTAAATCTCGATCTTTGCCGTTTCATTAGCTACTAGCTAGGTGAGATTGTTGTCTGTGTTGCTATGGTAATGAGCAGTCTGTGCGCTGATCTTCAGGGTTAAAGGGTGAATTAGCAGTTCTACATTAACTCCAGAGTTTAAGACCATTTATTGTTAAACTGTGTTGATTATTTTATTTTTATATAAATCTAATTCTGCTGTGGAGCCACAACAGGGCAGTAAAAGAGCCCCATGTTGCACGGCTGTGCTGGGCTATGAAGGAACTGGGTGAACTGCTTTGCTACAGCACCACTCTGAGGCAGACCAGTGCTGCAGTTCTAGTTAGTCAAGGAAACTAAAGACAGAAGCTAATTGTGGGTGAAGCTGCTAAACAATGACAGCATAACGTCATAATGTTAATTCTCAGGGACCCCCCAGAATTTTGATTTTGAGATATTCAAGGGGTCCAAGAGGTTATTTGGGAGTCCCGGACCCCCCAGGACTCCTGTATTTCACACTTTGACTTGAACACACTTTAACAAGTTTTTGGTGTGTTTATGGCATCACAACAGACCCAGACAGACATCCAGGACACACCGATCAGGCATAACATTATGACCTTGTTTCTAGGCTCATTGTCCATTTTATCAGCTCCACTTACTATATAGGTGCACTTTGTAGTTCTACAGTTACAGACTGTAGTCCATCTGTTTCTCTGCATACTTTGTTAGCCCCCTTTTACCCTGTTCTTCAGTGGTCAGGACCCCTGTGGACCCCCACAGAGCAAGTACTATTTGGGTGGTGGATCATTCTCAGCACTGCAGTAACACTGACGTGGTGGTGGTGTGTTAGTGTGTGTTGCGCTGGTCTGAGTGGATGAGACACAGCAGTGCTGCTGGAGTTTTTAAACACCTCAGTGTCACTGCTGGACTGAGAATAGTCCACCAACCAAAAACATCCAGCCAACAGCGTCCTGTGGGCAGCGTCCTGTGACCACCGATGAAGGACTAGAGGATGACCAACACAAACTGTGCAGCAGCAGATGAGCTATCGTCTCTGACTTTACATCTACAAGGTGGACTGACAAGGTAGGAGTGTCTAATAGAGTGGACAGTGAGTGGACACAGTGTTTAAAAACTCCAGCAGCACTGCTGTGTCTGATCCACTCGTACAAGCACAACACACACTAACACCCCACCACCACGTCAGTGTTACTGCAGTGCTGAGAATGATCCACCACCCAAATAGTACCTGCTCTGTGAGGGTCCATGGGGGTCCTGACCACTGAAGAACAGGGTAAAAGGGGGCTAACAAAGTATGCAGAGAAACAGATGGACTACAGTCTGTAACTGTAGAACTACAAAGTGCACCTATATAGTAAGTGGAGCTGATAAAATGGACAATGAGCACAGAAACAAGGAGGTGGTCATAATGTTATGCCTGACCAGTGTATACTCTTGTTTTATAAAGTGTTATGCATGTAGTTATAACTACTTTAGAGCAGTTATACAAGCTTATGCCTGACATTATGTATGCCATATATTGCCCTATTAATGCATTCATAATGCATAATGAATACAGGATTCATAGAGAATGTTACCCTTTTTCAGTCTATGGATCAGTCAGTACACATCCACACTACAGCTAACCACATATATTATGTACAAACAGGTAAATAACACTATATTTGACATTATATTTCTCTCTCTCTCTTAGTGTGTGGTGGACAGGCTAAGTCCTCAGGGCCTGCTGACCCGTGTTTGTGGCTGGATCAGTGCAGCGGGACGCAGGGTGGACGAGGCTGAGAGAGCGGCTCGCTCCTCCAGCTCTGCAGCTCAGTTCAGAAAACTCCTCAACGCGTACAAGGTGTTACAGTCACAACCAGATAGGAAAGGCATTGTGCAGCACATGGGTCAAGACTTCTCATACACTGACCCTCAAACGTCTAAGGCCACCTACTTTAGAATTTCAGCATTAGTGTTGTTTATGGAGTAGAGTATTTGTTTTTTGACACTGTCTTTGTCTTCACTGGTTGTTCTTTTGTTTTCCGATGCAGCTCCTGAAGAGAGAGCAGATGTGTGAGCAGTGGTCAGTGGACTTCCTAAACCACTCTGTGCTGAAGCAGAGTGACCCCGACTCGCACAGATATAAACACACTGCGTTTGCTGAGCAGCTTGGAGAGCTCAACCTCCACTGGCTTACACTGCACACGTGCATAAGCACACAGGTGAGAGACATACAGTGCAGTGCATATGTTAAAGACCCCCCCCTAATTTGTTTAATGTCCAGTCAAAACAGCTGCAATGTAGAAGTTGTTTCATGTATGCAAAAATAAGAGTTTCCAAAACTGGAGTTCAAAAAATGATTAAAAGCTACAGAGAAAATGTGGCTCCTAACAGCCACCTGGAAGACCTGGTAGACACCAAAACTGCCCCCCATCAGATGAACAGCACTTAAAGCTTTCATCTCTGAGAGAGAGGAGAAAATCAAGCTGCTTCAGATCTGAAAACATCCACAGGTGTTTCTGTCCATCCTTCCACTGTGAGAAGACGACTCAGCGCTGTGGGTCTGAAAGGATGTGTAGCTGTTCAAGAAGAACCTCACAGAGAAAAGGAGACGGACACATCAAACAAAGAAGCTGAACAATGGACTGACCACCCCAGAGTCCAGACCTCAACAGCACTGAATATGCTTACTTACGGAGCCCTGCTGGTGCTATCCCATATAAACTATAATGATGCATGGCCATGACTTAGTAAAGTGTGGGAACGGAATAATTAAGTCTTGACCACAGCTTAATAAGGCATGATCTTGTTCCCACACCTTACTAAGTCGTGGCCACGACTTGATTATCTCATTCCCATGCCTAACTAAGTTGTGGGTTATTTTTCTTAATACGGGATCTGACCAGCAGGGCTTACTTGGATCATGAGAAGCAGAAAATGCTAAACCAACTTCTCAGACTGGAGGTGTGTCTGCAGATTCTTTGAGAAACTGAAAGCGAGTCTCCTGCAGAGAATGGAGGCAGTGACGAAGGCGTGGACACATTAAATACTGAAAAATGGGACATTATATTTAGTTGTTGAAGCTTCTGCTCAATTTTGTGTCAAATAATTTTTTGTGTTTTCTTGTCCTCAAAAACTATAACTTGTTTTGACTGGACACTAAATGAATGCGGATGGTCTCTGACTTCTTGTTGTGTTTTCAGTTGCAGCAGATGGAGCAGCAGTTGAGAGTGTGTGCAGACAGAGAAGGCAAGCTGCGGCTACTGCGCAGCTGGGTCAGAGGTCAGGAGGAGTGGATGCGACTGGCTGAGAAGCCCGTCAGTCGCTCCCTGGCAGAAAACAGCCTAAAAGACTGCGAGGTCAGATACTGATTTATGGACACATTGTTAAAGATAGATAGATAGATAGATAGATAGATAGATAGATAGATAGATAGGTAGATAGATAGATAGATAGATAGATAGATAGATAGATAGATAGATAGATAGACTGACAGACAGAAAGACAGACAGACAGACTGACAGACAGAAAGACAGACAGACCGAAAGATAGATAGATAGACAGACAAGACTGACAGACAGAAAGACAGACAGACCGAAAGATAGATAGATAGATAGATAGATAGATAGACAGACTGACAGATAGATACATAGATAGATAGATAGATAAATAGACAGAAGGACAGACAGACAGACCAACAGATAGATAGATAGACAGACAGACAGACAGACAGATAGATAGATAGATAGACAGACAGACAGACAGACAGACCGACAGATAGATAGATAGATAAACAGACAGACAGACAGACAGACAGATAGATAGATAGATAGATAGAACTGCATACCTTCTGTGGTTTTACTCCGTCTCTCCTCTCTCTCTCTCTCTCTCCTCTCTCTCTCTCTCTCTCTCTCTCCTCTCTCTCGTGTTGTCTTTCTCAGGAACTGGAGGAGAGGCTGAAGACTCGATCTGCTGAGCTGAGTGAGTTGAGGAAGAGGAGGCTGAGTGATGATGAAGAAGATCAGCAGGATGCAGACTTTATCAGACACGTTCAGAGCGTCTCCCAGTCATTAACAGACCTCTCTCAACAGGTACCTCGCTGCCTCATCTGACTCCGGTTCAGCTTCCTCTAAAGCTCCTGCACTAAATAGACTTCACACAGCTTTGCACTCCACAGCTGTGAGTGTGGATCCTCACTCTCATCACTGCAGGACTCACACATTAGTCTCCGCACAGTTACTGAATAATATGGCTTTAAATTAATAACAAAATAATAGGCCTAAGCCTCGTCTGTGGGCTTATGATTTGATTATTAATATTATGATTAAATAATCAATTAATTATTACTTTATTAGTAAATGATGAATCATTATTAATTTATATTAATAAATTATTACATTATTCAGTAAGAAGTAGAAGTTCAGTCACATTACAATTTATTATGTAGCAACTAATAATTATCCATATCCATCTATTATCCATCTATCTGTCTGTCTGTCTATCTGTGTGTCTGCCTGTCTGTCTGCCTGTCTGTCTGTCTATCTGAAACAGCAGCATTAAACATTTTTCTGAATGTTCTCCTCCAGAACGGGGCTCTGAGAGAGTCTCTGCAGCAGGTGTCCACCCTGTGGTCTCAGTTTGACAGTGGGCGGAGCCAAGCTTTTCTCGGCACCCTGAGGATCTGCCAATCACTGAAGCATTGCTGTGTCTCCCACACCTCCCTCACAGCCTTAGAGAAGAGCACTGACAGGCTACAGGTACGGTCAGTCACCATACTGTACAGTCTCAGACTGTACAGAGTGGATTTTACTGATTATTGATATCCAAGTTTTTAAAGTCTAAAAAATATTTAACAATTAATTTAACTTTACTGATGTGTATGTTAAAAATATGTGCTATTTGATAAAGCAGAACAGAATTAGTCTTAAGCGCTATTACATAGTCATTGTTGATACCATGTTCTTTATGTATTTATAATATTATTTTCCCTAAATTATGTGACTAACCAGGCACTGCAAGCCGAGGCTGAGGAGATTGACAGGCAGTGGGAGGAGCTTAATCACACATTCTCCACTCTCACTGGTGGGATCCACCCAGGCACCTCTCGGTTATTATCAGAGCCGCTGGAGAAAGAGAAAGCACGGTTGGTACACTTCACCAAAACACGCATTCGGAAAGATCTTCCTTTGTTTATGTATACGCCCAGTGGCCACTTTATCAGAAACCCCTCTCTTATAGCTCCACCTTACTGGTGCACAGTGAGAGACTGTAGTCCATCTGTCGATGTTAATGATGTCCATCCTCTATTCCTTCATCAGTGGTCAGTTTCTGACCACAGAGCTGCTCTTGTCTGGTCATTTTTGGTGGACCACTCTCAGGATTAGGAATAGAGGGTGGCCAGATGGGCTACAGTCTGTAATATAGTGGACTTGTAATGTAGGTGGAGCTCATAGAGTGGACATCCAAGCTAGGGGGTTGCAATAGAATGGACACTGAGTTTATGTTTGTGTTTTTTAATATGCTCCAGGTGGGCAGAGGTGAAGCAGAATCTCACACACACTTCTCAGCAGTTACACACTCTGCTGGAAGCCTGGAAGCAGCACTCAGCTCTGACTGACCCCTGTACACTGAGGCTACAGCAATATAGAGACCAGTTCTCTGCCCTGTCAACCGCACCTGACCCTGAGAGCAGCACTGAGACACTTTCAGCCTGCATACAGCAGCTACAGGTGAGCTCACACACACTAATGGAGGCTTACACACATCAACACAGGAAAGGTGGAAAAAACTCTACATAGAAAAGATTTAAAAAAAAAAAACAGAGCTCTCAAAATCGTGACCTTGAATCCAGTTTCCAGTCCTGGATTTCGTAGTTATTGGTAGGCATAAACACTAAAGGCCTCAGCAGACTTCATACTTCAGCAAACAATATGATGTAATTGCTCTGATTGGTCGGTAAAAAGAGGTGTGCCTTCTAACAAAGATGGACGACTTTGTAGAGCCTAGTTTCACAATAAGTGTACAAAGACACACCAATACTTCACTGTAGAACGCATTTGTTAAGTAAACAATGAATATCTCCTAAATGTAAGATGGTAAGTCTATTATTCAGTAGTACTAACTAGTACTAAGCACCAAAACATATAGGTTATCTTATATTTACGTTCACAAGAGGACGAGGCTGAAGTTGGCTTTCTATTCACCAGCTTCTTGTTAATTTTCCCAGTCCACCTTAAATGGTGACAGTATTCTGAGCTCAAACGTCACCATAGATAGAACTGGGAAAGAATCGTTTTTCACTAGTAATGAAACTTCTTATAATATGCCATCGTGTCACCTGCATAAGTGGAGAATCCGCGACAGGTAACACGAAACCGTGTAAGCTCACGAAGGTGCGTCAGCCTCGCGAAACCCTCGAGAATTTAGTAAGTATGCTGAGGCCTTAAGTCAGTTAAACCAACAGTTCAGCTGACCTCTTCGGCTGGCTGTAAAGTGATTTTGCAAAATTACTCAATCATTCAATGGTTTAGGTGTGAACAAAATCATTCAGAGTGGTTTGGTGTGAAATGCGCCCGAAATGCGTCAGAATTGTTCATCATTATAGTTCTAGGAACGTTCAAAGCATTAAATGGCTCTAGAAGCTACATCCCATTAAGTTAACACACAAAATGGTTATGAATGTGTTGCTTGATATCTGAGATCGTTTTGTGATGGTTTCATGATAGTTTTCACCACCGTTCTGAACAATTCACAAGCAAGGTGACCTATAGCAGCTCCTCTGATGAATACTTACATAAGCTGTGAGTTTTGCTGACACTGTGTGACGCAACACTGTCTACCCATACAACGCGAACCGAGTGCAGGGCGGAGAGGTACATGCAGGGCGATGTAAGGAAAAAATAGGACCCAAAAATTATTTTTTTCAAATTTATCTCTATTTTTCTGTAATCAGTGTCACATAGAACCTTATTAAAACACATGTAAGTTCACTGGTCATTTTGAAATGCAGATAAAATGGTGATATTTGTAATATGGACTTACGGACGTCTGATTCCTGGTACTATAATAGTGAACAATTGTGACTCAGTAAATTTCTTTAGAAAGGCGCATTTCACGCCAAACCACCCTGAATGATTTTATTTAAATCTAAACCACTGAATGATTAAGTCATTTAGGAAAATCGGCAGATTTGGAAAATCCCTTTAAACAGTGAAACCTATATAAAGTTGAGTTACATAGAGCAAAGCGTCCAGCGACTTATTTGAAAGTCATTTGCCACAACAGTTGCAGGCAAAAGTTTCATGAAATAATCAATAAAAACGGCAAAACGTGTCATGTGATCAGAGCAAACAACATACTGTAATAATGACTGACTTGACCGGATCAACAGACATGAAAATAAAACAAAAGATGGCTTACTGGGCCGTTGTAACGGAGACCCCCCCTCTCCCCCCGACTCCCCTGACTGACTCAATATTGGTAGTTTTTCATTATGTCAGTTTCCTGAGTCATGACAACAAACTTTAGTTTCTCAAAGATAATGTTTCTTAGCTAGCTGGCTAATGCTACCAGCTCTCCGTTTCACACTATATCACTACTATTCATACTATTAAAACATGTAATAACATGATTATGTAATTACTTTCATAGCTTATTACATAATGAATTACATTTAAATTCAGTTGTCTTCTCTGCTGACAGGTTCTGACCTTTTCTGTTTGCTTTGATATCAAGAAAGGGCAAAAAATCAATGGAAATTTCAATGAAATAAAAATGAGAAACAATTAATATAAATTACATTATTTTGTCATTGGAGTTTTTTTAGATGTGATTTATCTCAAAGACCTGCATTGTAACTCACTCACATTTAGCAGGTTGAGTATTTGTCCACAAGAGGGCGCCACCAGCACTTGAGTAGTCCAGTAGTTCTGTAATTCATCGATGACACTAAATGTCCTTGTTTATTCATTTATTCACATTTTTAACAATTGTCCTCACTTAATCTTTAGCAGATGCACAAATAGCTGCAAGGGAAATACAAGATATAAAACCTGTATGCTAGCACTGTTGTTAGACCAACCGACTGACCAGACCACTGGGCTGGTTCAGAAACCTGTGTGCACAAAATAAAGGACATCATTTTGAATATTGGGTTCCTGGCTCTCCCCTCAGCCCAGAAAAAGATTTACAGCATCTTATCCTAAAAAGTAGTAAAGGATAACTTGCGTACCAGTCGCAAAAGAAAAAACAGACTTTTTTAGCAGAGAATTAAATGAGAATTGTGGTCATTCTAATGGACATAAACCACATAATGTCCTCACATTGGTAGTTTGCAAGCGTACATACTAACCTAGTTATGTGTCTCAGATCAATATGTTCTTAGACGTTCACAGGGAGATGATTGATCAGAGTCTTTATCTCATGTTCAGGAGTTGCTGAACAACACACACTGTCTCCAGACTGACCTGGACAGGGTGCATGAAGCCTCCAAAGAGCTGATTGGTCAGATGGAGCCCACCGCGGCTGTCTTTGTCCAGTCTGAGTGTCGGCTATTGACGCGTGGTTGCCTCCAGTTTGAGGAGGCTTTAAAAGGGAAGCTAGGAGAGGCACAAGTAAGAAATATATGTTATTGATTGAACTGTACATATCATAGCTTTTATTTCATAACTGTTACAAAAACTGTATATTGGAATGGTGCAATACTGGTGCAGTGTTGATGTGTATATTGTATAAATGTATATAAATGTAGTAATTTTCACTCACCTTTGCACGTGTGTAAATGTGATGTGACAATAAATGTGATTTTATTAGATTTGCTAATCTGGTTCCTATAAGCTTTCATTATGTTAGCAACATTAGCCTCATAGCTCCAGTGCCAAACTAAAGAAGCAAATTCCAGACACTAAATATGTATTGGCCTATTAATATGTTTGAAATAAGGGAAAGATTGTTTACATTACATTACTTACCAAACTATCCCTTTAATATCCATCAGTTGGTAAACGCCATAGAGTTGTATGCGTTTGTCTTGATTGAGCTAAATGGAAAACGTACAACCAAAAGCTCTGATATGTTTTCTTTGTGTTTTTAGGAGGATCTCAAGCAGCTTCAGGAGTTTGAACAGCTGCTGGAGTCACTAGAAAACAATTTAGAGGGGTGGAAGAACAACCAGAGTGGACAAACTGATAATCAGCACACAGACATAACGAAGGTTTGATACTCACACTCGCCAGACACACACTGGCCACTTTATTAGAAACCCCTACCTTATGCATCCACTCACTTAACCCTTAATTAGAAACACCTACCTTGTGTTTCCACTCACTGGCCACTTTATTAGAAACACTGACCTCCAAAAATGTCCAGACAACAGCAGCTCTATAGTCAGAAACTGACCATTGATGAAGAACTTGAAGATGGCTAATTCAATCTATGCATGGACAGAGAGGCCAAGTGTAAGTTGAATGTATACATGAACACACTGATCATAGATACTCAACAGTATCTACCTTGAAACATTGAAAAACATGTTTTTCTTTTCACAAAACAAGGCTGTGTATCGTCGCTGTCCACAAAATAATACAGTGAAATTTTAAAATCTGCACTTTCAAAGCATTTATCACGTTTCAATTAACTAAAAATTAGAAACAATTAATATAAATGCCATAATTTTGTCATTGGAGTTTTTTAGATGCGATTTATATCGTAGACCTGCCTTGTAACTCACTCACTCGCTCACATTTAGCAGGCTGAGTATTCTCCACAAGATGGTGCCACCAGCACTCCAGTAGTCCAGTAGTACAGTAATTTATCGATGACACTAAATGTCCTTGTTTATTCATTTTTTCACTTTTTAAACAAATTGTCCTCACTGGCAACTTTATTAGAAACACTGACCACCACCCAAAAATATCCAGACAACAGCAGCTCTGTGGTCTGAAACTGTCCATTGATGAAGAACGTGAAGATGGCTAACTCAATCTGTGCATGGACAGAGAGGCCAAGTGTAAGTTTAATGTATATATAAACACACTGATCATAGATACTCAGCAGTGATGGTGCTTCTGTTCTCCACAGTCGGGTTTGTTAGAGTTGAGTTCTCACACTGCTGACCTTGAGCTGCTAAATGGACTCAGTTACAGACTGACCCTCAGTGACCCCACAACCCGGAAGTTACAGAGCCTGAACAAGAAGTGGGATCAGGCCTCTGCTCACGCTCAGGAGAGATGCAGGCAAGAGCTTTGTACAAATTCTTCAGTACATTTTGTTGATATTTCATGTTTCTTGTGCATATTTGTAACTTTTTCAGTCCTTTTTTCATGAGTCTAATTTTGACCTGTGACTAGGATTCAGTCTGTTTTTGAAAGACAGCGCTAACCTGCAGGATCAACATTACACTTCTGACTTTGTAAAGAGCTTTGAACAAAACCATTTCTTTTTGGCTTCTGAGGTTTAGGATTAAGCTGATTATATTTCTTAATACGTATAAATAATTACATAGAATATACGTATCTCAACACATATTACTCCTACTGCATATAAATATTTACATATTTATAATACAGGACACATAATTATTACATATAGATAGTTATATGTATGTAATATACATGGGACATATAAATATCATATATACATATTGTCTTTCTTTCACATAATTAGAAACTTCCAGCTGCCATTTCCTCTTTCCTATGATGAGTGGACCAACAGAAATGCTCCAAAATGACTTTCTTTTAACAATAACTTACAATGAAAATATGTATCTATATACATCACTGTTGTCAGAAAAACCTTTTCCTAAATGGGAACTTTAGAGGAGAAGGAAAAAACCTGCTTTACTTGTAATGTAAGTGAATGGAACCAGGGTTTTGGGCCGTTTCTTTTAGTCCAATCATCATGAGATTTACATACAATGTATTGCATTGCATATATAAAGTATTGTTATACGTCTTCGCTCTTTTTATAAATTTAAACTGTATTATTTTATATGTGTTTATGTGTGTGTGGATCTTGATTTATGTGCCTTTTTTTATTATTTCTCTACAAAAGTGCTATACAAATGAAAACTTATATAGATACGTACATTGTGATGTGTGTGTGTGTGTGTGTGTGTGTGTGTGTGTGTGTGTACAGTGAGCTGCAGGCTGCGTCTCTTCAGCTGCAGGGTTTTGAGCAGAGGTGTGAGAGCTGGATGGTGTTTCTGCAGCGGATGGAGGACAGCCTGGCAGGAGAGATTTCATCCAGCTACACTCAGCTGAGACAGCAGCTCCGCACACACCAGGTACAACACACACGCACACACCCACACACGCGCACACACCCACACATGCGCACACACCCACACACGCGCACACGCACAACCATTTACAGCAGCAGTGGCAGCTCTGGCCAAACTTTTGGCTAGGACTGTACATAATACAGCTTCTATATACATTTACAGCCCCTCTCTCTCTCTCTCTCTCTCTCTCTCTCTCTCTTTCTCTTTCTCTCTCTCTCTCTTTCTCTCTCCCCCTCTCTCTCTCTCTCTCTCTCTCTCTCTGTCTCTTTCTCAGCGGTTCCAGGCTGAGTTGTCTTTAGGCCATCAGATTCTGCACGCCGTCATCACTGAAGCTCTACACCTGTTACAGAGAGGAGAAGTGGAGGACAGGTGAGCAAATTTCATTCACAATCTTTATTTCCTGATTTTTAAGACACACAGAGTGGCTGATGTGGAGCTCCACCCTCTTTCAGTAGAAGTCACTGTCTGTAGTCTCCACAGACTCCGCAGCTGGACGATGCCGTTACCCTGATCGAGTCATCATGTCTCACGAGTGAACAGTTGTTGTTGCACTGCAGGGCTGCTCAGCTCAGGTCCTGGGGGGTGGAGGAGGGGTGGTGTCCAGCACAGTTTGGTGATTGACCTGCTTAAACACACCTGATCACACTCATCTGTAACTGACAGGTTTAGCGTGTATGTTTAGGTATGAGCAACTAAACTGCGCTGGACACGACCTTCCAGGACCAGAGCTGTGCACCCCTGCAGTACAGAGTATTTTAGGTCTTTTACTTCATATTCATGCAATCTGTGGGAATTTGAGATCCTGCTGGTGTGGGTACGAGCGAGAGATTGAGGGAGCAAGCTAGTTAACCCTAGTTAGTTAGTAGGATAATTAGGTAAGTAGTTAGTTTGTTAATGTAGCTCATCTGTTGACCAGTTAGTTAGTTAGTTATTTAGTTTAGTTAGTTTGATTATTTAGTTTATTAGTTCATTTTATTGGTAAATTGTACAAGTTAGTCGGTTAGTTTGATTATTAGTTATTTTAGTGAATTATTTAGTTTATTTGTTTGAGTATTAGTTCATTTTAATAGTAAATGGTATTAGTAAATGAGTTAGTTTGATTATTAGTTAATTTAGTTAGTATTTAGTTAGTTAGGTCATTTAGTTTGTTTGTTTGTTTGTTAAATTATTAATTAGTCATTTTGATAGTTATTTTGATTACTAGTTAAATTGGTTTGATTAACAGTTATTTTAGTTAATTTTGTTAGTTTGTTTGATTATTAGTTCATTTTAGTAGTGTGATTAGTTAGTAGCTTATGTCATTTGATTGTTAGTTTTTTTAATTAATTTAGTTATCAGTTTAGTTATTATTAGTTAGTCAGTTAGTCATTTTGTTAGTTAGCTAGCTTGTAGGTTGGCATATCAAAGACTGTAGAAAATAATAGAGTATAAATTAAGATATTTGTAGTCCCGTTGTGAGAACGGCTCGTGGTATTTGTAGTTTTTTGTGCTGTGTTTGTCCTCAGGAGTGATTTCCTGCTGAAGCTGGCTCAGCTGAGAGAGCACTGGCAGGGTGCAGTGCAGAGAGCGGCTCAGCGGCGCTCTCTAGTGGAGGGGCTGATACAGCACTGGCACCTTTACACACACACACTCCGCAAACTCCGCAAGCTGCTCACACTCGCGCACACGCTCCTCCCGCCCGCCGGCCCCACACACTGCAGCGTCCTGCAGCTGCGCCTCTCACTGCAGGACATGAAGGTAAATCTGCTGCTGCTGTTCTGCATTTACTGCACTGATTCATTAATACAACCACTTTAATTTACTCGGATATTAAATCTCAACACGTAGCAAAACACGCAGTGGTCTTC